GATTAAACTTAAGTAATTAATAATATTTTTAAAAAATATCTATTATATTTTAAATTTGATCGTTAATTTTTAGAAAAAAGAAAAAGACTCGTGTGATAATCATTGAAGTTTATAAAATTTCAAATATTTTCATAATTACATATTTTAAAGTTTTTCAAATAATTTGAAGGGATTTATATTAACTCTCCTCTCTTCAAAATTTGTTCTCTCTTCTCCTTCGAAATTCTCAAATAAGGGCTTATGAATAAAAGAGAAAACATTTATAGGGGCATGTGTGTGTGCAGCTTCAAAACCGGATAATTAATAACAGTGGGAAGTGAAGGGATGAATGGCAATTTTTTTTGACAGTGAGCAATCTTTAGACAGAAAGCTAACTAAGTTCAACTAATGCAGTTTTGCAATGAATGATGAGAGAGAGAAGAAGAGAAACAGCTGGTGGTGCATTTCAAAACCCAGATTATAAGGCAAATTTTTAAAATCATAATACATCCCCAACATTTCTTGTCACTAGTTAGCTCAATAATTCACAACAAAAGTCTTAAATGCACATGCATATAATTTCAACGAATTAGCTGCGTGTTGTTATCCCCCTCTTCTTTAATTTGGTGCATTTCGTCCAAACTTTTCGAGTTATATTCCTTTTATTAAGAGTTCTTTTTTCAAGTTAAACTAATTATTTTTAATTAATTTATGTCTAAAAACTTTAATTTTAAAATTTTGATGATAAAACAAAGCCTACTTTTTTTTTCACTGGATACAGTAGTTTTTTTTTTTATTATTCAACTCTAGTTTTGAAAATGTTTAAGCAGATTTTATGCATTTCTTTTTATGATTTAAGCACTTTAATAATGTATAATCACGACCTTCGAAAAGAATTATGCTTAATCGCGAGTTAGTTGTGTGTTGAAGGGAAAAACAAGTCCAAGGTTACGTGTGAATATACATGTAAATATAACAACAACTATAAATTTTAAAATTTTTATATTTTATATAATTTTTTATTTAATTTATATTATAATTTATTATTTTATTAACTATTCAATCTTAAATTTAAGTTAAATAAAAGATTTAGATTAAATGTAAAAATTTTTAAATTTATATTAATATAATTTTTTTTATAAAATATATATATCTTCGGTTAATGATTTTGGTCAAGTCATGCATGATACTAGTTGATACAGCCCAGCTATACAAAGCCAAACACAGGCTACGTGGGGTGACGTGTGTATTTGAATTAAACCACAAAATAAATTATTTTAATAATTAACTACATAAAATAAATATCATGTTGAAATATATTAAGTAAAAAATAATTTATTATATTTAAATTATATAAAATAATCATTTTTAAAAAATTAAAATTATAAAAAAATAAAACGGTGTAATTGTTATTTTTATATTTAAAATAATCAATTATAAAAAGTAAAATAAAAAGAAAGTTAAATAATAAATTAAGAAAATAAATTTTAAATTTTTTGCTTAATTTAATTAAGTTATTTTATTTATATAAAATAAAAATAAATTATAAGTTAAGTTTCAAACAAAAAAAAAACATTTTTTACAACTTTTTTTTCACGTAATCCAATTCCAACTAAATATATTTTATGGCTTTGCGTCATGGATGATGATACTTGATAAAGCCGAGCTGTAGCCATCTCGAAAAGATTTGTTGTATCTACAAAAGGATCTTTAAATATATAAAAACAAAGAAAATTTCATACCTTTTGAATATTTTATAAGAAAATAATGATTTTAAAAAAAAATTTATAAAAATATTATATATGAATATTTTTAATATAGTTTTTAAAATATATTTTTCATAAAAATACTTTACTCATTTTATAAACCTAAATTTTAATTTTTTATAATTTTTTTTCAGTAATAATTTATCACAGATAAGTCAATTTTAGAAACTAAATTTAATTTAATATAAATTTTCAATATTATTGGTAAAATATTTTATTTTTTTAAAATTAATATTTTTTTAACAAGATTTAAAATTATATTAATTTTGATAAATAATTTCTTTCATTTAAATATAATTTATATCTTATTATATTATTTTTTATTTTAAATGTTAAACAAAAATATTATCTATTTTATTATTCTAATATATATTAAATTTAAAAGAAAATAAAAGTTTATATAATTTTATTTTATTCTATCTCCATTCAACTTTTCTGTTATATCATATTCATTGAATATAATATTAAAGAAAAACTGATAGATTAGATAAATGATATGACGTGATTATATATATATATGTTTATGCATCGAAAATAAGACTAATTATTAAGGGATGCCCCAAAAAATGGGGTTCAAAACTTTTAATAATATTAGTTGATTTGGACCTCTTCTTTCAAGTGAGGCTGAATTAGGATAAAATCAAACGTTGGACTCTATATCACGGCTTGGCACCGTCCCATGCGATTTAAGGGTACGAATGAACCAAAGAAAGGGACTTGCAGCTACGATGCTCTCACAAACTGGCGAAGGACCATCATATAGAGGGAATTAGGGTGTTCACGGATTGGTTTGATTTGGATTTAGAAAAAAAAATAATTCAAAATATTTAAAATAGATTAATTTAGTTTGGTTTAAATTTGTAAAAAAAATTTAAAAATCTGGACTGATCTGAACTAAATACAAATAAGTTAGTTTAATTTGAATTATCAGACTGTCTGATTAAATAATTTAAAATAAAAAAATATTATTATTTTTTATTTGAATAATTATTGACATATAATTTTAACACAGTTATATAATATTTCGACACAAATATATAATAGTTCATTGGAATGCTTTTCGAAAAGTATATGTTGTGTTCATTTCACATAATCATGTAAACTACAAGTAACCAATATTTTCAGCATCTTATATGCACCTACCTCTCATTCTTAAAATTGAGACCAGGAATCAATCATCTACCTCCATCGTTAGGGCCGGATTCCTGCTTGTTCACAGTTCTAGTATATGTTTGGTGGATATAATAAAATAAAAAAACTTAAAATATATAAAAAAATTATATAAGAAATGTCTCTCATACAATTTTTTTTTATTCTTATTTAAGAACGTACCTATACTTTACATAAATATGTTCAAGATATTAGAAAAGGGATCAGCTGCTGTGCGATTTTTTTTTATTTCCTCCCAATAATGGCAATGTCATAAATTTAATCAAATGCATAATTATTTTTAAATTTCATTCGGAGAACAGTGTATTTAAATATAATCAATTTATTATACTACATAGAAACAAAGGTCCATCTTAAACCATGTCTCAATTTTTTAAGAAAATTAATTCCCGTTTCAACAGGTGATCGCACGGGTTTCGAATGATAAACCCATCGATAATCTCAATTGATATGCGCGGAATATTATATACGATAACTAAATTCAATTCTTCCGTCGAGAGTAGATATTCAATTCCAAAGTTACAAAAATTAATGGAAAAAGATAAGTTTGTAGACACTGTACTGGCCTAAGGTATTAACAAAAGAATTGTTTTTCAATTGATTAATTAAGAATCTCAGTGGATTACATTGAAGATTTTAAATTGAAATAACACCAGCAAGTCAAGATTCTCAGGCCATGAGATATGAGAACATTCCTTCTGCTTAATTTTGCAGTTTATTTAGTATTCTCATCCATAATTGTAAATTTGAGAATTTTTTTTTACCTTCCTCTTTCATTTCATTCAATGAAGATGGTACGTAGTTTCTATCACCAGATGGAGGGAGTGTGTTGCCCGGGGGGGTGGGGGTACTATGCTCCGAACAAAGGTAGGTGGATAGTTTTTGTCAATTACTTTTTTTTTTTTTATAAAACAAATAGGTGTATTTTAGATGTCATGCACATGTCATATGATATTCACATGCACATGTCATAGGAATGAGCTTATATATTGATGTTTTATTTTGGGTGTCAAATGGGTGAAAGATGAGACATATAGGGAGAAAGGCAAAAAGAGAAAGAAAGTAAAAAATAATAATACTGATATTTTCACATCCATATTTTGGATAGTGTGAGTGAAAGGAAGTATAAGGGGAAAAATAAAAGGTGCGTTTAAGAAAAAGTGATTCTCTGAATCTGCAAATATAAATACTCTTAAGAAATGTGATTATGAATTAAAGGTAGGATGGATGATGCTAAAGTTGTTTACACATTTTAAGAACGGGTTACCAATATTTTAATATGCATTAATCAATGTTAATTAAGGAGTTGATTATTTTGATATAAGGGTTGGGGCAACGATTTATATATGAATAAAACAGTTTATCTTTGTCAGGAAAAAAAAGCTAAATATAATAACAACATATATATCACTGTAATCCATATTACCATATATGACCTTAAAGTTTAAGGTGAGATATCGATTACAGGAATATTAGAGACTAGGAAGTAATAAAGCCACTTCTTTGGGCTGAACATATATTGAAAGCATGCAAATTTGCCTTCATATTAGCGGAACTTAAGCATCAGGCTACTTAATTTAGAGATCGTAACTGGAGAGTCATTAAAGTTTTCTCAACTCCAAGCCGGATGTTAGTTGAGTTCTGAATCTACACTAAAATGCTTGCAAAGATGAAGTTAGCAAATTGAGATTGTGTTGTGTAGCTCTTTGTTGGTAGGTCCACCAAGAATTAAAAACTTTGACCTACTCCAACGAGAATCCTGTTTACACAGCATAAATCATAACTGGCCGAAAAAGGTTGAAACTACTCAGTGACATTTGATTTTTAGAAAAGGCCATAGATCAGTCCTCACACCAACTGAGAGACTAGATAGGATATTTATTTACCTAAAGTAATATTAATGAAAAGACCTCATTTTAATTATTTTCTTTTATTTTTCAGAATGATAAGCACCAATCACAGTCAATATCGTCTGGTTCAGAGTTGTCTGCATGTAGGGCATACCCACAACACATTAACACAACCCTTATGCAACTTGTAAAATGTGATGTACAACTTGCACATTGCATAAAGATACGTTAATTATATACTACACACACATATATATAGATGTATTTGCACTTGAAACAATCACAAATATCCTTCCCTTCCCTTCCCTTCCCTTCCTTCCTTCTCTCTTTACAATGGATCTTTTATTCTTATCCCTCCTTCCCTTCTTATTGTACTCGTTGTTTTGCCTTTCCAAGTTGATTCTTCAACGTAGAGGCCAAACATGTTACATGTTAGCTTACGAGTGCTTTAAACCCCCAGAAGACACGAAACTTGACACGGATTCCTGTGCAAGAATCGTCCTGAGAAACAAGAACCTGAGGTTGGAGGAGTTAAGGTTTCTCCTGAAAACCATTGTCAGTTCAGGGATTGGAGAGAGCACTTACTGCCCAAGAAACGTTCTTGAGGGAAGAGAAGCATGTCCTAATCTTAAAGACACCTACGAAGAAATAGACGAGATCATGTTTGATACACTCGATAACCTCTTCAAAAGGACCGGTTTTTCTCCCTCGGACATAGACATTCTTGTGGTGAACGTGTCCTTGTTCTCCCCTGCCCCTTCTCTCACGGCACGCATCATAAACAGATACAAAATGAGGGAGGACGTAAAGGCCTTCAACCTTGCAGGAATGGGGTGCAGTGCAAGCGTGGTTGGTATTGATGTGGTGCAGCAACTGTTCAAGACGTACAAGAACGCTCTTGGAATTGTTGTGAGCACTGAGGACCTTGGTGCACATTGGTACTGTGGAAGGGACAAGAAAATGATGCTTTCGAACTGTCTCTTCCGCACTGGTGGATGCTCCATGCTGTTCACAAACAAGACTGCACTGAAGAACCGTGCAATCCTGAAACTGAAGCACATGGAGAGGACTCAGTTTGGTGCAGATGATGAGGCTTACAACTGCTGCATACAAGTGGAAGATGAGAAAGGGTATTCAGGTTTTCGCCTAACCAAAAGTCTTGTGAAGTCTGCAGCACAGGCCTTGACAGTGAACCTTCAAGTGATGGCTCCAAGGGTTCTGCCACTATGGGAAATGGTACGGTTCTTTGTTGCATCTATCCAAAACAGTGGCATGAAAAAGAGGGAGATGCTACCCTTTATTACTTCGTTCTTTCTTGGCAATGGTAAAATAAAGAAGGTGGCATTCAATGTGTTGGGAGGGGGTTTGAACTTCAAGTCTGGGATAGAGCACTTTTGTATACACCCTGGTGGAAGGGCAGTTATTGATGGGGTTGGTAAGGGTTTAAGGCTAAATGAAAATGACCTTGAACCTTCTAGAATGGCACTTCATCGTTGGGGTAACACATCTGCTGGTGGCCTTTGGTACGTTTTGGGTTACATGGAGGCTAAGAAGAGGCTCAAGAAGGGTGATAGGATCCTCATGATCAGCCTTGGAGCTGGTTTTAAGTGCAATAACTGTGTTTGGGAGGTGATGAGGGATTTGTCAGAAACTAATGTGTGGAAGGACTGCATAGACAGATACCCTCCAAACACACTAAACAACCCTTTCAAGGAAAAGTACAACTGGATCCATGATGAATATCTTAGCTTTGTGAGGTTGGATTTCAGCAGGGTGGTCCTTTAGGAGGATCCGATACAACGAAAAGACAAGAGAGAGAGATAGTTCAGTAAAGTAACGAAGAAGAGAAAGGAAAAGAAAATAAACAATCTCAAACTATACATGTACTTAGGAAGTTGTGTCATGTTAATTTCCTGCTTTAGTTTTAAAATATTTGTTTTCGTCCTCGTTGAAAAATATAGTCTTAGTTATTGGCCAGATGAAAACAAAGTGTAGAGTAAATTTGTTGAGGTAAACCTCAAAATCCTGTACTGTTGTGTTATTGATGAAATAAAGCTCATGCCATTAATGTGGATATGATATGGTTCTCAGTTGTAGTTGCTGGTAACATAAGTTTCCGTATGGCCGTGGAATTTTATATATGTTTCTCATGAGTGTTCTTGAGATGTAAACTTTTGTCCTGCGTGCTTGCTCATTTGGGTTTCTAAAACCATGGTTTGAATATTTATCTACTGATAAACCAAAAACATGTAATATTTATCTATTCTTACTTTGCAAGCAATCATACTATTACAATAAAATAAAAACATAAACACATTTTTTTTAAAATACACTCTTGGTCACGAAAACATCAAGATGCATGCAAATGCAAAATATGGATCATTACTAGCACATGAAGTGCAGAGTACACTCAAAGTCCCTCATTACTGCCTTACCAAAAGATGGTAGAAAGCATTAATTGGTCCCGTCCTGAGCAACTAGCCAGTAAGAAAATAATAGAAATTGTATTAATTATATGTGTGGCCCTATGTAAAGATATCAAAGTCAAGCTTCCATGACCCTCTGGCATATTTATTGCTTTCTAGCTTTCTCTTTCCTGTGGAATTATATATTTATATCATGAAAGAGGCTTCTCTCTAGATCGTTGTATCTTGACATTATGGATTCCTCAGAACGTGACCATTTAAGCATATAGAGTTTGAATTTGTTTCCAACTCCACATGTCATGACTTATAAAGGTACCTACACTTACCTTCAATGTGCTCCATTTCTTCTTGTGTATATATCCGTTTCCCCAATTCAAAAAAATAAAAAATAAAAAAAACCTTCTGTGGGTAATTTGGTCATTGTGTCATTGAGAGACATTTTATTATTATTGTCGGAGATATAATTATACGGTGCGTGAACATAGCATGTTTATAGTCTCCGTTGATTAAAAAATATACTGGATCATGTTTTTAAATTAAAAAAATGATAATAAATTTATTACATTTCATTTTGTGATTGATTATGATTAGAAATGTGTTTGTTTTTAGGTCTTAATAACATCGTCTTGTTTTACGTCAAATTTATTATAAATTATAACTTTGACGCTAAAATATAATTTTATTAAGTTTTTAAGTATGTACTAAGTATTTTTAAGATTATTAATTACAATACAAATTAAAGAATAAAAAAACGTATTAAAAAATATTAAAAATTATGTTAAATGTGTATTAATAATATTTTTAATAAACATTTTCTCTTTCGGTATTTTATTTCTTTTTTTGAGCCAACTTTGTATATTTTTGGTTAAACTGAAGTTTTATTGTCGTGAACACCACTCTTCATGGGCTTTTGGTTCTTGGGCCTTCTGGTGTTGGGCTTATCCTTATCGCTTTGCAAAAGTGCGAACAAAATTAGAAAAAAAAAAGAATAAAGAGAGTAGAAACTAGAAAAGAGGGGAAGAAGAAAGAAAAAGAAAAGAGGGAGAAAATGAGTAGTGTGAAGGTGGCAGAATGATCTCAAACGTGGACCCTGCAGAACCAGCCACCGCGGCCGCCACCGCGGCCGTCGCAACAGCCTCCGCCGCTTCTTCCCATGAAGATCACTCCGCACCGCCGCCATCTCCTAACATTCTGATGTCCTCAAAGGATCACGATTCTCTCTTCAGCGGTGGCGGCATCAGGTACTGCCTATTCCCCTTTTCTGATTCAATTTTCTATTCCTTTCGACTCTCGATTGAAGCTTTTATTCGCAAATTCATGATCGACACGAACGCCGTCTTTTTGCCTTCATTTTCTTTCGCTCGTTTCTGGCCTGAACAGTATGCTCAGGAACCCATTATATAAGTTGAAATCACGAATTCTTAACTTGAGCAGAAATTTAAGACATTAACATCCTTTTAATTTGCCACCATAATTTTTTATTTTATTTTTGCATTGTAATCATATATTTATATGCTATGATATCATACACAGTAACACAGACTATGCTAGGAGTCTATCTTTTACTGAAGGATGCATCTTTCTTGATATTTAATCGTGGAGTGAATTTGTATTGTCTTTATGTTACTATTTGTTAGTTAGATATTGCCTTTATGGCTTTATGTACACTTCGATACTACTAGTATTATGTTTATGTTTGCTACTATAAAGGGATTCTTCCCCACATGGTGTCCTTTTTTTTTCACTTTTCATGAAATTGCAGAGTTTTGTTTTACAGCATTGTCATTACAACTAACTTCATAGACCAACCACTTGTACCTGCTGCTACTTTTCAGGAACCTCTCTTTGGAGTTATTATTTATAGTTACAATTCATTGTTAGGCTTTAAGTCATGGGTTTAAGAAGAGAACTAAAAACATCATCGTTCATGGTTATAAAAAATTGAAGTTTCTCTTCACACTTGCTGACCCACATTGGTGGCCTTTTCTAGTTGGGTGATGTTGGGTTTGTAAAGTAGGGGTTCTTGTTATCCTTTTAATACATATTTTAGAGTGATACTAGTTTTTATTTATAAAGCATTTGTGCTCCCTGAAAAGGCCTTTTGAAGTTATCAATTTATTTGGCTGTGCCTGCATAAAAACTTCTGTTTTCTCCATATTAGCTGAAGTATTTAGAGAAATAAGGAAGAACTTTTTTAAGGTATTATCTGTGTTAGTAACTTTATATATTTTCGTTAATTTTCCATCTATTCAGGATTGTCTGCTTTCACCCAAATCTTGGGCTGACATTTTTTTTTTGTGTAATAAAAATTGAAAAAGTTCCTTGAAAAAAACTAATGCCTTTATGATTCCTCTGTTGAAAGATAGCAAAACGAAAGATGGGGTGCACACCATGGGATATTACAAGTTTACAACAGTAGTCTTTCAATGACCTAATTATGTTGCTGCGTAACATAATTCCACAATGCTTCTAAGACTTGCCATCTGATGAACGATGGTTTCTCCCCTCCACCAACCATTTTTACCACCTTATGCTTAAACTTTGTGACTAAAAATTCACAGGCCAGTCTTGAACTAAACAATTGATGCATAGACCTTAGAAATCCAAAATCTCTATAACTATTATTCCACACACAAGAAATATGGCTATTGAGATGTTTTTACCAAGTTGAGCGTTCATTCCCAAAATTAGAAGTTAGGGGTCTACCGGCCAAAGCCAAAAAGGTAAGGTAGTTGTTTCCATTCCACCTCTACATTTTCAAAAACAACATCATATCTTTAAATATAAATCTTTGGTTTCTTTTTCTAAGTTATTTCAGTAGGAATACATTAAAATGATGTCTTCAATTCTGAATACATTAAAATAATGTCTTCAATTCTATGACTTTTGAACTAAAAAGTAAAGGATAAGAAAGGAAGCTGAAATCGTACTTTCTTTGATTGTGAAATGAAATATATAGTTTGGAATTAAAAATAGGGAAGTGAGATGTAATATGGGAAAAGAGATGATTTAATGAGTACCTAAGTGAAGAAAAAGATAAAATATACTAAGTAATTTTGGGAAATGTTTTCCGAGTTAAATATCTTTTGATCAATACTTGATACAATGTTGTCTGAACAGGGAAGATATCATGGAAAAGTATGTAGTGACATAATTTTTTTTACTCAGTTACTGTCAATAGTAGTTCTTTTAATAAGCTTCATTAAAAGAAGCAGGGGTTTATGAATTATGAGTTGTTTTAGGCATATCCTTTTTATGTTTTTTGTAATGGCCTTCCAACTCTCAAATATTCAAAATTTTGAAATGAGTAAAGTGCTCTTATTTCTTTCTAGTTTTCTCTCTGGAAGTCGAAATGGGAGGTTCAGCTATGGATATTCCAGCTTCAAGGGTAAAAGGTCATCAATGGAGGATTTCTTTGAGACAAGAATATCAGAGGTTGATGGTCAGATGGTTGCCTTTTTCGGTGTTTTTGATGGTATGTCTAAATTTTTTGTTTTGCATCCCCAAAAATTGATTCTTTGTCATTTCAGACAGTGGCTTTCACTTCCATATTAAAATTGAAACAAATGTAGATTATTTCTGACATTTTCTTTTCTTGTGCGTCTTTAAATTTATTTCTTTTTATCCTTTTAGGTCATGGAGGTTCCAGGACTGCAGAATACCTGAAAAATAATTTGTTTAAGAATTTGAGTAGCCACCCTGACTTTATCAAAGACACAAAGACTGCTATAGGTATGAAATTCATTTTTGTAAAATTATAGGATGCATTAAAATCCTTATATGATATCACATTACAGTTGTTTGGTTTGCTACCTGAATAGTCTAAATATGAACATTTTTTAGTCTAATTGTTTGTTCCATTGCAGTTGAAGCATTTAAACAGACAGATGTTGATTACCTCAACGAGGAAAAGGGGCATCAAAGGGATGCTGGGTCAACTGCATCAACAGCTATGTTGTTGGGGGACCGAATTCTTGTTGCAAACGTTGGTGATTCCAGAGTAGTTGCAAGTAGAGCTGGTTCAGGTAGGTGTTGTGCTAGTTATTTGTGATGAGAGTTAGGTTGACATTGAGCAGGATCTGCAATTGGCATATTTTTAACACCTTGATGAATGTAGGGAATAAACAGCATGTTTCCTTTCACTGTGGTACAAACTACAAACATTGGTTTTTGGTTACTTCAGTTTTGCTCAGTTTTTGGTGTTCATTGCAAGTTGGTTATACCATAAAACTTCATTGCAAGTTTGTTATACTAGTTCAATATGCAAAACAGCTCAAGAAGCAATATGATTTCCTATCCCTGTCCTTTTTTTTTTTCTTCTCTTAGCTGATATGAATGTTTGCTTTAATGTAGCTGTTCCTTTGTCTATTGATCACAAACCTGATAGATCTGATGAACGTCAAAGGATTGAACAGGCTGGGGGATTCATAATTTGGGCTGGTAAGTTTCTTCGTGTGTGGGTGTTTCCTATTTTTTTGGGTGGTTCATCTTTCATAATAAGGGTTGAATATTGCATAGCTGCTGGTTGATCCAGGAACATGGAGGGTTGGTGGTGTTCTTGCTGTTTCCCGAGCATTTGGAGACAAACTTCTCAAGCCATATGTTGTTGCTGACCCAGAAATTAAGGTTGCATAAATCATGAGCTTGATAATCCATTGGTATATCTGTGCTGTTATACTTCATTGTCCTGCTAACTTGCCCCCTTTTGGTGCTGTTATGGCTTAGGAGGAAGCAATTGATGGTGTAGATTTTATTATAATCGCAAGTGATGGCCTTTGGAATGTCATATCAAATAAGGTGAGGCTATCTTTCATGTTAAAGTTGGCCCTAAACAAGATAGATTTTTAGAAGAAACATGATCATGTGAACTTTGAATGGATGATCATGTCAGTCTCTTTCAATTTTTGTTAGGGGAGTTATTCCACTCTTTGCTAACTACTTGTACCAACTACCAAAGCTGATAACTTTGAATGGATGATCTTAAACCCGTTCCTTTTTCATTATTTATTTAAGTGTAAAACCATTACTTATTAGTTTAAGAGCCATCTTCAGATGTTTCATTTGTACACACATTATGTGTACATCTAAGGTCTATGTATCTTTACTATTGCGCTTGATGTCCTATATGCTTGCTGTCTTTATAGCGTGTACATGCAATTTAAGAGCCTCATTTTTCTATCTGGCTTTCAACAATTTAAATTTACGTGTTCAATTTTTTTAATTACTTTTTAGCTCTAAGAATTCTAACACTTTATGCCCACCTGCAATGTCATGTTGGTAACAAATCATTGATGGAACCGGAACATCTGACTATTCCATCCCTGCCTTTTCAGGAGGCCGTGTCTTTAGTACAAAATATCACTGATGCAGAAATGGCATCCAGAGAACTTATTAAAGAGGCTTATGCACGAGGAAGCTCAGACAACATCACTTGTGTAGTTGTTCGATTTGATCTATCCTGATGCGGTTCTTCACTTTAGGTATCTGTCATTTCTCAGTTCTAACGACTGAAATCCAGAGCATAGAAATCAGATATGGGTGTGAAGTTGTATTTTAGTGAATCACTTCTATCAATTACTTTCATCGTGATATTGCAGCTTGTTAATTTATTCTAGTTTTCTAGATAATTTCATCATTGAAATACTTGTAGGTGCATTTTTAATCTCTTAATCCAGCTAATTAATGTGGCCCTCTAAACTGCTAAATTTCCAATTTCACCCCCCCTCCCAAATTTATTTCCATGATCGTTTATTTGTTTCGTTATGTTGTTACAGTCTTAGACTCCCCAACTGGCCAACCACAACCACCTAAACTGGAAGCTTGTTACTGTCGAAATCTACATGCTCAAACCTAGGTATTTATGTCAGTTGCGCATTGCATGCAAGTCTGACACCATATCAGAATATATTAACTACGAGTCGTGATCTTTGCTGGAAATTCTGCATGTCTCGTATTCATTTTATGAAGATCCTTTCACAATGTACAATTTGAGTTTTTATTTTATTTTTTTGCAAAACAGTTTTAGGAGTATTGGACTATAGTGAATTCAAGCGTTCGATGATTTCTCCTTCATCTATTCTATAAAAAAAATTATTGTTGTTTGGTAGTTTCTTCTTGAAATGACTGAGTAAAACTTATATAAAATATGTAAAGAGTATTTGAGAAACTATTTGTTGTTTAATATAAATATACATGTCTATTGAAAAATTGTATCGAAGTCATCATATTTGTGAGTAATATTATTATTTAATAGGAATCATTTGAAAAATTAATTTTACTTATAATTCCAAGTGAATGATTTTTGGTGTTTTGGCACTTGCAATTTTTGGTTTCTCGTGATTTTTGCCCCAATGATACAAAAGTACTAATAATTTTTAAATATAGTTACTAATAACAATTTATCATGTTAAGTCATTAATTATTCACTTTTAACCAATTAAAAAGAATAAATTACACACTTTTCTCTCTTTTATTTAATGTTTTCATCATTTTCAATAGTGTCTCTCTTTTTAATTGGTTAAAAATATATAATTAATGGGATTTAACCTGAGCTATAGATAAATCTTGGTTATAAAATGTGCATATTCCATTAGGCATGTGAATGAGTGTGGTCAAATAAGTTGATATTGAAGAACCTAACACTAGTACACGGTGAGCATAGTTTTTTTTTAATAATTAAAACATTTTCTAATATTTTTAATTTCGCTAACTTATCCTACATAAAAAGATTTGACTCCTAAGACATGTATCAAGCATTTTTCCTATATTTTTAAGTAATATGCATGGAATCCGCGTCAGCTCAATTAGGCATGTGCCCAAGTTATTTTTCTCGAATAAAGACTTCCATCGTGATGCCGGCTGATAAGCCCTTGCAATAGTCCCATTTAGGTGGAAGAAAGACAAATACTCTGACTTTTTTTATTTTTAATAATATTATTTTATGAAAACATTTTTGGTTAAGTTTAAATAAGCATTTTATTAATTGATTTATGCGTTCAAGGATCTCTCAATTTCATATTCAAGTTGATCAATATGAATACATTGGAAAATCAAAGTGGCTGGCTAAAGAAACTGAAGACAGTTGACATTATATGACTAAGTAACTCAGATTCAATGACAAATGGTTCCAACCTTAGCTTCCGTCGTTTACAAGAGTAAAAATGCCGCCCTGAAAGGTTTCCAGTGGAATATATTAAGTAGTGTTCTTAAACTATTAGTTATTTATTAACCTTTTGGGCCACATGATGCACCTATTAATGCTTTTTTTTAATAATACTTATAAGTGTTAAAAATGTCTATAGACAATTGCAATTAAAACAATAAAATTTACAATTGTATTATTTTTATATTTATTTTAAATTATTAATTAAATATATTTATTGTTTCCTTTCTATTCATAAAAATATCAATCGACTGCGTGACTTATTTAACAGTAGTTCTAGTTTAACTTATAGTTTTAAATTTAAGTATAAATAAATGCATATGTATTAAAAATTTGAATATAATTGAGGGAAGATACGTTGAATTAATTATACATGTGTGTAAAAAGGATATATCATAAAACAATAATCATAAAAATAAACATAATAACAATATTAAATATGGTTATTTTTAATAAAAATAATTATTTACTGCATTTATATTACCTACGTCGATAAAATCATATTATAAAAATAAATTTGATAAGCCGAATATTATTGAGAGAAAGCAGCAGATTAAGATTTCAATTCATCCATAATGATTGAGAAAAAGATGGAGAAAAGGAAAAGTCCAAACTGAGTTGCTCCTCCTCCTCCTCCTCTGTCCTTCCCTGCACTTTCCTCTTTTATCTGTTTCCACTTTTCTTCCACTCATCTCTCTTCTTCCTCTCTCTCATACTCATCACCAAAACCAAATCTTCTTCGCTTCCTACTTCCTTCCTTCACTTTCACTCTCTGCTCTGCCATCGCCAGCCATGTCAAACCAACAAGGTTCTTTCTCTCTCCTCTGTTTAACTTCACCGTAAAGTTTTCGTTTTTTTATGACCCTTTTACATGTAGGTGGAGCTGCTCCTCTCGGCCAAGGCGAAAGGGACACCTCCGAAAAGGGTCCCGCCACACAAACCTATAATCCACTTTCCGAAATATCGCCGTCGCCGTCTCCGTCGTCGGCGACGGCGCCGGCGTTGGTACTGTCGAACTCAGGGAAGAGAATCGATCAAGCGGGGAAGAAGAAGTACGTGAAGCAAGTGACGGGGCGGCACAACGACACGGAGCTTCACTTGGCGGCGCAAAGGGGCGATGTGGGTGCGGTGAAGCAGATCCTTATGGACATCGATTCTCAGATAATGGGTACTCTTAGTGGTGACGATGATGATCTCAACGCTGAGATTGCTGAGGTTCGTGCTTGTGTTGTGAATGAAGAGAACGAGCTTGGTGAGACCCCTTTGTTCACTGCTGCTGAAAAGGGACACCTCGATGTTGTTAAGGAACTTTTGAACCATTCCTCCGCCGATACTGTTTCCAAGAAGAACCGATCTGGCTTTGATCCCTTGCATATTGCTGCTAGTCAAGGCCACCATGGTATCTCTCTCTTTCTCTCTCTGCTACTTGTGTTGCTTTAGTTAATTATATGAGCAGTTATGTTATGTTGCTTAAGTTACTTATTTGAGCAGTTATGTTATGTTGTTCGAGGTATCAATTAAAGAACCAAGTTTTCTTTCAGAGTGCATCTCTCAATGTTTAGATGTCCCATATTAACTAGGAATATGGCCATAATCCTCCGTGTAAGACGTGGGCAACCCTCTGCACTTGGCTAGTTTTTGGAGTGAGCTAGTTCTAGTTCATTTATATGCACCTGAATGCTTTTAGTTACTTATAAAGCAAGTGTTATATGGTTTTTGTATTTAGGAAAATGTTTGGTAAACACTCCTTGGTTTAGACACTAGAGAGAGTTAGGAAGAGAAGGGAGAGCAAGAGTTGATAGATGTGATGAGTAATGTAATGTGACGGGAAGAGAGATGCAGAGAGGTGAGGGATGTCATGTCACTAATGGAGTGTTTAGAAACTAGAACCGTTGTATTTATGATATAATAAATGTTCTCTTTTCTAACAAAAACTTACTATTTTTATTGTTGTTTCTCAACCGGGATATTTAGTGCATAGGATAGAAAAATTGATTAAATAAAATCAATTATTGTGCTTTAATGATAATCTTGAGAGGAAAGTTATGAAGTCAGCAGATAATCTTTGTTATTCCCTTAACGGCTGGCTTTTTTGGGTTCTGATTGTTAGACCTTGATAGATTTTGACTAATTCATTGTGAAGAGTAGCTTCAATTTATTAGTGTATGATGTGATGTTCATCATACGTGTTGATGTAATTTAATGTGAATTATATTTTATTTCTGTCGTCTGTGTAATTGATGGTCAATTTTTATTTACAGCCATTGTTCAGGTTTTACTAGATTATGACCCGGGATTGAGCAAAACGATTGGTCCGTCCAATTCCACTCCACTTATAACTGCAGCAACAAGAGGGCACACAGAAGTGGTGAATGAACTTCTGTCAAAGGATCGTAGCTTGTTGGAAATTGCTAGATCCAATGGCAAAAATGCATTGCATTTAGCTGCTCGTCAGGGCCATGTAGAGATTGTAAAAGCCTTGCTCAGCAAAGATCCACAGTTGGCTCGGAGGACAGATAAGAAAGGGCAAACTGCATTGCATATGGCTGTAAAAGGGCAGAGTTGTGATGTGGTGAAATTGCTTCTGCAAGCAGATGCTGCTATTGTCATGCTTCCTGACAAATTTGGTAACACGGCATTGCATGTGGCTACCAGGAAAAAGCGAGTTGAGGTATGCCTACAGTTGCACAGCATTTCAATTTACAATCACCATACATATATAGATGAGGCAATACAAATTAATTTACTTGAACAAATATGCTCACAAGTCTTCTGGTGTTGGAGCTAGGGTACTAATAATTTAATGTGCTATAGATTTACTAAAAAATGCAAATGAACCTGCTTGTTTAGTATGGTTTAGTTTAATTTGATAAGAAGTTTTGGGTCTTTTGTTTTTTAGTTTTTCTTACTGTATGTATGTGTTAAGCATTCAATGTAGAAATCTAATGTTATGGTTTCTCAATTTCCTGTGCAGATAGTGAATGAGTTATTACTTCTGCCTGACACCAACGTTAATGCATTAACCAGAGACCACAAAACAGCCCTTGACATTGCTGAAAACCTTCCCCTCTCTGAAGAGGCATCAGATATAAAGGCCTGTCTTTCACGATGGGGGGCACTTAGAGCCAACGAGCTAAACCAACCAAGGGATGAATTGAGGAAAACTGTCACTCAAATTAAGAAAGATGTTCACACCCAACTAGAACAAACGAAAAGAACCAACAAAAATGTTCATAATATTTCCAAAGAGCTAAGGAAGCTCCACAGGGAAGGAATTAACAATGCCACAAACTCAGTGACAGTGGTGGCTGTGTTGTTTGCTACAGTTGCTTTTGCTGCTATATTCACCGTGCCTGGTGGGGATAATGATGATGGCTCAGCTGTGGTAGCAGCTTATGCTGCTTTTAAAATCTTCTTTGTCTTCAATGCTATTGCACTTTTTACATCTTTGGCTGTTGTGGTTGTTCAAATTACCTTGGTTAGAGGTGAAACTAAAGCGGAGAAAAGGGTGGTAGAGGTGATCAACAAGCTGATGTGGTTGGCTTCTGTATGTACTTCAGTGGCATTTATTGCCTCTTCTTACATAGTTGTGGGTAGGAAGAACGAGTGGGCTGCGATTTTGGTCACAGTAGTTGGAGGGGTGATAATATCTGGAGTCCTTGGCACCATGACTTTCTATGTAGTGAGGTCTAAGAGAAGCAGTTCAATGAGGAAGAAGGAAAAGCAGCAGCTAGCTAGGAGGAGTGGATCCAACTCATGGCATCATTCTGAATTCTCAAATTCTGAGGTTGATCGAATTTATGCTCTCTGATTTTGATCTCGCAGCTTTTTGGGTGATTGTGAAGACCAAATTATGGGGTATAAGATAACAGGTGTTTAGAGCTTGCTCCATATTACCACTTTAAGGGTTCACTAAGAACCCCTAATGTGACATGTTGTGTACACTGTACAGGCAATTGTTTTCTGCTGTAGGATCTTGACAAATTGCAATGAAGCCATAATCGTTATTGTAACTGTTAAATGGTGCACTGCAGGGCCTATGTAAGCACCTGTATCTTAATCCCAGGTTGTGATTTGCTAGTGTTATAAACCGAACATTGTTTTAATTATCAATTTATGTATTGATATCAAAATATGCCTACTATCCCAGTTGGTTACTGAATGTTTTATTACTAGATTTCTCTTGGGGGGCTTTTCAATTCATACAGGACCTTGATAATGCTGCATTTTATTTAGAAAAATGAAGAACTATCACATGGTGAATTGGATCGTTGTAACGGCAAGTTTAGTGTCATAACTGGCCTGTGTTCACAAGCTAAGCTAGGTAAAAATAATGACAATAACTGATCCCTCTAAAATCACAAGAACGAATCGAAGCATGCAATGTTAAAAGTAGCTTGAATTTTTTATTTTCCATTAGGAGTGGCTTGGATTTCACTAACATTTAACAATACTAGACGCACTATTTGCAGAATAAAACACAAAAAGTCTGGCCCATATGACAGTAAAATGGAAAATTATGACGTGTACTTGTAAATACTAAATATATGCGCAAGTGTCTCAAACCTTTAAATTAGTTATAAATAATATAGGGATATCAAGAATTACAAGGAATACATGAGATGTGATAATGACAAGAGTACTCTAATTTTCTGATATATGAATTAGGCATTATACTTCTCCATCATGTTGCATTAAGTTTCAAGTTTTAAATAAAAAAGAATGTAGTTATTGAATCTAAGAAAATACACATGTAAATCTAGTCACTGTAGTTTAGAAATTGAAAATTGAAAATGGAAATTAGTGAAGAGAAGTACTCGACAAAATAGAAATACGTTAGAATCGATCATGAAGGTTGGACACGATTGACTTTTGAGAACTTTCATATATGCATCTCACTCTTGTGAAGCCACTATGCATGCTCACAACAATTTAACAAAGTTTTGAGAAGTGAAAATGAAAAAGCTCTCTAAATGGAATGACAAAATTACAATGTTAACAAATATACCTTGTAATAGTCATTGAATATGCGTTTTAAGAAGCCGGGGGAGTCCCAGTTAAACATAAGCTTTTGGTGTGTTTAAGGAAGGATTCAATTTTAATTGATTCATAAGCACTGTTAGATAATGATTTGTTATCAAAGAACCTAAACTTGTAAGGACACTTTTGAAAGGTTAGTAAAGGTAAAAATCAAGTTGAAGAATGAGGATGTAAGGAGTTTATATTATGGATGTAATGAAATGTAGAGTAAAAAAAACATGAAGTTGACATATTAAGAAGTGTAGTAATATTTGAGTCATATTTTCGAATGATGTTTTAACGTACCCCAAATATCGTTTTAAAATATGGTAAATTATGAGGGCCCTCCTTAAGGAGAAAATTAAAGTAGGTGGTGTCATATTAAAATTTTCATACAAAGGAGAAGATATCATATTAATTTACGTTATCACATCAAGGGAGAAGATGCTTTGTTAATATTCAAAACAACAGAGGTTCTTGTGATATGCCATTTGGAGTAAGCATCGGTATAATTTTCAAATATGTTTCACAAATTTTCTTTTACTCTCTTTAGCTACAAAGTTGTCAAACACCTGCTAACATTTACACTTAGTTTAAGGATTGGTCTAACCCGTAAGATAATTTAAAGAAATCAAAATAGAACCATCTGAAAAGCTGTTTGTCTCTTTGTCTGCACTTAAGGATTTCTTTACACTTCAAGTGTGATTATTTTAACATAATCTCTTTTACGTATGAAGTTAACTTCCTCCTAATTCTTCTTTTCTCTTTCTTTTTCTTTTTTTCTCTTAGTTGCTTGACAAGCTTTTTCCAATATGATAAAATAAACTTACTTTAATTTAATGATCAAGAAATTTTCTTCATAGAGGAATTAAAGGCAATGTCTTATGGTTGCCAAGGGGGGAAGACAGGTGGGCTTCTACACTCGTAATAATTGTTACCCTCCATGTTTGATAATTAGCAGGGACCTTAAAAACATGTATTTCAAAATACATTTTTTTTTTCGAGAAAATTGGTATTTAACAATCCCATTTGTCTATTTATTAAAGATTGTGGTTCATAAAATTAATGGCAAAATAGAAGATCATGTTTGCCAGGATAAGCAATTAAAATCCATTGGTACATGGCATGAAAAGATTGGTGCTTTATTTCTTGCCATGATTTGAAATTAGTATTCCTTGACAATGAGCCTAGGGTTGCATTAGTAGATAACACTAAATTTCTCATTTGTTTTCCAAAATGAATTTTTTCGATTCAGAAGGCCTTGTAATATGCGGGTTCTCAAGATATTATGCATTCCACTTCAACAATTGAGTTTTGATGTCCACATTACTCTTTCACTCATTATGTTCGTACTGTGCCTACACTAATAATTTCTTTTCATGATTGATAAAAGGAATTATACAAAGCAGGATCAAATTAATAATATCAGACATTATAGTGCGTAAAGCATGTCACCATTCTAGTTGACAGCATTTAGAAGCAGTGAGATTTCTATAGAAGTTGTTATACTTCTAATGTATTCTTCTATTCATTGTTCCTTATATTTTAAAATCTCTATGAAAATGCTTGATATATACTGATGCAGTGATGCCTATCATAATACAATAATTGATTGTTACAGTTGATTTAAGTTGATAGAGTTCAAAATTATATTAAAAAAATGAATGAATAAAATTTTCAGTGTGCTGGTTGTTCTAATTACCAGTTGATTCTTGCAGTATTGAAGGAAGGTTTTGGCATGGAAAGTGGATAGTACACTGTTGCGTTTTTCCTTCAAGAAGGATCTCATTTTCTACTCATTATAATTTGGTGTCAAGGACCACAAGCTGAGATCTTATGTAGACAAAATTCCACCAGATTTTGATGCTTTGGTATAAATATCCACGACAACCAAGAGTGTTTCTAAATTTTTTACTGGTGAATTAGACCTATCTTTCACCAAAGTTACTTTTGAATTGGAAAGACAACGTGTGAAGAAGACAACATAAGTAAAGCTACTTTTTAATTCCCTATCAACCCCTGCAAAGTTCTGCTCTTTCATGATCCTCACAAACTGAGGTTCTGGAAGCAGACATTGAGTAGAGTCCTACTTCACTCGCTGTCTTCTTTGAAGAGAACATTTGCTGAGACTTCTTGCAGTGTGCTATTGCTCCCTGTATTGAATTTTCTATCTCTGAATTCACACTGCTGCACCTTTTCAGAAGCTGGCGAGCTTGAGAGCCATATGATTTGTTTGAAAAGGAAAATGAAGTTGAGCCAGACAATGATGGAGGTGTTGATGACTTGTTACCTGAAAGAAGTTTGATGCCGACCGAGAATGATCGCCTATGATGGTTACCTCCATCCTCACTGCTCTTTTCTTGGTAGCTTCTCATCACAGAATTGGAGGAATGGTATTTGTCCCTATAAATTTGGCCATATGAATTTTTCTTTGCCACTTGCACATGCTTGTTTAAGACTTCCCTGGCTTTTGAAACTGAACCTTCATCTGCAACTTTTGTTGAGGTTGCATAGGTTTCATATGAGCAACCAGATTTTCCAAACCAAGACTTGAGATAAGCTCTTGAAGCCCTCAACTTTGAACCTAGTGAAGACTGCTTCAGTTTCTTGGTCCATGACTTCTTCTGGTTTTCAACAGAAAATTTACTTGTATCTGTTGGGTAGTCAAAATTATAGTACTCTTCAGGATTTAGCTCTCTGCTAACTTGGCAAGAGTCAGATGGTGAGATGTTGCAGGATTCAAATGGGGTGCCTGCAATTGGAGTTGTATAAGTGGTGGCAAGAGGAGTGCTATAGAACTCTTCAAAGATATCTTTTTCCTTGTCAAAAGGAGAGTTGGAGTTTTGAAGGAGTTTTTCAACCATTTGTAACCGAGGGGGAAGGTGAAGAGGGAGAAGCTTTCCTTTGTAGAAAAGCTCATCAGCTGGAGAGGTTGTTGTTTCCTTCTCTTGAACAATGGAGGACATTTGGAACTCAAATTCTCTAGGCTGTGGAAGAGTGCTTGAAGAGTGGCAGAAGAAGCTGGAGTATGAGCTCACTTCCATGTCAATGTAATCATCATCTGCAGCTAGAAGTGTTGTAGCCATTTCAGCCTTTCAGCTACACAACTTGGGTATTTGGACTTGTATGTGGGATTGCAGCTAATGGTGGCTGAGCTTTTATTATGAAAAATGAAGAGTAGTACTGCTTTTAAAAGTGCATAAAATGGCATATTCAAAAAGCAGTATACTGGAATTAGTGGTGTTCTAATCTTATTGCTTTTTATTTTTTATTTGATGTCTTGTCATTATTGAAGGAGTTTGTCTGTAATCATCCAAATGCAAAATTAAAAGCTGATTAATTTTCATATGGGGGAAAGCACTGACCCACTTGAACTCTGTAGCTTATTTCTCATTGGGTTTGCAATTTTTATATTTCTTTTGGTAATTGGTAACTCATGACACGAGTTCCATTATTTCGTTTGCCTAGGGACTTAAGCAAGATATTGACCAAAAACTGCTGTCTCACCGTGGCTCAGGTAGTCAGGTTAGTTACTTTGCTTAGTCTTGTATAATGGAAAGCAAGAATTGAGATATTACATGATGATTGTAGTCGTTGGTTTCATTTCTTTCTAACAATATATAGGTTAAAGCATAGACTAAAATGGGAGGTCGAACCTTAAAAGGAAGCAAATATATTTATTTGAAAACCTTTATTTAATAGTGAACTACAAGTTTCTGTTTGTTATTTTAAGCAGAAGCGGGTGGTTAGCGTTTGGGATTTGAATGATATTTATATTTAACTTTTAAATAGTTTAGAAATTGGTGACTAAAAGTAAAAGAAGACGACAAAGGAATCTCCTGGTAGTAACTAGAGTATTTGTCCTTAAGGTGACTGTGTAATGAGTGGGAGTGAGGAATAGACCTCCAACTTAAGGTACTTCTCTGAGGAAAACTTATGTAGGCAAATTTGGCTTCTGAACAAGATATGTCGCATGCCATGCATTTTGGCATTCATATTAGTACTTGCATTGTGCTTTGGTTCAGTGCATCAAAATTATTCTGACAAGTAAAGAGGGGAATACGTGCTGCAATTGATTAATCATCAACTTTCACGGATTGCATTTTTCTACTTTTAACTGGATTCCTGGTTTTGTTTTAACACACTTTAGTATAATTGCACACGAGAAAAGGTCTGCTAAACCTTTTGGTGTACATGGTTACAAAACATGGGCAACTTTTTCATTCTTTTCTTATTATTCCTGTTTGTTTATGGTTAGCTTCTCGGCTTTTCTGATTATTTTAATATCATTTTAAAAAATCAAGCCCTATCGTAACTGAATAAAGTATAGTAAATGCACACACTGAACAAAAATGACTTGAGAAAGAACTAACACACGAACCGACAGAAAATGGTGGGAGATGGAGACTGAGGCCGGAATGCCTGCAAAGCTCGAGACTTTGGTTGTCATCACCTTTTAACACACTCCTACCTACTTTTGGGTTAACCTCCCCTTTCCTTTATTCATTTTTTAAGTCACAGGCAAAACAAGGTCCTATCTTTTCCTCTTTTTTCCCCCACTGTGCAAGTTGTTTGACATTGCAACCACACTGAGAAACAACGCGTAGTGGTTCATTCTTTCTGTATATGCAGGCCTTAGCTATGCAAATAGCGACATTATTTTAACTGAATTTGCCACTTCAGTTAGGTTGTCAAGCAATTTCATCTTTATTTTTATAATGAAAGCCTGTTTCGCCAACATGACAGAATTGGCGAAGTTGCTTCCCCATCGATCATAACTTAAACTACTTGTTACATCACTAATCTACTTTCTTGCCCTATCAAAGATACGATCCATTATCAAGACTAATAAAAAAACTTGGTCCATTTTGTCCAACATAATAATGGGAATCGTTTTTACAAGTCACTCCATTCGATCTGCATGTAGGGTCGCTGTTTAAAAATTTTCAGCAATTAGGCCTTGTGGTTCCAGGACTGTACAGCATTAGCATGAGCCTATGCCCAATCCTAACGTCCATCTCTGCGCATCAAAATGATCAACGAGTGCAAATTTTATAACCATACTGATAATTTCAAATCATTTGATGACTGCGTCTGCGTGTTACAAATTCAGTAATTTACAGAAGAATCAAGAAATTATCTATGTAATGTTTACAAAGTCAAACGCATTTTTTCCAAACTACAGCTTCATTAACAGCCGACCTACAGCTTACAAATTTATGATACTTGCAGCTTCATTATAAAAATACAAAGGCAAGCATTAATAACTCAGAAATAAGATTGACATAATTACTTGTTGCTTAATTACCAGAAGCCAATTCTCTTTCAAGTTCATCAAATTCCCAATCACCGATTTCCTCTGCTGAATAATCCTGACTAACCTTTCCAAACTCAGATTCCAGCTTAGCTAATTCAGCTTCATGGTCCAATATTTGGTCTGCCTTAACTGGAGGTGATTTTGGCTGTTCATCTGTTTCCGGCTTTGAAAGCTCAGTACCTTGACCCGCAGCAGAAAGTGAAGAAGTACCATCAGACCTTTTGTCAAAAGGTGGTGTTTCATCCTTTGCAGTTGGGCTCTCTAATTCAAGAATTGGTCTCTCAATAGACTCAAATTGAGTTCGTAACTTTTCAATAACATCAAACAGCTCTTTAACTCTCTCTTCATCATTCCTGTATTCATTAGCTCGATAAGCAAGGGCAATTGAAAACAACATAGTATGAGGAGCTTGAGGCAATGCTAATTTCTATGCAAGGAAAAAGAATGTGACAACCTCCTGTACTTCAGTGTACTATAAGATGTTCTTTATAGGAAGAAAACAATGATTTTAACAGGATTTTTTGGGTCAAAACCAGTTAGACGACTTCAATTTACAACCGGATTTACACATTACAATATTTTGACCTTATATTAACCAATTGTCCAATTCAGAGTTTAATAAATCAACCCCATAAAGTTATCTAGAATGGAAATACAAAACCTGGAGATCTTCCCCTGTTGGGCGTAAAACTGCTGTTTCATGTTATCCACTACACTGAATGTTGTAATGATCTGAAACAATGAAAGAATACCATCAACAAGTCAAAGTAAATCGTAATGCTTGCACAATCAAGCATGCAACAGGTATTGGGGGTCAAACATATTTTAGGTTTACAGCAAGCACTTGCACAATCAAAAAATTAATACCCCAAAAAAAGATAAAAAAACCTTACAGCAGTGTCGTAGAGAAGAGTGTGCAATATAATAGGACAACATTTCTACAAAGCCACTAGGATAAAAATGAAACACTCCAGGACATTGGAACACTATTAAGAGGGGGAAATCAATAAGACTGTTGGATGAACAAGGCATTGATTGAATATTACTCAATGTCACATCTATACCTTGGCTTCATAGGTCAAATATTCCTCCTCAAGATTCCTCCTTGGACTTAATACTTTTGAATCCTCAGTATCTGCACTGGATGTCATCTCTAACCTGTCTCCTCAAATAAAAATTAAGAAAATAGATAAACAAATAATCATGTATGTGCACACATGCACAAACATTTTTAAAATTAAATTCATACTTTATATACAAATGGACCAACCATTTGATCTCTGACTTATTTTAAAAAATCTAAATTAATGTGTGCATTCACACACACAATAATATTGTGAAAAAAAATTGTATTCTCAGAGAAATTGCCAAATAACTTAAAAGAAAAGCTATTACCTCTTGCTTAAATTCTTGAGGTTCACAACAAATGTTCCAATATGGTTAATACAAGGCTCTAAATCTTTCTGCACATAACATAACAGGTCATATTACAAATGGGAAAAAAATGGAGTAGTCTGTCATCATACATCAATTATCTGAATTAGTAAAGGAAAATCAATACCTGGTAAGCAGTAAGAAGTTGAATGGCCAAGTTCACAAAGTAGTCTTCATGTCTCTCCAATTCATCACTTTAAAAGTGTAAGGATTAGTAACAATACTAATTCAATGAAAAATAAAGAACAGCATAATAAGTATAATTTCTAGTTTCTGGTTGAATAAAACTGTTAACTGAGTGAGTATGTGAGGTTGGACCATGGGCTTAGGCCAAATCAAATGCCCTTATAAAGATCCTTTTTGTGTACACACACACATGCAGAGAAGACTTCTTACAGAAACATCATTACACAAGTTCAAATACATACTTGACCTGCTTCTCACTAACTTCTGCATTTGACCGCTGAAGAACCCAAGTATCTTCCAGAAAATTAATCCAGGTTTTGATAACATCTGCTTCTACCTTGCATGAGCTAATTGATTTCGAAAGTTCATCTTCCTGTCAATCAAGGACAAATCAAAATTTTAGACAACTGGATGGTGAGAGTAACACTGCATTAAGCAGCATTGATTTAACATGATATGGATACCCAGCCTGGAAAAATAGAACCTCAAACCTTTATCTTCAGGTGTTCAACTATTTGATTGTTTGCTTCCTCAAACTGGTCTCTCTCTTCCCTCACATTCCATAATCGTGCTTGAGCAGCAGACAAAGAAGTGTTAACCTACACCTCATAAGCCAAATTTCAATTATTTAATAATTATAGTTAAGAAAGGTTTCCCTGTTCCACAAACAGCATCCCATATATAATTAAAATGAGGAGTCATTTTGACAAGACAATATAACAAGTCAAACTACCATTTAGTGATAGATATTAACAGTTAACTTGAAGAACAAAATTTAATTTTCACCTCTTAGTAAATAGAATGTTTCCTCAACAAATATCATCAATAATCCACATGTATGTAAAAAAGTAGCAAGACTAGGTTGCAAGGAGTAGCACATCACATGGGAGTAGAAAATGACGAAAATAATAGCTAACGGAATCAAATTTTAACCATAAAGATAAGAAAACATAGCAGACACCTTTTTCAGTTCAGCCTCGAGAGCTTCTTTTTTCTGTTGCAGATCAGATATCTCAGCTGCAAGTTCCTGAAAATAAGAGGAATAAAAAAATCATTCGTCTCCCTACTAACATGTGGAAGACCTAGTACTCAGACTGCCTGTTGATCGTTTCAGCATGGTATTTGCTCCTATAAACACATAAATTTAAAATTTCACAACCAAATTTAATCAACACTACTGCCCCCAGTGAATGACAACCCAAATGAAAGAGATAAATGTATCTTGTACAGTGATCAAACCTTCATACCATATATATAAATCCATGAAAAAGCACAAATTCAAGAAATAGAACCTTAGTGATGAACACAAATTAACACAATATGGAAACCGCGTCTTGCTTACACTATAAAGGTCAAATGAAAATATAGAGATGATAAAGGGCAAGTAACATCAACTCTTGATGAACACAAAACACAAGCATTCTCCTTTTTGGACACCCTCCCTCACACGATAATAATGTCCACACAGTATTTTGTAATGTTGACAATTTAGACATACATAGCAACAACAGTGTAGTTAAGAACAACCATGAACAATCCAATTTGAAATGTACTAAATTCCTCATCTACTAGAGATACTTGACACAATAAATATAATGCTGCCCTGCTGAACACATTACCTTCTCCTTTTCACTAGCTTCACCACTTTTAGTCACACGAACTTTTAATGCTTCCTCTTTTTGTAATCTGTCAGATTGAGAGAGAGAGGTTTAGCGTTCAGCATCCAAAGCAGAGTATTAAACAGTAAAAAAAAAACTCCCATTAATCAGGGTTGGTATGTAACATCATCTACATAAACTAAGCAAAGAGCTAGAAGTGAAAGCAGATGGTAAAATATTGATTAAGTTGGCTCCTCTGCTTCCACTTTCAGGGGAAAATCAGCACTCATCTACGTTATTGACACTCATTTGGTGCCAAAACAATGGAATTTTATTCACAGTGCATGATTGATTGATCATATTCCTTCATGTAAAAAAATAGCGTCCACCAAGTCACCCATTTTGAGCAAGACTTAATCCCCAAAGGGAGTCAAAAACACACTCAAATCAATCGTGAGAAGTTGATGTTATTCATATTTCACATAATTTTCGTGTGGGATAAAGATATGCATACAATACACTTGCATCTTTTAATGACAAATCACTTTAGAGACACCTTCTGAGCCTCAATATGAGGCTTTGTCTCTTCCTTTTCTTTGCCTAGTGTTTTTTGCTTCAGATTCTGTTTCAGCCCTCCCATTCTTCTCCTCATCTCCCTTTTTCCCAGCACCTAAAATGTCCACAAAATTCATCCCGTTTTTTTGTTTGAGAGCTCAAGTTTTATCAATCCCACATTTGAATCTCGTACTTCCAACATGGAACTCAAGCCCCATATATACCTTGCAATTAGATCCTAACATCCTACCACAATCCATAGCCCCAACACCCACACAGGCTAGTTGTGCACTACCCCTTTTTACTAAATCCTAAGTAAAAACTATAATGGTGTCATCACCACTCACATTGCTTGTTTGTAGCTGGGAGACTTGGTAGAAAGCTCTGATACTAATTGATAAGAACCTTGAGAGAACCACACCACAAAAGGTAACCATTACAATTGGAGAGCCAAAACCAAAAGCCTTATAATTATAAACCTCACATTTAAATCTCATACTTCCAAGAGGGGACTCAAGTCACCTTTCAAACAGAGGATGTCCAGTGCTCAAGATTCTGAAGAGAGACAAGAGTGAACAGTGTATTGTGCCAGAATACCACTAGACATATGGGTGGCTCCAGTTGCACAAGTGGAGAGAAGGGGTCAAAGTTGCTTGGGGAGGGAAACGCATGAGACCAGACCACCTAGGATAGGGTTTTTTTATCATTCTAATAAAAGACTATATGAGTGGAAAATGCCAACTTTACCATAAAAAAAAGACCCCCCAAAACAACATTTCTTGGGAGAAAAAGGGTATCCAAAACCCTTTCCTCAACTTAGCAGCGCTATAGCACCATGAATGACCGCATTTTGGGCTGCGGTGGCCATGAAGGCAAAATGCATGGCAAGATGCTAATCAATTTTTGCAGCTGCAGACAGCTGCTCCACAGCGATAACATGTTATTAATAACACTGGCATATTTGGACCCACTCGAAAATAAAACTGATTGAAACTGAAGAAATTTGATGTTTTAAAGCCAAAAAGCTAAGTATAATGGTTTTAACAAAAACTGTTTCTCCCATGAGTAAAAAGCATGAATTCAGATTGACAAAAAATGGAGAGAATACTATTAGAGTTTCATAATTTGACAGCCTAACCTGTTATCTACAATACGCTTTTCAGCTTTTGCAGCAGAGTTGGCAAGAGATTCCGTTAAAACCTTCAGCTTATCAACCTACTTAAAAGCATGATAGTATTGCCATAAATGGAAAATAATATAACTATATCACCCAATAAACATTCAGTCAGATCATTCAAATAGGACTGACAATATTACCAAAAGAGTTAACAGAATAGCCCCCTACCAATCTCATTCTTACTAACAAAAGCTATGATACATACTCATATAGGATTATCAGATCTGGCTATCCCTCTTTAAAACCAAGACAGTTGGTAGTTTTATTATTTTGCAGTGCAATTTGCATACAATTTGAGAACAAAATATAAGGAACAATTAAAACAAAAATGATAACGTGGACAATAATTTTTGCATTTTTGGGATGTCAAGTGATTTAAGTTAATGAGTAGAAGAAAATAAATAATAGAACTAAAAAATAACCATCTTTTTTTATTGATACTACAGACAACTAAAGAATGGTAATTGCAAAAATAAGAAATGATACAGCTTTTTTATTTATTTTGTTTTCAGTTTCTCTCCATTTTTTGAGAGATTCCATTTTTATTTTAGTCGAATCAAGATAAACCATTCTTATTTTAATTCCTCTATATTTAGTTTTTTAGAGAAAAGAGTTAGAAATGCCCCCCTTGTTCTCCTACCTCCTAATCTACACAAAGAAGCTCATAGAGGAAAGAATTGTACCTTTTGTGCATGAATCTCAGGAGAGTCTCCATAGCTTAAATTATTTTTCTTCAGCAGCAATGCTTCCAATCTGGAACAGATTCTAATTTGAGAAAGAGCAACTTTTAAGGCCTGAAAAATGAAGGGCTAATTATACTCCATTTTTTAAATTTCTAAATATGGAAAAGACTATATAATACAATAAAGAATTATAAAACATATTAAATTAATCAAACTCTCAGCTGTAGTTTTGGTTCTCTTCTAAACATTTAAACTCTCACAGTGGTTTGTAAAACTAAGAAAAAACTCAAGTGATAAGGTCTGAAAGCATGATAGATTCACTTAACAATTAATCATCGTAAACCTTAAAAATCCAAAACATATAAAGGGATAAAATGTGACATTTGATATATGTTATTTTTTTGTAGGGGAACATAAGATCTTGGGTAGACGCATGCATGCATGCAGCAACATTGATTAGTAAAAAATCTTATTACAAGGATAGATTATATTGGGAGGCTAACTCAAACAAAAGTTAAGAAATAAGCTTGTTCCATCATACATATTATTATATTAGTCACCCAGCAGAAACTCATTAGTGACACATCAAAAGGCTTCACAGAGGAAGTTATTACGACAGAAACATACCTCTAATGATGCTATTGTTTCCTCTGCAGCATCATAAACACCTTTGTCTACAGGCTCCTGTGAACTTGTTATCTCTATGAGTTTTTGCTTAAGACTAGAGGCTTCAGCATCTATTCTGCAGTCAGAAAGCCCGAAAAAAAAAAAAAAAAACAGTGAGGCAGATTGCAACCTAATTTTCCCACTTTATATTATAGCAGTGGTCATGGATCTGCTGATAATAACTAGAGTTAATATCTAACAAATACATGATGAAAAATTTTAAAATTTTTTCAATAATTTCACATGCAAGTGAAATATTTCAATTTGACCAGAACAAAACTGTCTGCCAAATATTGGACATTCAATAAGATGATTTCAGATATTGTCACCAGAAACAACTTTAAAAACTATCTGTGGTTTAAAAATAACATGTAAAGATTGACTTTTCAGTGTACAGAATCTACAGACAGAAGATACATGAGATCATCCAAAAGTAAATCAAGAATGCTTTATTTTGGGATAGGGCAATGTTCCCAGCTTCTCTCTGCTACTTGGCTGAGTTATTTCATGGGTGCTGCCTTGCAAAGAGATTGTTTATTTTGTTTCTTGAGAGTACATTATGTTCTCCCTGATGTACTTCCATTTAATCATATTTTCAATTCTTATCAAACAGAAGAATGGAAAGACTGATCCATTATATCTACATTTTAAATGTCAAATCAGGAAGGAGATAAAAGGTCATAACAGTGACAAGAGATGTCAGTCAAGCTGGTAGGGGAGGCCATGCCAATGTAGTCACAGGTCACTACATAAAGAATGAGGGCAAGGCAATCCTGTGCCAACCAGTGGATACCCAAATTGCACACCCTGTATTATGAGGCAGAGTAGCAAAAGTGTAGAGAGGTCAATCTGCCACACCCCACATCCCTAAAACCCGCAGGACAGGGAGGGAAGGCTGTTGTTAGACTTGCTCCCCTTGGATAATATCAACCAAATATGCAAACAATAGATCACAACACAATTTACACACACTGGAACTTAAACTTCAGATCCAACCTCAGACTTTAGTGTCAACTGTCAAGCATAAACAGTATGATTATGAACAAAATGACAATGGAAACCCATTGCTTCACACTGACCTTGAAAGATCAGAATTTATTTTCAACCCAGTGATGGCACCTTGTGCAAACTGAAGCAATTCCTCTCGCTTCACCTGAAGAATAAAGTAGACAAATAACAATCTCATTGAATGCACAACTGAACAAAGAATAACACACTGCTATATGCCCATAAATCATGAGTACTGCTTGTTCATAATGCCCACAGATTTTTGGTTCATCACTATCACGGTGACTTGTTTAATATTTCAATTATTCTTTTTCTGGTTTAAGCAAGAGCCCACCACTAATGGGCTCTGGGGGAAAATGAAAATGGGGGCAAAGTGCATGCAGAGTTTAAACCTGCAAACTCTCCTTGCATGTCTCGCAACTCTACCAACCAAGTTGTCTCAAGGGAACTACATATACTTTGAATTACTTTCTTATTTGAACACATTTAAGATTTAAAAACAAGTTGCTTTCAACTTTACAATAATTACAACTTCCAAAAGTAAACTCACCTTTTAAATTGATACATTAGGAGTTGATTGGTACTGTCTACATAACATTATGATACATTAAAAAATCGACATTTGAAGATATAAAATTCTGATTTTATCCCTTTTTTTTCCATTCTAATAAACTATCAGTGTTAACTACCTCATAAAATATTAGCGATAACCATAGATTAAAAGACAGTTCCTAAATTTAAAAAATATACAATAGAAAAATATTTGACTATAAGAATGTTAATGCAGCCAAAGATCTGAAACAGGGTAACCAAGTCTGGGGGGAGATAGGACAAGTTCCCACTGTTGTTCTCATTAGTAATTTAGTACAATTAATGGTATAACATCACTAATATATAATTTTAGGACCTTCCAGAAATTTTTCTTTTTTATTTTAATAGTCTTACTCTTTTGTACCATAGTGAGACACGGCTTAAGGAAAATGCTACAGCAGGTGCTTAAAAATTCTGTACTCAAAATTGGATCTTAAAAGGGAGAGTACATATTGACTATCAATACATCAAACAACCTTCAAAGATTTCGTGAAGTCACAACTAAACTCCCAAAACACAAATAACAAGAGAGGAGTAAACATAGAAAGCATCTACTAATGAAGCATATCTATCTGTAGATATTAGCGAAGTCAAGATCATCCTTACCAATACTTCATCTTCATAGCTTGAAAAGGCTGTAGCTAAATCTTGCAAGCTGCTTACTATGGCATTATGAACTTCTTTCCCTCCACTAAGACAAAGCCTATACAAATAAGGATGAGCCAAATATGATTAGACCTATCTTCAGCTGAATTACAATATTCAAAATTTCACAAAAAGATGCAGATGAAATTAAAATTCTAAGTGACAAAGACATTATTTTCACAATTATAAAACATTGATAATATAAGGATGCATCACAGGGTTTCAAATCTAGGTGGAGCTGCACCCAAATATCATAAACATAAGAGTCCAAAAGGAGTCATGCCAAGAAAATATCACATATAAGTTCCTAATTGCAAACCACAATGAGACAATATATATATATATATAACTACTAGACTCACCCAAACATCTCCAGGAGAAGGGAAACCTCTTCCTCATTAGGAGCTTCGATAATCTGAGGAATAGAAAAGAGTTAACCCTGCGGTTAACCTCCATTATTAGCAAAAACAAACATAATGACTTATCCAGAATTATCTTCTTTTACGGCTTTACCAATATAATGATAATACTAGAACATAAAGCTGCCTACATCAAAGAAGAGCATAGGAACAGAAGGCATGTTCCACTAGATCAAAATAGAATTGATGGAATGTTCACAATTTACTAACTCTTAAAAGAATAAAGTGATTATAATAAATTTTACGTTAAAATAATATGTTGGAAAAACATGTGTGTACATACTTCACAGTCTGAAACAATGAATCTCAAGCTTGCATCTTGGGCTTTCACCACGCTAATGCCATGCCTTACTTCACAAGCATACTTGATACAAGCACCCGGTTTACTAAGATTTCTTAAAATGCTACAGTTTTATGCTTACAGAACAAACCATAAATATCTAAGTTATAAGCTTAATACCCATATACCATGAGGAATTCAGCATAATAATTAACATTAACTAAACATACCATTGATAATGTTATACCCTCCAATGCCTGACTTCGAAGAAAAACATCACGAAAATTCAATGGTTCACCTCCAACATCAGAGTCATAATAAAGAACCTGAAAAGAGCCAGCAGAATAACAAACACAACGAGCTAAGATAAGAGGATGCCATTATGTTCACTATTTCAAAGACTACAATAGCAACATAAAAAATTTAATTATCAACTACCTGAAATCATAGACACATAATAAGCTCAAAAAGAAGGATCTCATAATACTTTCTAATATATATAATATAATGGCATTCTGAAATGGCAACAACATATCAAACATACTACTCTGGCAGTGTCCACTCATTTATCACAGACCAACAGAGAAAAGTTCCTCCTGCAATTTAATTGGGAGGAAAAGACAAAAGCCAGCAACCCAAGAATCATATTATCGTCCCAGAATAGGGAAAGATGAAGCAGTGGGAAAACAAACAGCAAAAGCTTCTTAAGTGAACTAGGCTTTGCTTGGGTAAAGTAGAAAGCATGAGAATGACTTCAATACACCATAATTTCAGAGACAATCGAGTCACTAAAGGTATAACAAAATCTCCAGAAAGTGAGCAGATTAGAAATTTGTAATAACCTAAAACCTGTTATAACAAATTAAGGTATGCAAGAAATAGAAAGGTTTGTAATTCTAACCAAAGACGGTCTCCTCGGGTTCTCCTTGGCTTCTTCAACAGCAAGATGCTGCTCAAGAGTCTTCTCTTTACCATCAGCGAGCGCCGCATCAGACAAATTCTTAATCTCATTAAGCACAACAAGCCATCTTCTAAGCAACTGCACCCTCTCAGGTCCCCTATAGGTGATAGCAGCCTCTTCCAATCTTTTAACTGTCTGCGCAATACTTCTATAATTCCGAGCAGACTGCACGGTACACATAACATAACATGAAATTCGCACTCTCATATCAAAACTTCACTTACCCTAACGGAAACACAGCACTTCAATCGAAACTACGCACATAAGGATTAATTAGGGTGGCTTCAGTGAAGTAACAAGAAATTTCAAGAAACAGATGCATTTATTGTGATTAAAAACGAGAGGTAACGTGAAAACAATCGAGAATGAGGGATTTACAATGCGATCTTGAAGGATTTTGGCGCCCTCAGCAACGGCTTGGCCGGCGTGTTGAACGACGGAATCTGCGTAGTTCTTGACGGTGCGAGTGAGGTTGTTCTTGTTGCCGACCTCGACGGCTTTGATGACCGCAGATCTCAGCCAAGACATGTTTTCTGGCACTCACACTCAAGAGTTCTGAAATTGGGAATGGAAGAGAGATATAATGCATGCAAGAAATTTAGGGTTTGGAAGAGTAGGACTAAGAACAAGGTCAAGACTCAAGAAGGATTGGAATGCACACGAACCATGTCTCTCCTCTCTCTTACTCTCTTTTCTTGTTTCCTTCGTTTCGGATTTCAAGAGGATGATTACGTCAATTTAGATTTCAAGTTCGGGCGAAACCTGTTTATGCACAAAATGAAAATTACTCTCATCATTTTGTTGTGGATGCTCTTTAATAGAATAAAAATACCTTTTATTACAGATTATGGTTTAAAAATAATAACCAAAAAAAAAGTAGTGTCTGTAATTATGTAACAAGAAAAACTGAGTACTGAAAATAAAACAAAAAGTAGAAAGAAAACAAAGTAACGTTGTTTTTATTGCATATTCTAGAATCCAACAAGTTTTATTAGTCGATTTAAAATCGAATTTGGAGTAGGTGTTGAGCATTAAGTTATTTAATAGCGCTTAAATCCAATAATAAAGAATAAACATCTCAAAAAAACCAATAATACAATGTATAAAAAATAAAACACTATAAAATATAGCAAGTTTATTCAAAAATACTTTGAACAAAAAATCAAACTAAAAAAGTTGAGGAAAGCAATTTTTGACATAACTAACTCTACCAATGCAACAATATGAAAAATTACATTAACTAAAGAGAAAAAAGAAAAAACTCACACATAACTGGACCAAGAAAGATAAAATGTAAATAATAAGTAAAAAAAATATTAAATAAGATGAAAAAAAGAAAGAAAAGAGAATGCATCAGAAAAAATGAAACAGGGGCACCTTACCAAATTTAATGGATCAAATGACCTGACCCATCGGGTCAAACAGGGCCAACTGGGACAAAATGGACTAGCCCACACTCCCATAACTGGCATGAACTTCGCAATCTCAATAAATCGATACAATATTTCTTTTACGTTTTTAAATTTTATCATTAAATAAATAATATTGATAAAATATTATTTTAATAACAATTCTTTTAACATCTATAACATTATATTTATACATATAAACTTTATTTAATAAATAACACTTTTATTAAAAATTATAATATTTAATAACATTAATTATTAAATTACTTTTATAAAAGTGAAATAATAATACGTTTGAACTTGGCACGTGTTCAACCGGCAGTCCTACATGACCAAACCAATTTGAACTCGGAAAAAATCAATAATACATTTAAATAATTATTTTAAAATGTAATTTAATAATATCTGTATAGTATATAAAAACTCACTAACAGCGTTAACTTAGTTCTTATTGATATGAGCTAAGAATGAGCGCCATTTTTATTATGTGAAAAATCGTTTATATCAACGATATTCAGGACCACTAATACTTTCGAAGTTAACTAATTGCTATTTAATCCTCAACAAATTTATTATAAATTTTCACAGCACGGGGTTTGATTTACAATTATTATTATTTTCTTTCGTACCCTTAAAAGTTGTAGTCAGAAGCGGCGATGCGATGGCTTTGAATAAATAATGAATAGTTATAGGGCCGGCACGAGCTGCACCGTCATCAGTATTACTGATATTTATAATATAAATAAATGTTTTTTCATTTTATCACACAAATAATATTAAGTGTTTTTAAGATGTTGGTTAAATTTTTTAAAAATATTAATATATTTTATTATAATTTTTAATATAACTTTGAAAAAATTACCATTTTAACAAATATTTTTATAATATTTACGAAAATTTATTATTTCAAGTGACTACTGAGTCAGGTAGGTAGGTGATAATTGAGAAACAGAGAAGAGGAGACACTTATGCTATGTTAACATCCAGTGAAAATATGACGAATGATTTATGTAGTTTAAATAAATAAAATATCATTTTTTATAACTGAAAATTAACAATCACTCTAGAAAAGTGTTTAATTCTTTAAACTATTATTATCGATTGTTTGAATTTTTATTTTTGTGAATCTTTCATTTTGATCTCTAATTTTATAAAACACAGTTTCATTTTAAAATATGAATAAAAAAAGTAGATCGGTAAAGAAAAACTTACATTAAAAATTTATATACTCTACCTAAAACGTGCAAAAATTAGAAGAACAAAATTATCAACAATTTAAATTAAAATTTATAAGGTTACTTAATCAACGGAGTAGTTGAAATAAACATCAGTTTTTCCAATACATATTTGAAGACGTATGATAAGAACTCATATACAATAATTTTTATCCAAAAACATAGGATTTATTCCATTTTGATAATACTGAAAATTATAATTAACAAATATTTATAAATTACTTGTGATTAAGTGGTTAAAGATGTTTTTGTGAATTTCTTAAGCCCGATGTCGATGACGTGTTAATTTATTAAAAAAAGGGGGGCACATTAGTCAAACAACCATGTAATCCGTGGAGAGGTCACCTAATAAAAAAAAAATTCAATAATGAAAATATTTAAAAAAAAACGCTATCACGTAGAAACAAATAAATAATAGTATGTTTACACGACAGAGAATTCACGACCAAGCATCTAACGAGTCTATATAAACCCTTCTCCTCTTAACATTCCTTCGACAAGTCGCAAACAAAACTTGAAAGTAGAATATTAAGAGTTCTCAGTAGTGTATTTGTTTGAGAATGGCAGCAGCTTCCCTCACCGCAGTCCAAGTCGAGAACCTTGAGTTCCCGGCGGTGGTTACTTCTCCAGCTACCGGCAAAACTTATTTCCTCGGCGGCGCAGGTTATTCTAGTTCTAATATCAAACACCTATGTATTTATATTTATTGAATTAATATCATGCTATAGTATAGCTGTGATGATTGATTATTAATGCATGCGTAGGGGTGAGAGGGTTAACGATAGAGGGTAACTTCATCAAATTCACCGGCATAGGAGTATACTTGGAGGATCAAGCCGTGGCATCACTTGCAACAAAGTGGAAGGGTAAATCTTCGGAAGAATTGGTGGAGTCCCTTGACTTCTTCAGAGATATCATTTCAGGTAAAACTCTCACACTCTTTCAAAAATTTAAAATAATATTAAAGAAATAATAGATGGGTTAAACTTATTTGCTATTTCCTTGGAGAAAATTATGGTCAACAAAAGCACGCTGGTTAATTATCTAACATGCCGTGCCCACTCCACAAAAGAACGAGTCAAGAGTGAAAATGGTTAATTATTCATTGATCACGTCATGCTCCAACTAGAAAATGGGAAAAATAATCACTGCCCAACTATTAACATGTCGTTTGCAATTAGTTTAACAGTTAAAAACGCATATCTAGCAAATTGCAAGATTTTTTTTTTCAAAGAATTATGGATGATTAGAAGCAAGTTGTCTATTTTTTAGGCCCCTTTGAAAAGCTAATTAGAGGGTCAAAGATCAGACAATTGAGTGGACCAGAATACTCAAAGAAAGTAATGGAAAATTGCGTGGCACACATGAAGTCAGTTGGGACTTACGGTGATGCAGAAGCCGCAGGCATTGAAGAGTTTGCTCAAGCCTTCAAGCCTGTGAACTTCCCACCAGGTGCCTCTGTTTTCTACAGGCAATCACCCGATGGAGTTCTTGGGGTTAGTACAACCAAATTACATGTTTCTTTGGTTAATTCTATAACACTTAATAATTTGCTAACGTTAATTGTTATGATTATTAATTCCACAGCTTAGTTTCTCTCAAGATGCGACAATACCAGAGGAAGAGGCTGCAGTTATAAAGAACAAGCCTGTGTCAGCGGCAGTGTTGGAGACGATGATCGGTGAACACGCCGTTTCACCTGATTTAAAACGCAGTTTGGCTGCAAGATTGCCTGCAGTTTTGAGCCACGGCGTTTTCAAGATTGGCAACTGAGCTTTTTCAAACATTGTCGTTTCACTCCTTTCCTTCTTACCAGCGAAGTGATCGAAGTTCTTGTTTTATACTCATGTAATTTTACTGCTTTCTGTGTCACAGTGTTCACATTTAAATAATTATGGATTCTAATCCATATTATAAGTTTTTCTATGCGTTTTTTTAACACACTTTTATGTATGAAATAAAATCATGTTTGCTTGTTCAAAATGAAGCAATGAAACATGAGCTTAATTTTGCTATGCAATGAGAATGGAGATGATTAGATTATTAATTAATTAAGGATTATCGTAAATATATGTAAAAAATCGTATAAACGACATATTTTAATTAATTAATAGTTTAAAGTTTTGACGGCCATAAATAAAGAAAATAATAAACAGAGCATCTAACAAGTAGTAGGAGCAATAAAATTCTGATTAATAAAAAAAATTATGCAATACCTACTGAACACATTTGGAGTAAACTAGTAACGTTGACTAGATACCCAATTGTAATAGTTTAACTACATAGGCACTTTGATAATTCTAGCTCAAAAATTTTAAATAAAAAATATGCACATAATCATCAAACATTGTTGAACAAGTCTCTCGTAAACTCGTAAAATAGAGATTCGTCACCTAACTTTGTTCCCCTCTAACAATTATATTAATAAATTCGTAAACGATCGATTGTTCCACTCTCCTATTCTCGGTGGGGTTGTTAATTTACACTCAATTTTTTTATTTTAATTTTATCAATGGGTTTGAAACTTTTAATTTTTTTTTGTTAGTTTCAAATTTATAAAATAATATATATTTTAATTTTTTTTAGAGTTCAGATACCATAAGTATCCAAACATTCCAAGGAGGACAAAACAAAAAGGAATTGGATTACAGCAGCAAACAAAGTATTAAAAAAATTAAAATAAATTTATATAAGGGGCGGTGACTGATTAAGAATTTTTAATACTTTCACAACTAATTTGTACAATAATTATAATATCGAGAATCATCTTAAGAATTCAATTTATTTTAATTGTGTTTAGATACATTAGGAGAAAACAAAGATTCTTTTTACATTAAATTACATATTGCTTAAACTAAAACTCTATTCAAACAAACAAAAAATTAAACACCTAATTAGAGATGTCTGATTAAAATGTATTAAAATAACTTTTTTTTTCCATCTTTCTCTTACTTGAGGAAGTTTGTGTGGTTTGCTTAGTCTGATTTTTATTGTAATATTTATATTTTATTTTATTTTCCTAAAAATATATATATACAGCTTACATAGTGTAATTTTTGCATCCCTAAGCGACATTAGTCCACCTTGATATTTTAATTTAAAAATGGGCTTGAAGTCAGTGACATAATTGTGGAAAATAATTTATTTGACAATGTCTAAAGTAACTATTGCCTCTGTGGACCGGAGAATGGTATTGTTTTATATGTAACATGTTGTTGGTCCAATATCATTCTATTCATTGAGAAATGTTATCACAACCTAGATTGTGATATTTAATTTAAGGGTTGAAAATTAAAACCCTTCTATATATAAACTCTTTTCCTTCTTCATCAAATTAAACAAAAACACTTCATTTGGAAGACAAGGCTGTCTCATCGCTGGCTACTAAGTGGAAGGTAAAGAGTGCAAGTTGACTTCTACACACATATCATCAAGGGTAGCTTATACAAAATATAATATAATAATATACTCTTTTATAATTTTAAATAAATATTTTTTATTTTATTAGTTTTGAAAACTGACAAAATTAACGTGGCTCTTATTTTCTAAGCTTAGAATATGATATCTTCTACTTTTGGAGTAACATGTTGCTAAATTTTAAATTTCTTTGCATGCGTTGAAGAATAATTAACACCGTTTGACACATTCAATTTTTGGCATACACTCCACAGTCCTTCCTTTATATTCATCTAGTCATCAAGTGATAATAATTCTATAAAATTACTGTTTATTCTCTTAATAAGTCACAACTTTTCTTAGTTGTCAAATTTTCTAATGAATCTATATAGAAGAACAGTGAGAATACCTTGGATCTGTCACTAACCACGCAATTAATGATACTGTATTCAACTTAAATGGGAATATTAGTCAAGTTCTATGAACTGACTATGAGAACAACCTTTTATATAGAAAATAGTACTGATATAATTTAATTAACAACATTAACTATTCAATTAACATATTAAAAATAGCTTGGATATTATTGTGAAACTTATAACTAAGATTACACGAATTGGATGTAGAATATACAAATTAAATAAAATGTAAGAATAAATATTCGTCACTATTACAATTATGAAATAGAGTGTTTTCAAACTAAATTAAGAATGTGTTTATACATAAACATTTTTTTTTATTATATAAGAACAAGCGTCATAAATTTAATTGCGAATTTATTATTAACACAAGTTAGAAACATTTTAAGAGATATATTAACTAATTTTATGAAATTTATGCTCGTGTTTTGTTCAAAACCATTGGTTTTGGTGGCACAGCTTCTCTCGTGTGTTCTATGATCACTGGTGCTTGTAATGCATTGGCCACTGGTGTTTCAATTTTCACTGTTGACAAGTTTGGAAGACGTACCCTTTTTTCAGAAGGTGGTGTCAGCATGTTATAATTAATGCAAGTACCCAATTTGGAGGTGATGGAAAGCCGGGTATATTGCCAAAGGGATATGCTATTATTGCTGTGGGTGGCATTTGTGTGTACGTGGCTGGATATGCATGGTCTTGGGGTCCTCTTGGGTGGTTGGTCCCCAGTGAAATTTTCACTCTTGAAGTACGATCTGCTGCAAAAAAAGTATTGATGTTTCAGATAACATGATCTTCACCTTTGCCACTGCTCAAAATTTCACTACAATGCTCTACCATAACGTTGTGTGGCAGAAGCACCCTTATCGGAAAAAATTGGTGAAAATAATTCCAACACTCTAACGTTAAAGTTCAAAGGAAAAAGAACAAACACACCCAAAAAAATAAATACATATCAATATATATATTCCTCTTTCAATGGGCTTTAATTCTAACGTTTAATAGCAGCGGGCCCAAATCGAGTTCTAAATTAAATTATCAAAGGAAGCGTAAAAAGAACCGACTAGATCTTGTTTTTTCTGGACCCAAAAGCAATCAAGAAATATTTCCACCCATTAAATAACTTCCTTCTCTCGGTAACTCAAGGAAATGAACAAGCCATGCATGTTAGTTCTTGTAATTTACTACCGCGTTGTTTTTTTTTTTTTTATTATTATTCAACCTATAGCAATGTTTTTAAAAGCCAAACAAGTCATTAATTAAACTGATGTGAGTATAAGATTTGAAATAGCCTAGTAATGAAAAATTAACTAATAAAAATGAAACAAGTTTCGATACAAAAATAAAATAAAATTGGTCCTAAGCCACTTGATTCGCGCACCATTTTCTAGTACTAATGAGGCATCGATAGAATTGCATTTTCCCCATTTATTAATACACCAAAAGTTGCCAATTGGAAATTTGAAATAGCCAACTAAAATGACATTATTTTTGTTTCAGTGGCTGACAGAACTTGCATCTTCAGTTGTTAGCAGCCTCTTTGAATAACTCAGAAAATATGGAGGCCAAACTCTGTTTTGCAGCCGGGGACACCCCATGCTTTCCTATCATTGACTCCAACACAGCCTCTGCAAGAAGTTTATTCTCTATAACTGTGCTTGCAACTTCTGGAATGGATCCATCTCTAGAGAAACTTATCTGTTGCAATACAGATTGATGAATATAAATTAGAACAAGAAAATAGTTTAATTTTGATACAGCACTCCTGATATCTAACATTCTTTTTTTACGGGTCATGTTTATAATGAGTTTATAGAAATTAATAAGTTGACTACGTTTATAGTAAATGAAATGAGATGCAAGAAATTAAAATATTTTTTTTTATTTTTTTTAACTGCAGACTGTAGAAGTTAAATTTTTATTTTGGATTCATTTTAAGATTGAACTTTAAACAATAGCACCTCTAAATTACCCTCCGCACCAGATCTGGTTACAACAAAGGGTTCTTGCAAGAGACTATGTATGCATATAAATTAGAAAGATGGTATGACTAAAATTTGACATTACTAACCGCTAATGATCCTTTGGGTGACAGTGTGAAGAGGATAGAGGAGCCTGGTGGGAATGTTTCATCTTTGAATATAGAAACAAACGTGTCAATTGCTTTGGCTTCTGCATCAGTATAAATCCCAAGAGATTTCCAAATGGCTACACAATTTTCGGACACTTTCTCTGCGTATTGTTGCCCAGTCAATGGCAAGATCATTGTCACCTGCATAAATTTCTCAAATGGACCTAAAGAGAAGAAAATTTTAGTTTGCGAAAAGTTATCAAGCTAAAGCTTATAACGAGTTTCCATAGATGCTACAATTGTGATTTCAAAGTATAATTTTAGCACACTACCAAAGATGCCACAGCATCCATTGAATAAACTACATTTAACATTGATTTACCTTAAAATAGTAAAATGTGTTTTAAAATAGAGACACTCATAACATTTTGTTAAACTCAAGTTAGCAACTTCCTTTTGCAATGGTGTAGTGCATTGCTAACTTACGCAGCTTTGTTGATGTTTTCTTTCTATCAACTGTGCTACAGTTTAGACCATTTCTAGCAAAAATTGAGTAAAACATCTACCACAAAGGTATGGATCTGATGCTGCGGATGGATGATTTTTAATGATTTATTAATTAGTAATTTTAAGATACACAGTAATAAGGTAATTTAAATTTAAAGAATAAATGTAGAGTATCAGAAATTAATGAAAAATAATAATGAATTTATATGAGAGATTTAAAAAAGGAAAATAATGATTTGATCAAGTTAAAAGGATATATGGTGAGCATTGGCATGGGAAGCAGTAAAAAAAGGAAAGAAGAAAGTGAATGATGAATACCAGTAACGATATCCCTGAAGAAATCAAGGGATTCCGTTAACTCCTGAGAAGACTTGGCATTCCACTTGACGGAGAGGTGGGGGACGGCGTGATCATGGAGGTAAATCCCAATGGCTGTGAATTTGACGAAACTGTCCTGAATTTGGAGGCCTCTGACACCGGCACCGGCGAGGAAGAGGGTGTTGACGGAAGAGGGAGGTTTCACGGTGGGAGGGAATGCCACGTTTTCGATCTCTAATCCTGTCATTGCCATTGTTCCTCAATGAATGAATGATAGTGAATCAGTGATATAGTGATTGGGAACGCGGTGGTAGGTGGGAGTTAACGACAATCGATGGAGTTCCTTTCGTAAGGTACACCTACCCGTCAATGCAATCACATCCTCTGTCTCCAAAAATTATTCCTTGTTCTTGGAGGATGTGACTCTCTCAATTTTTTATAAATTTTAAGATTTATGATTAATTAGATCTATAATTTATCACTATTAAAAATGTCAATAATCATTATACAAAAAATTGAAAATAATTTTTTTTATATATAAATTTAACTCCTATCACCTTCCATTGAAAAACGTTGACTTTTAAGTTCATGCAGTTTTTGTAATTTTACCATTTGATGCATTTGTTAGATACATGCAAAATTCAAGAATATATATAGTTATCTCGAGACCTTGAATTCATAAAATCAAGAGTACACATTTGCCCAACTTCATTCAATGGAACCATAGACAATACATTTTGTCGTATGTACCAATTTGTATTTCGTCAAGTCAACATCCAGCAATTTTTAACACTTTGGTTTCTCTCTAATTTTATACTGTACTTTTGATATGTGTAAAAATACATATAAAAATAAATAAAAATTAAATATTTTTTAATATTTTCATTAATTTGTAATTTCAGTTTATTTAATTTTTTTCATTTTGATTCTTATATTTTTATGTTTTGAGTCGAATTTCTTTTATTGACATGGTTTCACAAAAAATTAATTTATGATAATTTTTTAATTAGTCACAAAATTATTTAACAACTACAAAAACTTAAAAAAATATTTTTAAATTAAAATTAAAAACAATTATATATAATGTCATACGCACTGTTAATTTTTATATTTAAATAATAAAATGTATGTTCTTAAAGAGTTTATCAACAAGGAGATTAGTTTAAAACGACAAATATGTTTAACTTTCCTTAAGCTCCCCCTTAATTAAAACTGTGGAGTTAAAAAAATAATAATTATCTTTGTGCCTCGAGCTAAGGAAAAACGCGTTTCGTTACAAATACGCAAGGGATCCATGCAACTCGTTTTTGCCACGTTAAAAACAAAAAATAGACTTCCAAAGGTCAAAGAAGTGACTATGAATCGACACTGTTAAAATAGTGAAAATTATTATTGGATCTCTCACTGGTTATAATATGTATAATAGTTCAATACAAATCATACTTCATAGCAAATTGCATTAGATTGCACGTGACAATTGCAATGAACTCGACAAGTGATGAATAGTTGAACGAAACTTCACTAAACAAAGGCTTTATTTAAAGAATACACCCTGTAAGATGAATAGCTTAGGCATTAAGTTAATATTAATCACGAGAAAGTGGTTGATTGAGTATTGACCATCCTACAGTTTTTCCTGATCTCACCATCGGTTCCAGTTAGTGGGGTAATCATGCTCATCTTAAGCATTGCTTTTGCAAAGTCCTTTTTGAAATCTGCCATGCTTCTGCTATATCTAGATACTTGAGAGTTTGTGGATCCATTATTCGTGAAGAGTTGTTGGTCAGAGTGTAGCAGACCCTTTAGCTGCATCAAGTTCTTGTAGTAATTATTGTCAAATGTGAACTCAGTTGTGGGATCGAAAGGAGACAAGTTGTCGTCACCACCCTGGAAGGGACACTGTGCTTGGGTTTGGTTTGCAAATGAGGAATCTATGTTGCTTTCGTTATAAATCCTTGTTCTGAAAGTAACGCACCTCGCTAGGCCAATTGTGTGAGATCCTGAACAGTGTACGAAGATTGATTATATCAATCAATCATTTTAACTAGTTAGTTTTATTCTATGCTTAATGCACCAGCTAGTTTGCTTGCACGATTTCTTAAAAAATGTACCTGATAAAGTAACCAATTCCGCTGTACTGAAATTTTTCTTGGCGAAAGCACTGATGAGACCATTAAGATCCAAAAAGGGAGCAGGTAAGTCTGAATTAGATTCATTTAAACTTGCTGTGGTTGAATCTCTTCTGCCTAATAGTACATCCCATTTTGGTCCTTTAAGCTGAAAGAATTAATGTTAATGACATTACTTTCCATGCATGGTACATATTAATTGATTTTTCCAATGCATGTCTAAAATACACAATTAGAACCTCTATACGATAGTTAAGTTCTTATTGAAAATAATAAAGGTGAATTTTGTGGTACTAAAAATTATCAAAATATCGTATATGAAAATTTTTAATTAATAATATTTAGACATATATTTAAATAATAAATTATTATATTTATTATATTTAAATAAGTTATTTAATTTTTTAAATAGAATTAAGATGCAGTCAAAATTAAATAAATTAAAATTTAAAAATAAAATATTAATATATTTTTAATTCTATTATTATTAATATTTAATTATTACATTAATATATTATGTTATGATTTTTTATTTATAATAAATAAAAATTATATTTTACTTAAAACTAAAAGTATTTATACACGTATTTAAATAATAAATTTATTTAATAATAAATTATTATATTTATTACAGTTAAATAAGTTGAAAAATATTTAAGTTTTTAAACAAAAAAAAATACAATCAAAATTACACAAATTAAAATTTAACAATCATATAATAATATTGTTATATTAATATATTTTTTATATTTTTAATTTTATTATTATTAATATTTAATTATTTAATTATTATATTAATATATTATGTTATAATTTTTTTATTTATAATAAATAAAAATTATTTAAATATGAATTATATTTTATTTGATACTAAAAATTTATAAAAAAATAAAAAAATAAAAAATTATATATATATATATATATATATATATATATAAATAATAAGACCATATAGTAAATAATATAATTTTATTGATATAAATATTTTAGTTACAGTATTTATATAAAAAAAATTTAGGATACAACAACACACCAATAATAAAATAACATAGAATGATTAATAACGTTGAATATTATAATTTTCAATAAAAATTTATCATTTATGAATTCCTTAATTTAAAAAAATGGGGTATTGATTATACTCTAAACCAGCTAAATAATCTTAATTTGAACAATTGAATTAGATATTGTAATTAAGTACTTACAGCAACAACAGATTCTTTGGCAGCAACGGCTAAGATGTCAGCACAAGAGACAACACCAGGGCATATGGCCTCCAATTTAGATTTTATTTTGTCAATGACCTCGAAACCCCTAAGAGAGTTAGCGTTGGGGAAGGATTTCTTCTCACCAGTGAAATTGTCAGTGTCGTCTAACAATACTGATCCATCACATCCCTGAATGTAGAAGACAAACGCGAAACTGAATATCAATTTCTTAATTAGGAATAAGCAATGTAATAAAAAAAGAAAAGAAAAAATGGGAGTAAATCCAATGTAATAAGAGAGTCAATGTGAGAATAATACTGTTGATAATGTAAAATTTTAATGCAGCTCTCATGCAATCATGCAGCACATGCATATGTAAAGCATGGAAATATAAAAAAGAAGGTGAATTTATGAGGCTTGCTTGAACAAAGCAGTCATGAAAATGGAGTCGGAGCAACGATGCCCCCATGCGACTCTCGTTAGACACGGCTTCTTGCACCATTTCCTCAATGGTGTGAATGGCTTTTGGACACGTTTTTTTATAAAAATCAGCGGATAACTCAGCTGAACTTATCCCAATAAGGCAAGTAGCAAAAATCAACACAAACTTTAGTTTGAAGCCGGAAAAGGACACAAAAAGGGAACTTGCAGCCATGATAGAGAGAGGTCAATTTTAAGATTGTTGAGTGGTTATGAGCATGAAATGTTAAGCTTATATAGAAGGTTCAGTTTGCAACTTGTTTTTTGTTTATATATATCCCTTCTCCCTACTCTCCGGGTCAACTTAGTGTGCATATTCAATCATATATTAAGATTTAAGAAAGAATATTTTGACTAAAGTAATCGAGAATGTGGAAATTAATTGTCCATGCAAAGGCATGCATGTAAATATGGAGATCAAGAAACCGTGTAAGATGTGATTGTGTTGCTGTATTGTGCTAAACAAATTTGACTTTGTCAACACTCTTGAAAGATTTGATTGCAGGACACTGCACTAAACCTACAAGCCCGGATCGAGCCAAATTATAAGATAAAAAGCAATAGTTTATGGTTTGTCGTCAGAATCCCTGCTGGGTTATGATTGGGTTCCGATCCTTTCTCTTTTGGAGGCCAAGAAGAAAACTAGTTGTTCTTCATTTTAATGCTTATGCTCTACTAAAACTTTCAGAAACAAAATAGGAGAAAACAATTATTTGCTCTGTTAAAAATTAGAAGACAAAATTGGCCACATCAAATGTTAGGGACATAATTAAGGTTTTCCAGAAATAAAAGCTACTTCTACAACAATTCAACACAGAGAACGTCACCACGTTACCGGAATATAAATTATAGTTGCTGTTCCGAGGAAAATGAGAAATGCTATGAATTTAGGCTGTTTTATTAAATGAAATTAAAGTTAGTAGATAATATTGAAAAGCTATTGAAGCTGAACACTAAAAGTTAGTAGATTGAGTCTCTCGATGTTTTTCGTTAACTTAAAGAAACGGAGTTTAAAAAAAAAGAAAAAGAAAAAGAAATCGGCAATTATAAGTGAGTGCACGATTTACAAGGGATATTAAATGGTTGTATTTTTTTTTTTAATCAGTTCTATCAAAATTAATTCTGGTAAATTTTCAAGTAGTTCCTTAATCGGAAGTGTTTAGTAAAAGTTATTTATTTATAATTAATTATAATACATACAAAATAACGTAAAAAGACATGTTTGTGTACAGTAATTTAAAATTGAACGAATTTGTATTTAAGTTTACTGTTATTATTATTAGAGAAAGTATATTTCATAAAACATTTAAAACCTAAACGATTAGATATGCACCTAAACTATTTTCAGTCATATACAATTTTCATTACTTTATCAAATTAATGATTTTAAGGCAGTAGCTTTTTCAGTGAAGTACTTCTAACTAGATACCTCTAGTTATTTTATGTTATTTTTTTGCCAAATAAGATAGTAGACCAATTTGTAAGTTCCTCAATGTCTTGCCAAAGTGTTTGGTACCTATTGGTTTTGCTATTAACTGTTAAATTTTGAAGATTGATGCTGCCCTATAATAGTTTAAATTGGAGAGCTTCTGCTAAATGAATGTCTATTTGGGGGTCTGGAAAAATCTTTGTTCATGTAAATTTTATTAGGAAAGGCATGCTTGTGATTATGTGGATGTTGGACATCAAATTTGTAAACCCACGTATGCTCTAACATTAGTTGTCATTTTTTCAAATTTTCCACAACACCTATTCGACCTGATGCAGGTAGTGAACTTGTATGGGTTGGAGTCAAATGCAGATAAACGGCCTTATGCATGTCGGTCCGCAAACAATAATAAAAATACAGCAAGTAACAAATTTATACAAGCTGGATGGCCCCATATTGGGTCCATTTTTTTGTGCGGGTTTTGGTTAAATTGGAAGGCCGAAGCCTATGTTTTTCCAGAAGCATAGATAGTTCTCATATAGACATGAAAATAGTGGGCCTAGAAAAAACATATAAAAGTAAGTACCGCTACAATTGAGAATATAGTGAACTCTTACAAACACTTGTCTCATATAACTGCATGCAGTCGGAAACATCGTAGTAAAATCCCGAAGGCCTAAAAATTTATCCCAAATGTCATGCAATCATTAGCATCTTGAATGAATGCTATCCACACCGAATTGACAAAGTCTACACTAAATGATCTACCAAATTTAGAAAGATTGTAGATATCATTGGCCATAGGAAACGATGGAGCACTATCAGCTATTGTGTTTATTACTTTGTTTAAAACACTGCTTTATGCAAATTGAAAAACTGATCACTCACCAAAAGAACTTTAGTCAAGGCAGGCCAAGAGTCAAACAAAAACACCAGAAGACAAATCAAACGGCTTCATCTTCTACGTAGTTCACCGCTTGGTCCCAATAATGAGGAACACCAGCATCCGCAAAAACTTTACGTGCAGCTGCTTCAGTGATGCAATCATGAACACTGAACCTATTGAAGGTCGGTTTAGCAACACTTCCTTGCCACACCAGAACACATTTATTGACAGGCTTATCATCATCTGAATCTTCATTTTCTTCTTTCTCTTTTGAAACATCACTCCAATTAATACGTCTAAGCATAAGTTTCCCATACCTCTTAATTGACTTGCTTCCACCTTCAACCACAACAACACTAATACCATCACAAATCACAGCACATCCAGTCAAACGGTTCTCTTGAGCATTAACATCAACTCTAAAGCGTGCCTTTGGATGTGAGAGGTCATTAATCCTGAAAAGTGAAACAAGTGTCTCCACTGTATTTGGGTCATCAAACAGCTTCCTCTCCTTCTTGTCCCGCAGCTCAGCAGGAGTGAGCTTACGTGCAATATTCCTATCTATGTGAGCCTGCTCACGCTCAGCAGCTGCACTCCGTATTTCCTTTTCAAGACGAGTAGGATCTTGAGTTGCTTCAGAGCCAAGTACTTTCATTAAATTGCTAATCTTGACCTTTGGTTTTGGCGGTTCAATGACACCCTGTCTTATCATCTCCTGTCGATCTTTCTCCTTAGCTATGCGCCTTTGTGTCCGGAGTTTCTTCTGTTCTTGCTTAGTTAGCTTGAGTGGTTGAGGTGGTGGAGGGGCAGGCTCAGCAGGTGGTTCAATTGGACGAGGATGCTCCACATAAAAAGTGATTTTTTCCATTTTTAGTTTATCTTCACCAATGACTCCATCATCAATGTCACCATAGTTTCCAGAATGCAGAAGAGGCACATCCCTGAATAAATACAAACACATACAGAGCAGGAAAAAATCAATTATTCCAACCATATATCCAGCTTCTAATTTTCCTGCTGTATTTAAAGAGCATAACAAAAGTTTTCCCGAGACAGGTAAGACTAGATTTTCAAACAGACACTCCTTTCCAATTGTTCATTGTCAAGATTGATTAACCATAACTATCAATGATGTTTTGACATGATATTGAACTAGTATTCTAGCAATCACTTTCAAACAGCCAGACTGGTTTATTCTAGCTTGACACTTTGTATCTTCTTCTAAGTTCTAACATGATTACAATTATCATTACAAACAATAGAAATGAAAGAACAGAACAGGTCATAAGTCAAAACTGTTTAAACTTATACTTGATAAATCTAAACTACTAAAATTTATGACATTTTAATAACGACCTTAAAAAAATCCTTACACTTCTACAAACACAAATTGCACATAATTCGGTAGTCCAAGTAGGCATAAACTTACCACCACTCAATTTCTGGAATTTGGTCCTTGGGTTTTTCTTTAATTACAACTCTCTCTGTTATTTCTATTAAGTTTGGATTTATATCTGGAGCAGCCTTTGCCTTTGCCAACTGTGCTTGTTTGGCCTTGTGCTCTTTTGCTTGAGCTTCTCCAAATTTACTCTGCACGAGTAAAATAATAATAACAAAGCACATCCAATGCAATTGAAAAGAATTAAGTAAAAGTGCAAGCCGTGAGAGAGTGGAAGTTGGATATAGATACCTTCAATTTTATTGTTTCAGCATCTCTTGACCATTTTCCTTCCTCAACAAACTGGAAATTCATCCTCTTGGGTCGCAGGAGCTTTGTTTTGTTGATACCCATCCTTGCATCAAAATGAGGATTAGATTCAGGATCAACATCCAATACAGGTTTTAATATTTCAAATGCATCTTTCTTCTGCTTGTTAATGTTGACCTGGAATGTTCAGACACAGATTCTAGCATTAAGACAAGAATCCCAAATAGAAAATGATAATTAAATTAAAAAGAGAGACACTTTATGAAACTACATACCTTTAATGTGCTAAGGTTGCTGGGTTTAGTCACATTAACAACATTTCCATGTTCATCAATTTCCCGTCCCTGAGCATCAAGACGAAGAACAGGGGCCTTGGTGGGTTTTTGCGGGATAGCAACATCTGTTACCATCTGACCAGGAAACATATTTATAATCGGAGCAAATTGTGGATCTTGACGAAACCCCATCCTGGTAGCAAGCTCCTGAGCACGCCTGACAGCTTCAAAGTTGGGCAGACTAGCAATACCACCAGTAGCGCTGGTGCCACTAGCCAGAGGATTTGCATAAATAGCAGCAGCAGCAGCAGCAGTTGAGGGAAAAATTGATGTATTTGCAACTTGTCCCAAAGAAGCTGAGTCAGAAGTTTTTGATGCCACTCCAACACTGGAAGAGGGCATTGTAGATTCATTCTTTGAACCCAAGTCTGAGCTTCTTTGCACATTTTGGGCAGAACTCTTATTCAACTGCACAGCCGAAAGCATGGCACTTAATGCAATCAGAGGAACGTGCATGATTTTGATAAAATAAATCAGTATCCTCAGGAACTGGTAGATATCAAAGTGAAATATCCAGCAGATAATAGACACTTACGAGCAAAAAAAATGCTTAACTTACCTGAGGAAATTTCTTCAGCTTTTCTGACAACTCTTTCTGCTTTTGTAAAGCTTTCTTAGCCATAGCTAGGGCATCAATAGAGAGGCTTCCAGGTTTTCCAGCAGTTGAAGATGACCCATCTGTACTAGATTTTCCAGTAACCTCATGAGACCTGGTAATACTAACTCCCTTATTTTCATTTGTGGTAGAATTGGAAGATACCTTGATAGGAAAGGAAGGAGTATGGACCAAAGATGTCTCAGGCACACTTGTGGGCGCCACAGCAGGTGATCCCAAGGCACCCTGAAAGAGCAAGGTTAAAACACCAGTGAACGCATGTCCCTCTTCAAGACATAACCGAGATGAACATAAGACAAAAACCACAATTATGAATGTATACGATAACGAAACATCTCTCACGTTAAGGTTCTGAGACAGTCAACCAAATCAAGGTTCTGCTGAGCTATAACCTATAAGGATTCTCGTATAATTCTCGAGTAAGTAACCAATCCTATTTAGTTCAATAATCAGTAACTAAGAGCAAAAAAAAACCTACAATACAGCTCGATGCGACATTCTAGATTAGCATCACCAATACACTATAATTATGAGCAGAAAAAAATATTTCAGGAAATAAAAACAAATGCAGGGCATCGTAAAAAATACTCACGTTTTGAACAGCAGCAGTGTCCTTGGAAGAAACAGAGCCATAGGCACCATCAGTGACTTCGTCCTTGACCTTAACCTCACGAGTGCCTTCGATATCGTCGTCTTTTCTTTCTTCTTCTACTTCCTCTTCCTTTTTAACTTTATCCCCAAACCTCCTCCGTTCCCTCTTCCCTTCCTTCCTCTCCTCGGAAACCCTGATTTTCTTGTCCTCATAGTCCCTCTCCTGGCTGTGGTCCCTCTCTTTCCGCTTGTGAGAATGCGAGGAGTGTCGCGGCTCCACCGAATCTTCCCTCTCCACGTCGCGCCTAACCTTCGACCTACCTTTGCTGTCCTCTCTCTCTTCTCTTTCGTAAGTCCTATCCCTATCCTTGCTTCCTTCTCGGTCTTCCTTGTCCCTGGATTTGTGTTCGCGCTTGAGATGCCTCTCCGACCGATGGTGGCGTTTGTCGTCGCTCCGATGGCGGTGGTCGCGTTCCGAGTGTCGATCTCTGCTTCGCTTTTCGGATTTGTCTCTGTCGTCCATTTTAGGGTTTGGGAGATTGTTCCACTCTTCCTCTCCCACTCCCCCCCGTTTTCTTTTCTACTTTGTCTTGTTATTGTAATTTCGGGATCACTCCACACCTTAGCTTTTAACATTATAAAATATTATGTATATTACTTAAATACCATACACACCCAATACACTGCCACACTGAAAATTATTTTGTTGAAAGTAATTATACTCATTTTTATGGTTTTTTGCTTCATGAAATATTATTTTTCGATTATTAACCGAGAGATATCTATAAATATGAACAGTGACTAATAAATGCATAAATAATACAAAGATTATATTTCAAAAACTTATTATCTTGTCTTGTAAGTTTTTAAATGTTCTCTTATCGGAGCATAGCATGCTTTCTTATTTAAATTAAATTAATTGTGTATTAGATTAAGTGTAAGAACTTCAAGTCTTTAAGAATGCAAACTTAAATTCGATTATTAGCTTTGATATATAATTGATTTGCTTTATGTTAATAAAAATTTATATTCCTTTTTAACTTGCCTGAAAATTTATAAAAAAATGATTGTTTTTCCAAAAGAATACTGAACGAAACATATATGTTTTTATGTACGAAAATAACGTAGAGTTCTGGGTAATGTATCCTTAGACTCGGATATTGTAGATTTATTTGCAATTTTCATATCAATCCAACCCTGTAAGCTTGGTTTTACTATCAAGTTTCTCCCATAATGCCAATCATAAGAAGACCAAATTACATGTTTAGGGACTATTTGCTTCGTTAGATTAAAGTATAGTATCCTCTATCTGGTGGCTGTTACTGATCTCCATTTGACTTGTCACACAACAGAGATGTCTCTTCCCCTTGCTCTAACAATAACCTGTTTCATTTGGTGGCTTCAACTCAATTTATGTATTTTGATGTAAGCAAGAGAGGTATAAAATTCGTTTCCATTTCCTTGAGTTTACATTAGATTAATATAACAAACTTTAAAAAGAGTACGCATAAAAAAATATAAAATACTTTCATTAATCTTTAAGACATTATAGAAATTATCTTAATTTTTTATGAGAAAAAAAAAGTGTAACTTCTTATAAAAGAAGGATAACGTAATTTAAGAATCTCTTGAGAAATAAGTATATTTACTCAATTTTACTGATATCATTTAAAATAGAAGTATATATAATGATAATTATTTATTTAATAAGTTAATCAAATGGATTATAATATATTTTAGTGGGCTAACCCAATAATCTGATGGTCCAACAGCTCGTGCAAGTTTTTTTTTCTCGGACAAAAAGGGCTTGTCTTTGTCTGGAACACCCTTGCATGCTTATGACTGTCCAATAAAACAATATTGCCAACAAAACAGAATAAAATAAAGAGCAACATCCTAACTTTTGAATACCATGTTAATTTTATTTATTTATCTTATATGTTTATTTTTGTATATAAACATGATTGCATTTGATTATAGTTTTTTATTTTCTGTTATGGTTTTAAGAACAGACTAAAAGGAGAAGCTTCTACAATTCAAAGTGCCTCTACTATTTTAATACCAATCCAGATAAAGAAAAAGAAAAGCACTAGTCGAAACTGAACCAAAACAATGCATTAATTTGACGGTGCAGAAGAGAGAGACGTATGTAGTAATGCTTCAAGGTAGCATCTAAACTTACAGTGTTTGTGTTGAGAAAGCCACTATTGACTAAAACATATGAAATATGAATAGGGAGAAAAACAGTGTTCATATGAAGGAAAAAGAGAAGACAGTGACAGTTAACTAGATGACCAAACAGCTCTGTAGCATAATTTGAAAGAGGATATTGTGAATGAATTAATGAAGGGGATGCACATGCCTATGCCCAATTTCTGTTTTGACTTTGAGAGGGTTACGCAGCCCTCATAATAATTTTGTGTATTGGTAAGAGTTAGCTTTTAATTTGGTAACTATGGGACGGTAGCCCATCTGCATTAACTACCATGTTTCAGCTTTTTCTTTATTACTCCAAAAAGGGTAACGCCTCCATTCTTCGTTATATTATATCATAAGCTACTCTTCCATTTTCAATTACCTTTGCACCAAGTTCCTCACTCTCGTCAATGGCAACTCTTTAAAAAATACTCCTATGCCTAACAAGACAATACCATATATTATCAGTAAAATATAATTTTTTAATAATATAAAAAATTAATAGTTCATTTTTAAGATAAACATTATCTTAATTCATAATCATGAACGATGTTTATATCTAATGAGACAGAAGAATAGATATGCATGTTAATATATATTATTAAAATGTTTAAAAAGGAAAGTTGTTCGAGAAAAAGGGAGGTTGGAAATGAGAGTCAAAGGTAGCAATCAATCACGCAAGTATGGAGGAGCCATCTCCATGCAATGGCATGAAAGTTGACAAATATGTAAAGGTAAGGGTGGATAGATGTTCAATATGTATGCAGCCTTGCAGCTAAGACTATGGAGTAAGAGACAAAATCTGTAAGAAGGTCACTTGCCGGCACTGCTGACCACTTTTAGAAGACTTCATCCATCTCCATTTTGTTGCTTTAATCACGTTTCATTTGAAAAAGCCCTTAACATGTTTTTTATCTTCACATTTTTTAATGATTTTTTCTTAAAACGTTTTTTTTTAATTTTTTTTTATAAAATAATTTTTATCTCGTCATTAATTTTTTGAAAGAACAGAGATTAGTTGTTGTGGGTTTATTCATCAAATTATCATGTGCAGGAAACTTCATACCAAACACACATTTCGTGCCATTCTTTCATATTGCATGTGCTCTATATTAATTGGCTACATTCAATTGTTTTTTATATTATTAACTCGTTGTTATTGAAAATTGTTGTGCAATAAATTATTTTCATGACAAATGCAAAGTAATTCATTTCACATAAATGTACTATCGACCCACATTTTAATTAATTCATAAAAATAAAAAATGATTATTATTTTTTAAAATATTCTAACGTGCTTTAAGGTAATTCTTCATAGATTCCCATTTTGTTCAGTTCTCACCAAGCTCGAGTTTTTAATTAGTGTAAAAAAAAAATAGTTCAAACTTAAAATTTTCGAAAATTGAGGAACGCTTCAGCAACACCTATTGCATGGTATGCATTAGAAGTTGTATAGAAATTTCTTTCCCACAAGGGTAGTTTTTAAAGGCTGTAACTTGATATTTACGAAAAATTAAGGTATGTTAGATGGTAGCAATCAAAATTTTATTTTGGAAGAATCGATTATGGTAGCTATCCAATTAAGCTCGTCTTAATCACACGAATTCTAATTATTAAAAAAAATTATTCATCTATCTTTATCATCAATATTCATCAAATTTGAATGTGAAAAAATTAATCATGTGTCCAATACCTAGAGAGTTTTGTCATATGTAATTAAAATTTTCATCATTCGTATAGCTTTCGTACTTAAAATATTGGAATTATATCTTTAATGGAAGTTTTATATTTCAAGTATATTTTTATAGTGTATAAAATACCATATATAGCATTAATTTTCAATTATTCAAATAATAGAAGTGACTTCTGCTAGAAGTATAAGCTACATGTATTATTGGATAAGTTTTCTTAAAAGCTGTCATTCCATGAATAGTCGTTTTCATTGGTCTTTTTCTTTTTTATTTCAACCATAATGCTTTAATTTTGCAACTTTTTTTCTTTTCTTTCTCTTATATTTAAGTTTTATTTTCTTTATTACACCCAAATCTGTTGTTATATATGGGCAATTACATGCATGGACGAAGAAAGCATAGCCACCGCTACAGCACTAGCTGATCATCTATCACCCTTCCGTTGTTAACAATGACAATAATTGCCACTCTCCATACATATATACACGCACTTAAACTAGGGTTCATACTGTTGCATTAGATATGGTGATGAGAGTGATTGCGCAACTATTAACCAGTGCTCAATTCTGATTCCTTCTCTACCATCCATCTCACATGGGTGTTTAGGCACAGCGAGTGTGATAGTTCAATGGTAACAGTCCCATTATGTCGAGTTTATATTATTTCATGGACCACTAATTAATCATCGATTGGAGCTGTGTGCTTTTTAATTGTTGTAAATTACTCACCCTTAGTTTAAGTAAAGACCCCACACGTTTAACTCTCATAAGGTAAGTAATTAAATTGCTTTGCTACGATATCGTATATATAGCTGTAACCCAATCACGAGGAACTCCATTTGTACAAGACACTTGTAATACTGTGCAATGACCACCAAAGAACCAACAAGAATTGAACTCCGTGTGAAGCACGGTTGAGAGGTTTAGCTTCATTCATTCATGGTCATCAAGAAAGACTGAGAGGTTTGTTGGGTTCCATTCAACGAAAAATAAGTACACTTGAATACTTTTATATGCATGTCTATATATACACACTAGTTTTATAAAATTTTTACAGAATATAAAAGTAATTAATTCAACTATTAGGTTGAAGACTCTTACTAAATATATTAATTTTATAAAATTTCATGTAAAAATAAAATAATAGACTTTTTATTTTAAAAAAATATAGAAAGAAAGAATGTTTCTAGAATTAGTAAAGCCACGTAGAAAGTGTTGGCTTGAGGGAATAGGTTACTCAAAAAGTGGAAAATGGAGAAGCAATAATAAAAGGTTCATAGGGATAGTATTGGACCGAAATATATGGTATTTGTGGGAATGCTTACGCCACAGTAGATGAACGCCCAACCTAACTAAAAGGGAAAATGATAATGTTTTCACACAGCCAATAAGGCCATAGAAAGTAGAAGACGTAGAGGGAATTGATGAAGTAGGAGTTGTAGGTCACCTCTCTCGCACCTCATAACACCCAAATCTTAGTCAAAACCGTAAAATAAATCCTATCCAATTCAAATAATATATATATATATATATATATATATATATATATATATATATACACACAACAAAGCATTGCTACTCTTAATTCACGCCGCTCTCCTCTCAACTTTCAAGCCATGTCCTCTCGCATTGTTGCAGAGAATGCATTATCGACAACTAATGCCACCACTCCCTATTTCGACTTAATGGAACTCGACCACCTCACGCGCCGCCCCCCCGCCAACGATATGCCCACTCTCGGACAGCTCCTCAAGCACGTCGGAGACGCGCGGAAAGAAGCTGCCGGAGACGGCAGCCAGACGCCGGTGCACCACGCGCTTGACGTCGCTGACTCCGCCGGATTCGACCCGCGCTCCCTGCCATTCGTCCTCTCCTTCACCAACCTCACCTACAGCGTCAAGGTTCGCCGGAAAATGAGCCTCACCTCAATCTTCCAGCGCCGAGGCAGCCGCCTCGGCGCTGCGGCCGTGGCTGAGGCGCCGGCTGTCGGGGAAAGCATGTTCTCGCGGACGAAGACTCTGCTGAACGACATATCCGGCGAGGCGCGCGACGGCGAGATCATGGCGGTGCTCGGAGCCAGCGGTTCCGGGAAGTCAACTCTAATCGATGCGCTGGCAAACCGAATCGCTAAGGGAAGACTGAAAGGCACGGTAGCGCTGAACGGCGAGGCACTGGAGTCGCGTCTTCTGAAGGTGATTTCGGCGTACGTGATGCAAGACGACCTCCTCTTTCCAATGCTCACAGTAGAGGAGACACTGATGTTCGCCGCGGAGTTCAGATTACCTCGCACGCTCTCCAAGTCCAAGAAAAAGGCTCGCGTCCAGGCTCTAATCGACCAGCTAGGTCTCCGCAACGCGGCCAAAACGGTAATCGGCGACGAAGGCCACCGCGGAGTCTCCGGCGGTGAGCGGCGGAGAGTGTCGATCGGCATCGACATAATCCACGACCCTATCCTTCTTTTCCTGGACGAGCCTACCTCCGGACTGGACTCGACGAGCGCGTTCATGGTGGTGAAGGTTCTGCAGAGAATCGCACAGAGCGGAAGCATCGTCATCATGTCCATCCACCAACCGAGCTACCGAATCCTAGGGCTTCTCGACCGCATGATCTTCTTATCGCGCGGCCAGACGGTTTACAGCGGTTCACCGATGCAGTTACCGGTTTACTTCTCGGAGTTCGGTCACCCTATTCCAGATAGCGATAACAGAACGGAGTTCGCGTTGGACCTGATTCGCGAACTCGAAGGCTCCCCCGGAGGAACAAAGAGCTTGGTAGAGTTCAACAAGTCGTGGCAGAGCATGACCAAGCACAATCAAGCAGAAACGATCGACGCTCAACCAAACGGCCTGTCGTTGAAAGAAGCAATAAGCGCAAGCATTTCGAGAGGAAAACTAGTGTCGGGAGCCACCAACACGAACGCGAACCCGTCGTCTATGGTTCCAACGTTCGCGAACCCGTTTTGGATGGAAATGGCGACGCTGTCAAAACGGTCGTTCACAAATTCGAGGAGAATGCCGGAGTTGTTCGGAATCAGGTTGGGCGCGGTGATGGTGACGGGGTTCATTCTGGCAACGATGTTTTGGCAACTGGATAACTCTCCAAAAGGAGTTCAAGAGAGGCTTGGCTTTTTCGCGTTTGCAATGTCAACAACTTTCTACACAACCGCCGACGCGCTTCCCGTGTTCCTCCAAGAACGCTACATTTTCATGAGAGAAACTGCTTACAACGCGTATCGCAGATCATCGTATTTGGTATCCCACGCTCTGGTGGCGTTGCCGTCGTTGGTGTTCCTCTCGCTGGCTTTCGCGGCGACAACATTTTGGGCCGTGGGCCTGGACGGTGGAGTTTCGGGCTTCTTTTTTTATTTCCTGATTATACTGGCCTCCTTCTGGGCCGGGAACTCGTTCGTGACGTTCCTTTCGGGTGTGGTGCCTCACGTGATGTTGGGGTATACGATTGTGGTTGCGATTCTGGCTTATTTCTTGTTGTTCAGTGGGTTTTTCATCAACAGGGATAGAATACCCAGTTACTGGATTTGGTTCCATTACTTGTCGCTCGTCAAGTATCCCTACGAAGCTGTTTTGCAAAACGAGTTCGATGACCCAGTGAAGTGCTTCGTGAGAGGGGTCCAGATTTTCGATAACACGCCTCTTGGGTCGGTGCCTGAGAGCATGAAGTTGAAACTTTTGGATAGCTTGAGCAACACGCTGGGAATGAAGATCACGAGCTCCACGTGTTTGACGACCGGTTCTGATATATTGCAGCAGAATGGGGTCACCGATTTGAGCAAATGGAATTGTTTGTGGATAACAGTGGCTTGGGGCTTCTTCTTCAGGTTTCTATTCTACTTGTCCTTGTTGGTGGGTAGCAAGAACAAGAGGAGGTGATCATCATCCATCCATGCTTCGTCTTTAAAAGATGAAAATACTTTGTTTCCATTGTTAATTACTACTGCTATTATTATTATTTTTCTCTATTCTATTTTTTCTGTTGTTGTCTGGCGCAGTGCTGGCATTCTCGTAAAAAACAAAAGGAGAAAATGTAATCTTCGGTTCCCTAATTACTTCAATATTTTGCCTTTCACAAACATTCGTCCATACTCAACGGTTTTCATTTAATGTTTTTGATGAATCTGTATTGGGGTCATACAATAAATGGAATCAAATATCAAAGTACCTCGGCTTATCGCTTTGTCTCTCTCACTCAATTTGTAAGCACATGCAGTATTTGTGATATCTTTAGAACGCTCAACTTTTTCCTTTCTTTTTCTTTTTGTTAAAAAGAGTATATAAATAATATAATTTTAATTTTTGAATATCTAATAACAATGTCAACACATTTAATATTTTTTATTTTTATCTTTTTTATCATATCATCTATCATATTTATTATTATTGTTTTATCTTTTTTATTTCTTTGTGTCTCTGAACATAGGCACCCCATCATTATTTACAAACTCTTCGTTGAAATGCAAATAACTTTTGCATATTTAAGAAAATCACCGACTCAAAATTTCAAAACAAATAACTAAAACTAGGCACTCTCAAAAGAAAATTACAAGAATTTTTAAAGGATTAAATTTAAAAGAAATAAAACTTTATTTAAGCCAAAGAAATATAGGAAGAATGGGAATAAAAATATTTTCTTTACGAGCTGATATATTTCATGTTATAAGTCTAGTATTTGTTTATTTTACAATCTCGACCTTTTAATACTTACATATTAAACCTATTTTATACTTTTTCATTTCCCATTATGTATATCTGATTGGAGGATGAAAATATGATTTGATGAGGTGTAGACATCTCCAAGATCCATGACCTTCAAGGATAGTTGAAGAAGCATAAACATCTTCAGAAACGATAATCATGCGGATCACGAAAATCAAACACAGAATATTCCTGATTGCATAATGAGCATAACAAGAAGATCCCTTCATTATATGTTGCACATCACAGAGGAGAACAATGAGAACAAGTGCTAGGTAGAGATCACTATACAAGAGATTTCAGGCCTCAGACTTAGGGCTAAACGTGGTACCTAGCTAAAGTTCTATATTAGGTTATGGGCGTAAACATGTAAATGAGGAGAGAAACTATAATAATACAAATTTAAATACAAGTAGCATTGTCCAATTTAGCATATTAGTGAAGAAATTAAGAATGGTACCTCAAATAAAAAAAAAAAGAAGAGAGTGAGTTATCCAAAACGCCATATGAGAGAATGATGACGATTTAGAAATTATATTTGTACTACTTGCAGAGGAAGACGGATGTCTTGAGTTTTTTTTTTTTTTTTATTTAATTTTGATATATTTTTTAGATGTATGTATATGAAAATAAAAAATAAATGAAAGATAAAAATAATCAGAAGTTTTTATTAACATGTGCTTTCAGTATACCGATTAAGGGGAAAAATTGAATTTTTATTAAAGTTTATTCATTTATTTATATAGATTTATAATATATATATACAAGAATAACAATTAAATAAAAATAAATTACTTTTTATCATTAATACATTTTTTAAATTATTTTAATTCAAATATTTTATATATTTTCTTTATTAATTTATATAAATTGATAACATTTTTTTATTGGGCTTAGATTTTAATGTAAAAGACTTAATTTGAGCAATTGATTAAAAAAATTAAAATTTAAAAAACATTTAAAAATTTATGTATGAAGAATAAAAGTATAATTAAATTATTGAAATTTAAATATTCGTTTTCAATTCTTGAACGACAACATTAATTGGCATTTACCGTAATCATAAACAACGTTAATGTGTAGTTATTTAAGTGACTATGATAGATCACCACCGTCCGTCTGTGCAGCTCGTAAATGAATAGGGATACGCGGCATCTAACGTAACTTGTATATATTTTGACCTATTTATAGAACAGTGTTTTTGTTTTCATTATTTGCTGTGATGCCCTTCAGCTTTCACAATTTGGAGACCAGTATCCAAATGCTGCTTCAATTCAACGAATTTTCCCACCAGATCACATTATTGTTATTCCAATCAAGAATTGTCAATTCTCATTTTGTTGCTGTTTGGGAACCCAAAAAACTGTTGTGACTGACGTGTGAACTTGGATGCTTTGTGGTTGGTTGAAAAGAGCTTATAGAGAATGTGAAATAGGATAAGGGGACTGCACCGAGTCATGGAAAGGTCGGAACGGAGGACGGGAAAGCCGTGAAATGAAAAAGATAAAAAATAAAAGTGATATATGGATATTTTTTTGGAACAATATAATCAAAGCAATTTTTGTTACATGTACATGGGTGTCCCACTTTCCATTAACGACTGCATGATCCTCACACTGAGGGTAAGAAATTGAAATTGGAGGTGCTTTTATTATCATCTTCAAAACTAAATTACATTACATCTATAGTCCTGTCCGTTCCCAGGAAAGAATGGTAACCGACCAAACAAATGTTTATAGGGGGGGTGGGGGGGACATATCCATTGGAACGTTAGCGTGCTTGATTTTTTTATTTTTTTTTCTCTTTCATGTTTGTATATTCCACGTTACTAGTCCTTGGTTTCAGACTGAGTTTCAGGACATGATCACACAGCCTTTTTTCTAGCCTTCTTGCAACATTACCTACCGATAGAGAACATGAAAGGCTGCATCATTTTCCCCTACTTTCCTGAATGACATCTCCACTATCTGTAATTCAAAAACTTGGCTATAAAGGTGCCCGTGCTAAAAAATCGTTAACAGCAAGATTGGCATCACCGTGGGCCACAGCATCCTCTGGCTCTGGCACAAATAAACTAGATGATGAAACCTGCAAATTAAAGATTCCTTTTGTTAAATCTCTGAGCAATCATACTGCATGCAACCCATTTATTGTATTAACTTAAACTGGTTAAGGAAACACTTTTAACGTTGACTAGTGACGGGGAAATTCTAATTATGGGTTAACCAGTTCATAGAACAATCCGTTGATATGGGAGAAGGAAATGCAGTGAATATAAAGGATAGAGATCAAACATACTTTTGTATCAAGCAGCATATCTCCATTATTATCAGTAATTATGATGGCACCATGCGCCTTCAACCATTCTACACACTCTTCCAAAGAATCCGTGTCTTTCTCATCGCTCACACCATTTAAGAATCCAAGAACCTGAGAAACGTACGAAACAGGTACAGTTGGGCGATATGACCGGCACATGCAGCTCACAGCTTTATAACGCATCTTTTCAACATAGAGATCTGTGGAAATTATTATTTAAAAAAAAAAAACTATTTCAGTTTGTCCCCCTTAAAATGTATGCTACATGTTACCAACAAGCTACCCATGAAAACAAGTAAACTATGGATACTTACCCATAAGGCAGGTGTTTAAGTTAGGAGCAGCTTTGTACAGTCTAAAGAATGTAACATAATTTCCTGAAGTCACAGCTGCACGAACTGCAAGCGCATGTTTTACAGCTTCATCCTTCTTTGCTTCTAGAGATAACCTGGTATTGACAACAATACACATTCAAATCAGAAGCATTCTATGATAACAATAATGACACAAAATAATTGAGACCGCGTCATAAGTACACTATTATTACAATAATTCAAGGGAAAATATTTTTGCATAGCAACTGAAAGATTGGAATAACACAGATTTATAATAATAATAGCAATAATAATAATAATAGCACAAAATCCTGATAGGTGAATCACAGAACATAATTGAGTTATACCAAGAATTTCAAAAGAAAGAAGAATCATGCGAACACGTAAGTATGGGGCTAACCTTGCCATTGATGATAGGAGATCTCTGTTATTATTTGAATGCATTATAACACAAAGCAAGTTGTAAGCAGCAAATTCCATATAAGACCCCTCAATCCCTTCAGCATAAAGAGTCTTCAACTGAGATTGACACTGCAATCACACAAATAACATCAAAATATCTAAACTTCATTTCCATGTTGAATAGCATCCTCAAATTTTATAATAAATCATTCCCATTTCCAAAATAAGAAAAAAAATGGTACCAAATTTTTTTCCCCAATTTAAACTTCATAATTCACCACCAGTTTGTAATTTACTAAGTCAACATGTTTTATGGGTTGAAATAAAAACATCGACACAAACACTACAATTGAATTGGCTATTTGTTCAAATTGTCTAGGTGTTGTTATGGAGGCACTGGGAAGGAAGATAATTCCAACATCTAGAATGACTCCATTATAACTTGAAAGGCATTGATGACCTGGAATTAATCCATGATCTCAGATAAAAATGGACACATACATAATCAGTACAGGCAACAAGAGTAAAAAAGTATTTAAACCATAAGATGGATTAATAAATTGAAATTTCTTCAAACAATATATAAACTAACCTGATTATACTCAGGCAGGTCCCCAAATTCCAGTGCCAATCGGGCATGTGTTTCATACACCTAAAACATTATTTCAAGAGTTAGCAGGTGCAGAAACCAACTCATGTAGAATGAATATACGACTACCACCCCCAAAGCCTTTTACCAGTAGGTTAGAACAACTACATGGATTGAATAATGTCATGTTCCCTCAAAAACCAATTCTTTTATGAAGAATATATTAAAAAAAAAAAAAAACAGAAAATGGGGATTAAGTGTTTTCACTGTAGTAGCTCTTTAACATGGAAAAGGAAATCTGAAATGTAAAGAGATTCCCGATCAATTTACAATCAGCATAGCCAAAGACATGTAGAGGAACCATACAACCAAAAAATTTTATGAATAAGGTTAACCAGTGATACAATGCTATCCATCAGAAAATATTAAACAAAATAATACCTTCACTGTTAATTGATTGCGTATTCGTTGAACAGTAAGGTCTTGACGAATAGACTTTAACTGATCACATTTATAAAGGTAATTCTTCGGGGAATTTTGAACCATCAACAGTGCTTTTTCAAGAACCTCTTCAGGTCTTACCTGTGAGTTTATAACATTTTAATCAGATTTTTAGTCAAGGAGGGGAGGGGAGGGAAGGTGTAGACAGATAAAAATAGCAGCATGCAACTTAAATTCCTGGGAAGAGATATTACGGTGGCAGGATCAGGAGCAGAAGTTAAGCGCAGGTAACGCTTTTCAATTTCCTGGCAAGTACCCTTCACAGTAAGTGCATCCCAGTCAATATCCTCAACAGCTTTGCTGACACCATCTTCAAAGCTTTTGCTCAGCACCAAGGCACTAGCCCTTCTACTGTACAAGTTTCCACCTCCAGCATTCTTTTTTCTGAAGTGATTATTTTCCGTCCGATGGCCTTGCCCTAAATCAAATCGCTTAGAACGATTTTCACGTCTCTTCCTTTCCTCTGGTGAATCACTAAAAGCCATTGCAGCAGAATAATATGCTGTCAAACTTTGTTCCTTGTCACTATCACTAGATGCATCACCATTTTCAGAAACAAAAGAAGCATCTGTAAGACGCTGCTTCTTAAATGGCCTTTGGCCTGCCCTACTAGGTGTTCTCTGCAGTAATGGAGAAAATTTAGTGTTCCGCAAACCATCTTCCTTGCTTTCTTTGCTTTCCACTGCCACCTGTGTACCATATACTTAGGTAAATGAACAAAAAATCTGCATACCTTATTCAAGCATATACTTAATAATCTCAACATGATTGTACTTGACAAACAACAGTATCAGAAAGTGGGGGGCACAATACTTTAAACTTAAATGAAAAGATAAGACAGTCACATACATGCATACAAAAATGAATCCATGAGAGCTTGTATGTATTTGTAAACAAGGCTACCAAACTCCAGATCCAACATGAAATAAAAGTTATGCTATCTGTCAAGTGACAGAGCATTAACCAGTTTGTTTAAATATAATACAATGAACTTGAAAAGCTTTCTACCAAACAAAATAGTTTCAGACATATTGTGTAACTAAAGCAAATGACACAACTAAAATTTTCGAATGATACTAGCTCACTCACAGAAGCCACCGCCATAAAGATTGCTAAATAGTGAAATCTGGAATAAAAACCAACACTAATGCATTGAATGAGAGTCCCGTACTTGTTAAGGCAAAAGCAAAGCATCATTAGGACTAGAATTCCTGACAATCCTACACAAGATTGAATTGCAATCACAATACTAGTCCTATCACATGACACTATATATAACACATAATTTGGTCAAAATGGGATTACAAAATGCAACTATTATCCATATCATAATATAAAGCATCCTTGATCATTAAGATGCATGGCCTCAAGTATAACCAATAAGATAAAAATGGCATAAAATAAGTAAACCAAAAAATAGGGGGGAAACAGGAAAGAGTAAACTCTTTAACTGTAGTTCAACTCAACTCAATTTATGAAAAGAAAGCAACAAGAATGACACCAGCTGGAACCTGAAAAAAAACCATAAATTACTTATTTAAACATAAATACCTTTCTGTCCTTTTCATTTGGTACCCAACCACTATATTTTACAGTATCATTGTTGATTAACACTGGATTGTCAACTGGCTTCTCCTCTGGTAATGGCTCCCACCTACTTTTAGATCGTCTAGGACTTTTTTTATACTTTGGCAACAAAGAATCATGGACTGAAGACAGTGAACTACTGCATGAAATGACAACAAATAATAATAATATTTGTCATATAATAAGTGTACAATTTAAAAAAAATAAAATAATTTCAATAATTAGAATGATAATTAAATGTTAAAATTCAAGGGATATGATACATATGAACATAGGTGCATGATATAATAGAAATGAATACAATACAATAATGAGGATGCAGAAAATTCTTGCACATACAGGTGGTATAAACTAGCACAAATTCATTTAAAAATAATTTCATTGGTTAGTAAGTGCAATTGCATACTACTCACATCTAAAACCCATGAACTCCACTTGTATTCTGAAATCACTATTATTCACAAACAAATTAGCATTCTGCTATTTCTGATCATGAAAATTCACATCAGTACATGACCTGTTTATAATTTCAACTCAGAACATTTATAATTCATGATATATGCCATCCCTGTAGCTAAGTTTTAAAAATTGGGTTTTGGGAACTGGTTAATGAAGAAAAGCATGTAATACTTTTCATTAAATTATCCTTATTACTTAAAGAAAAAAATCAATCATATTTGAATTTCCAAGACATTAAATGCTTCTACTTTTTCAGTAGCCTTTATTTCTTAACGCGTGCTCCTAAACATTAACAAAACAAAACCTTGACGAAATGTAAAAATTTTGTAAACATTTTAATACAGATACTTCCTCATTTTAGCATATAGGTGCTTTATAGGACTAAGATTTTAATATTATACTCTACGGAAGAAGATTAACAGTTTCTAAAATGTTGTTGTACTGCAACAGTAATACAGATGAGGTCCTAATGACATTCAGAACTGAATAAATTCTCCATATTGGACTACATTTATAAACATTTAGCGTCTTATTGAGTACTTGTAAATGGCTCCCTCTCATGCTAATGGGGTAGTATTGGTAGCAATAACATCACCATCTTATATATAATTTATTATTATTATTATTATTATTATTATTTAAATTACTGTTATTTGTAGTCTCCCTTAAAATTTAATTGCTTTTTTAAGCTTTGAACTCGTCACATTTTTCTGTGTTTGGCTCCCTCAAAAAACTAATTGTCTTTTCAGTTCTGAACTTTTCACATTTTTTTGTGTTTGACTCCCTCAAAAAATTTATCTCTAAATTTGGCCTCCTCATAAAAGAAAAACCTGGCTCTGCCCCTGCTTGTATATGTTCCAGTTAAAACAAAAGGAAGAATCAACAGTAATTGATCAAAGTCAAACTTGAATGTCACTGAAAATCAGAAGCACCTGAAGTTCCAGAGATACAAGAATGACATTTGTCAACATACAAAAGCAACAGGGAAAGAAGAGACGGCATACTCTTTATTGGCCACATCTGCATCTGGCATGGGGAAAAGTGGTTCTATATCCCAATTTCGTGTGTTGAGGGTACCATCAGCTGTTGCCTTGGTGATCATCTGAAAAAGAGGTTAAAGAATCTGATAAAACCAAACTGGCAACAAACTCCAGCAAACAACTTATATGTTTGATGCCAATTAGAAGGACAAGCAGGCAGTGCACAAAATTAAATATTTGACATCCACACATTAGCTAGTACTCACCTTAGCTGGAAGATGACCAGAATTATAAACATAGACTGAAAAATTGTGAATGGTTCTTCATTTTATCACATCTTCTTAATTGAGAAAAAGCAAATAAAAATACATTCCAATTTTCAGGTAGAAATTGCAATAGTTTTCAGTAGCATTCTAACAAACTTTGCCAAAACACACAGAATTTTCCACTTCCATATAAAACAGAAATAAGATACCAACCAAGGAAGTGATAGCAGAGTTTCAGAGTACCACTACAACAACTTCAGGATTTGTTTCAGGATTCACAATTTTATTTTGTGAGTTGCAACTTACCCCAAAAATACAATTGTTCACTAGAGAGAGAGAAAGAGAGAGAGAGAGAGAGAGAAAGAAAGAGAGAGTTAGATTCAACAGCTCCTTAGACATTTCTCCTGTTCTTTGTGTGCATGTGCTTTGCTTTGGAGGGAGAATTAAAAGGTTCAATATATGGTAATGAAATATAAAGATTCCGCAACATATGTTTTTCTAAAAAAAAATGTTTGTTAATCCTGAATAATGTCTGCGTCTGTGTGTCGTGTCTTTTTTTATGTATTTATATGCCAGCTATCCCTTGCCACATACTCCATATACAAACGTGATCCTTTTCTCAATGTCTCTAATGTCTATTTCACAAAATGAAGGCAATTATGTAATTACAAAATCATATAGTTTCAGCTCAGAATAACTAAGGCCAAGACAAATAGACCCTGTTCTGTTTGATCCTAAAGTAATATATACACAAAGCATCTAAAGCTTTTGCAAAAATTAGTATATTGATATATTTTCTTCTTATAATATAAAAAATTAAAAGCTAACCTCCTTCATGACAGCCTGACATGCTTCCATTTGCTTATCATCTTTACAACGAGCCAAAGCTCTTTCAACATAGCCACGCAAAGACTTGGGAAACATTCCAGGCTGTAAGCAGAAAAAGTTCAATAACTATTAATAGTTAATGACATATAATCATCATTATTTGGTTGCAATACCAACTTGCAACTTGCTCTATGAAACAAACGAGCAATTCCTCAATTCCTGGAAAATAATACTGTTAATTAAAAATTAGGTTCTTAGCTCCAATTCATGCTATTCCAATAAAGTCAAACAAACCTTTGCACAAAAAATATCGTCAACAATGTAATTTATCAGTTTAGAAGGGACAACAGTTACCAAGTACATTGAAATAAAAATTGGTCTTCTCTAGGGGTTTCCCTCACAGATATTTTAAGCGATTATTTAGCTTTACTTTGCTAATGTTTTTATTTATTGTCTGTTTTTCCTTTTTATGTTAGAGATTAGCTTGTCCTCCTAATCATTTACAAATATCTTTTCATCAACTTATTTTTTAAAATTAAAAAAATTTCACCAAACTTCAGCAAATTCAAACACTTAGTTTACATGAGCTTATAATACAATGATATTTTTTCCTAAATCTTTATTTTCCTTTAAAAGTGAAAATGAAATCAAAATAAATAAATTGACAGGGTGACAATAACTTAAAATGCATTACACAATGTAAAAAAAATCAATGAAACATTATTTTTCCAAGTCTCACCTTAAGTATAGAATTAGCAGCATCATTAGATGACGCTTTCTCAGTTGGTTTTGGCAATGAAACAGCAATATACGCAGGTTTTATTGCTGAACTGATTGTAGAGCTATCTTTCTCGATTTTGGGCTGTCCAAATGTCAAATTTGAAGCAATTCGAGGATTTGTAGGAATTTGAAGTTTGCTTACCCGTTTTGCATCCAAAGATGGAGCACTTTGTACAGGTGTCACATTCACCTGTTGAGAGGGATGAGGAGGGGGGGCAGGAGGAAAGTACAAATTGGTTCCTTGAGAAGATATGGTCTTCTGCTGATCCTGAAATTTATCATAAGAAGATTTTAAATCCAAAGGACTTTGATAGTTTGGCTGAATAGGATTAGTTTGTTGAATTTGAGAACTTTGGGCCACATGTTTCCAGTAACCATCATGATCACCATTTACTGCAGCAGGCTGACCATCAAAAGAACGAACATGAAGTTAATAAGGTAACTAAGTCAGACTTCAAAAGACTAATCAACCAAAGGCAACAATCATATAGCACTGAAGCCAAACAAGTTTAGATATCCAGTACACTAAAATTTTAATAGAATTGAAATTCAACAAACAGAACTAACATTAGGGAATAGGGATTAATTTTTTGTAATTCATATATCAGAACATAGGAAAAAAAACATAACCAAAGCAACTTGAAATGTATAAATAGCAATCTCTCTGTTCTTTCAAGTCAATTATTCCAAGTAGTATAGGTTTTTCAAACACTTTTTGTCTGAAAATAATCTTCAAACCTGAAAAGAAGGTATGGCAGAAGAGCTGGATTCTTGCCTCCAAAATGGTGGATATGATTGCGGAGGCTGGCTGTTTGGAGTTGCATAACCATTAGTAACCGCAGAAATAGGACAACCCAAACTAGATGAACTTGGAACAGATAAGTTCTCTGTTCCTGGTGCACAGCTGACTTCTGTTTGGTTGTAATAGTCCGCCCACTGCTTGTACTGTTGCTGATACTGCACAGAGGTAGCTGCAGCACCAGAACTATAAGAACCACTGGAATCGGGGGCATAATTTGTATATGGATGAGAAGAATAACTTGAATAACTGCCATTGTTCCACAAAGTTGCTTGATTTCCATATCCGTTGCTGTTTTGGTAACCTCCAGCAGTCTGATAATCAGCAGGATTGTAATAAGTGCTTGAATAACTTGCAGATCCAGCATAAGACCCAGTATTCTGAAAGGATGAAATAGGCTGATAAGGAGCACCTGTGTTTTGATATGCTCCTACAGGCTGTGTATAGGTATGATTAGGTTGCTGCTGATAGTTGTTATAGTAGCCCGAGTATCCCACGCTGCCATAACCATATGGATTAGAAGAACTTGGGTATGATGCGTATGCATTGTAATCTTGGGGTACATTAGCTGTTCCCAAATTTGATGAATTACCAGCAACTGAAGTTACATTTTGACCATCTTGAACGCTTCTTCCAGGCGGCTGTGGATGTTGATCATACTGGTAGGTTGGATTAGAATACATTCCATTTGCTGTAGAGCTATGAACAGTCCATGATACAGCTTCAGACCCAGTTGTAGTGGAAGTGTATGAAGATTGCTGATGTTGGCTAGCATCAACATGCCGATTCTGCAAAAGAACAAGATTGTGGGTTATGTTTTACATGATCAGAATACACACAATTGAACCACGGGTGCATTGAGCAATACAAAGATGTGAATGAGATAGCATTTGGGTCAAAATATCCAGAACGGAAAAATGCAAGCACGGAAACAAAAAAAATTAAATAGATGTCCATTTACATCTATACTCTATGACAGTAAAGAAACGGGATTCACCACCCAGTATTATATTTTTTCTCTCTCTGAAAGATAAGTGTTTCTTAGAAAAGGTTCAAAACTTCTCCATAAAATTCTTATGAGTTATAACCATTGAAAATAACAAAATAATAATTGTAGCTCGCTCTCAGTAACATATGCATCACAATATATATATATATCATTAGTACATGACATTTCCAAAACTCAAATTATAATAAACAGCACTGTTTGATTCACGAATTGAAGACCTCATACTTGATAGATTACCTCGAATAGATGGGGCTCCGCAGGAGCTAAGGTCTCAGTATTACTTCCTTCGTTCGCCATCACACGGAAACACCCTGATTGACCAACGAAAAAAGAATCACATAATTGAATTCAGAAAAACCCTAACCAATTAATAACAAATCGTAACAGTACGAACCTTGGAAAAGCTCAGAAAAGCAACGGGGAAAAGTTCGGGAAGGCAAATCACAAATCGGAGGAACCGAAAGAAGCAAATTGGGGAGAAGAATTAAAATTAACGAAAAGCAAAAAAAGAAAAAGAAAACAATAGCAAGATAGTTTTGAAATATTAACAGGGGAAGAGGGAGATAAAAAAAACAGATTGAAAGAGATAGAAAGGCGAAGACTTTGCAGTAAAACGTAAAAGGGCGAAAACGCAGGAACAACAGAGGACTGGGAAAAGAGAAGTTGCGTTGCGTTGCGTCGTGAGGGGAAAAAATGGGTATGAAGAAATAGGGAGAACGGAGTATGCAGAGGTGGGGCCCTCTGATCATGGCGGTACAGCGAGATAGATAATAACCTGTATATTAATAAATATTTAAATATTAATTTATGTTCTAAATTTAATTCTAATTTTTATTTAAAATAAATTTATTTTAATAAATGATATTTAACATTTTAAGTTATTTTTATAAATGACTAAACTAGTATTTTAGTCCTGAGAAAATTTGAGTCTAGCATTTTAGTCCTTGAGACATTTAAAATATCACGTTAGTCTGTAACTTCTTTCTCCGTCATGCATTTTAGTCTCTCAACGTTAGACTCTGTTAAAAAACTGTCACAGAAGGTTGAGCTGTCACGTTAAGTGCTACATCAGAATCTCAGTTAGCACGACTTCGTTTTAGAAGCTAGCGTGACAAATAATTGTGAAACGATGTCGTTCATTGAAGTACCTTTTATTCAAATTGAATCACATATTTTCTCATTGTTGTCGAAGAACTCTACCTAAGTCCACGCAAAATCTCGTCCAAATTTTTGTTCGCAGTTGTGTTTGAGGGTGAAATATTTAAATATTGAAGTTTGTTGCAATGGAAGAAGGGTCAATAGATGGAGAATTCGGTAAAAAAAAATGTCTTAATTCATTTAGTCATTCTTTTGGTTTGGAAATGAAAAACCCTAACTGTTCAATTTCAGATTGATGAGAATGTGGCTCGCAAGATTATCAACCACAGGTCTCTTCGTTACCCTAATATAATTTGTTTCAAGGAGGTAGGGACTTTATTTGCTTACCTGTTGGATCACTTTGTATTAAATACTCTATATAGCTAATTATTTGTCATATTCTAATGGGGCTTTGATTTTGTAGGTGGTTTTGATCCCTACTCATTTAGAAATAGTAATGGAGTATGCAACTGAAGGAGAGCTATTTGAGAGGATATGCAATGCTAAAAGGTGAAGATGAGGTTGATCTTTGAATTTTCTAGTTTATTTCACTCTTTCAGTTTTATTGCCATTAATATTGTAGCCATATTTCACTTATTTTCCCCTTTGATTGTTCAAGCTAGATATTTCTTTCAACAGCTGATTTCTGGTGTCCATTACTATCATGTCATGGTATAATCATGCTTAAGTTCTTGAAAAACTATTGGACTTCCTGTAGTCAGAACTGTATGAAGTGAGAACTTATGCTTTTACTTTTCTTTTGCAACGAATATGCCACAGAGATTTAAAGCTAGAAAAAACCCTCTTAGATGGGAAGCCCTACACCCAAGGTATTGGATTGAATAACATCTGGTTTCTATGTTCTAATAATATGTTCTTTAACTTTTATATTTCTGAATTTTTGTTATTTGTGGTTTCATCGTCTTTGCTTCATTCATGACCCAAATCAATTGTTGGAACTCTAGCTTATATAGCACCAGAAGTTCTTTCTAAGAGGGTAAACATTTACGTATAATGAAGTTACTCATTACTTAGAATTGACAAGGACTTAATTGCATGAATAATAAATCAGATAGGGATTCTTACTTAATTGCAATTATTTGTGTAACGCCAGCTTCCAAAATGACATCGCTGCTACCAACTGAGATTTTGACGTAACACTTAACATGACAGCTCAGCCTTCTGTGACGGTTTCTCGACGGAGTCTAATGCCAAAACTAAAATGTATGACGAAGAAAGAAATTACGGACTAGCATGATATTTTAAATGTTTCAGAGACTAAAATGTTGGACTCAAACTCTCCTAGGAACTAAAATGTTAGTTTAGTCTTTTATAAATTGTGTCAATCATCTTTTACGAACAAGTTATAAATTTTAACTAAGCTGAGTTCTTAAATCTTAACATTGGACATGATTATTATGTAAATCAGACCACGCTGACAAGTCAAACAAATATGTATTTGTTATAAATTTTCAATTTTATAATAATTAATTTAAAAAATATATTAATTATATATTTAAATTAATTCAATAAAACTTAGGTGCTTAAAATTAATTGTAAGGGTCAAAAATAATAATATCGTTAATTTAAAAGTTATATCTGTAAAGATTTACTTGTTAATTGGAACAATTCACCTATATTCATCCAAGAACAAATTTTAACACAAGACATACAGATGGATCGTATTTTTCATATAGTAATAAACATATCAATTTTTGAGATGAGTCTGACTCTTCAACATTTTTTTCTGAATTTATTATTTATTATTATCACTTACCTTTTACCCTTATTTAAAAAAAATGCTAAAAACACAAAAAAAAAAAATTGGAAAATTGACACTTAATCATTTTCACTTCACTGTAAGTCTAGACATCTTTATTTTACCACAAGCCCCTCGACATTTTCATTTTAAGTTTAAATACATTTTAAAATATATTTTTAGTTATTATTTAAAATTAATCAAAAACTATAAAAGTATCAACAAGACTTATCAGATTAGAAGTGAAATATATATAATTCATATGATTCTTAATAATTTTAACTAATAATAAGAGTATATTTAAAAAATATATAATTTGTATTAAAAAATGTATAATTAAAAACACCATTTGCATTTCTCATTGTGACATTGGGAGGGGAGCATAGACCCTTTTGTCAGCAAGGCCCAAATGGACGCCCCCAGTGCTAAGTAGCTGCACTCAACAGAACTCAAAAGGATCGCCATTTCCACAGCACATGAACCTTCGTAAGTCTTGTCTCTGGCCGTCAATATCTACAGGTCGCAACCACAAGTAAATAGCAAGTTACAAGTATGAATTGATTAGATAGTAAGAGATGAAGAGTTTTGTTTCATTTGATATCGATTAGAAATATGAATAGACAAAGAATAAGCTCAGGGTGAATCATGCTTTAGGATTTTGGAACTTGGGTGGGAGCAATGTACTAGAATTGTATGATAATGACAAAACTGTGAACCCCATATCATGATGGTGGATGATAAATTCACATTTTACCATAATTTTTAGTATAATTTTGTTAATAAATAAGTAGTAAAGTGCTAAGTAAACTTGAAAATATCATAAAAATTGCATTAATATTTATAATTGCGTAAATAGTTTAGAATTTTAGATTTTATTCCAATTCTGGACAATTTTGCTTAAAAAGACTTAATTTTGTGTAAAAGCTTGAGCTGAAGATATTTGAGTTGAAGATTGAAGTGAAGAAAGTAGAGGAATTGAGCTTAAAAGATGAAGAATCAAGTGTTATGTGTAGGGCGTAATCATTCTGAGTACATAAAATGAACACTTTGAAGAAGAAAATTCATAAAGATCAAGAATGTAGCTACTTCAAGTGTTTAGAGTAGCTACGCAAAGAGCGCGTAGCCACTTCAAGTGCTCAGAGTAGCTACGTCGTAGCCACTCTAAGCGCTGAGAGTAGCTACGCAAAGCTGCGGCGTAGACACTCTAAGTGCTGAGAGTGTCTACGCAAAATAACAGAATTTTGAAAAACACTTCTAATTGTCAACTTTGGACGATTTGAGTTCCTATTTCAGTTGTAAAAGCTTCTAGAAGACCTTTCATGCTATAATCCTCAGAGATTAAAGTCTGGAAGTGGAAAATGCGGGAAAACATTATAAATAGAAGTTAAGAGTTCAGAATTGGGAGTCTTTTGCCATTTTTTTATTTTTCTTTTCATTTTCACACCTTAGAAGAGTTAGAGAGAGAGATTGGGGGCGACATCCAAGCTCTGGACCTTGAGGAATCAGACTGATGATTGAATTTATGAAAAAATTATGTAGCTCCTCTTCTTCTGCTCTTTCTCTCTCTTTTTCTTTTAGGAATATGTTCTGATTTCTTTTTGTTAGGGATCTATAGATCCAGATTTAATATTGTGATGTAATTTTAGATATAGACCTTGAGGTTTTGATTGAATTGAGTATGTGATTCTGTTCTTAATGCAGTTATGAACTAATCCTTCATTCAATTGAACTTAGAGAAATCTTCATCAATGAAAATTGAGTTTATTTTTTAGATCTGAATCATATGTTATTGAGATCTTAGGAATAAGTATCATAATCTATTAATCCTATAATTTTTAGAACTTAATACAATATTTGATTAAATTTTACCTAAAGAATTAGAGAGATTTAATTAGGTATTAGGATCAATAAGACAAGAAATTGTCTTTTGGTTAAAGAAGTGAAATTGATTATCAATCAATTAGAATTCTTAAGAGTCCAAAATATTATTACATTACAATAGAAAATCTGATGAAATGATTCCTAACAATTTTTTATATAGCATTTTAATACAAAATTTATATTTCTGTTTTGCTGTATTTTTCAGATTTTTGCCCTTTATTGTTTTTGTTTATTAAATGATTCAAAACACTCTAAATTCGTTTGACTCAACTAGTTATTGATTTGTGAAGTAGTAATTGATAGACATAATTTTTAAAGACGATACTTAAAGCTCATATTGAATTCCAAATTTTATTACTTGCTACAACTACTTAATAATACACTTGCTAGTTAGTTCTCCAATTTGTATATCAGTGGATCTAATCGATCTACCATAATTGCTCAGTAAATAAATAAGTAAAAAAACATATTGAGGGGCAATATGAAGACAATTACGTGAATTTGAGCATGATTACAATATAAGAATTTACCTTAACTACTTGTTGTTTCGGTTTCATTAACTAAAAATACTATACAAAATACCTATATGACACAAAAAGTAGTTGATGACGAGTAGATGGAATATAGAGACAAGAAACAAAATTTTATTGATCATATAGTTAGTGAGCTCATTTGTAATGAGCTACTACAATTTAGATAGCAGGCAGGTCTTTGAAATAAAGATTGAAGTCGTAAATTCCAATTGATTATGTTTTATCCCAAACATTTAAGTTAATATTAGTATTAATTGACTGACATAAAGTTTATTGCGAGTTGTAGTTACTTTTGTCTTGCTTGTGTAAGTGCCTGTGTGTAGTAATGTTAGGCAGAAATGGAATATGTTAGCGGGAATGAAGAGCCTGTTGTCAATGAGACTAACAACGAGCCATGACTTTTACCTGTACTACGTGGCATGCACATGGATATCTGCTTGAACACTAAAACCCAATGATGATATCAATACAAGAGTGTCAGAGTACATAGCAATCAGTGCCTTGTATTCTTGCAACAACCTAAACTTAAAGGAAATACCAAGAATCATAGATAAGCAGGCCTAATAAAGGGTACAGTGTGCCGTCTTTCTGTAATGACTCACTGTTGCTTCAAACTACCTTCATCCTACGTCAAAGAGATCCAATTAGCCTGGACGATGATTTCACAAATACAACAGTGTATCCAACTCACGACTTATTTAATATATTTTCCGTATACATTCACAGCTTTTTGTTTCCATCCAAAGTCTCTGCTGAGAGTGAAATGTATGACAGAATTAAATGCACCTGCAATTTAAAGGAAAAACAAAAATAGTTCAACTACTCCATTTGTCCACTTAATGCTGCTTCCGCATCCTCAGCATCCAATTCTTGTTCCACACCTTTGACCTGTAAAAGCAGCAAGCAGCTTTACAATAATGTTTACATAAGTATAGTATAATGAATCCTTCATATGAATTGGAATTAATTCTATTAACGCTGCTTATATAAACATTCAATAATGAATGCACTACATGCTAGAAAATACAAGCTAAAAAGATACTATACTCGATGAATTCATTTTAGGTACATGTAATCCATATACCACGACTTAGATGTAATCACATAATACAACAGAAAATACAATTAAATGGTATGCGGCAACCCAGTGCATGAGGCTCCTATTTGATGGGGATCTGGGGAGGGTAGACTTACACCGCTTTACCTCACAACTGGATGGGCTAGTTTCTAAGATTTGAACCCGTTACCTCTCGGTTATGGCAAAAATATTATTGTCGTGCTATGGCTTGCCAAAAAGGGGGTGACCTCGGGCATGAGGCTCTCACTAAGTAGGGTCTAGGGAGGGTGGGTGTATACAGCCTTACTCCCTTAAGCGGAGAGGCTGTTTCCAAGATTTAAATAGTCACAAGGCAACAACCTTACTGTTTACCTAAGGCTCACCCTCTATCTAGTTTAGTGGTGAACTCTACAATTAGCAACTTTCACAAGTCAATTTAATTGGTCCCCTAACTCTACCACTGTAATATGACACAAAATTAAGTGAAGAATATGCATAGAACACACAAATCATTTCAATGTTAAAGGAATAGTGTTCAAGAATCTAACCAATACTACTACCATCAATATAATGAAAACACCAAATACATTACACTCATCACATAAAGATATTGTTGAACTTGTTACCTCAGGAACATAATGCATCAGCATATTTTCAATGCCTGATTTCAGAGTCACTGATGAACTTGGGCAGCCACTACATGCCCCTTGCATTTTTAGTTTCACGATTCCAGTATCTCTGGAGAAAACCACAATACAAGAAAAAAATACAACTCAGTAAAAATAAAGGTTAGATAATTGGCCCAAGTATCAGCAATTAGTTAGTTAGAACAGACTCAATAAAAGCTCTGTTGACAATTCAATTGTATTGACAGTGCGTTAGTTAGTTAGAAAAGGGGACGGCGTATATATTGGATGGAAAGTATACAAAGGAGGTATACGTTTCCTTAGACTGTCAAAGGAGGTAATTGCTTGAAGGAAAAAATAACTGGAGTAGGGATTGGGAGGGAAAGCCAGGAAGATAGACACTAGAATTTCCCGAGACTGCGAGGTATAAGTTTCTTTACTACTTCTTTTCTTTTGATTTTACAAAAAAGTTCATCTTTTAGCATCTGTTTTCTACTTTTCTGGTCCAGTTCTATCAAAATCAGTTATAGCATAAACATTTTCCTCCCCAAAGTTTTCATGAAGATGCTTTAAACCAAAATAACAAAAATCCAAAACGAACTTACGGGTCAAAACCTCGATACTCAATGTCTCCACCATCATCTTGCACGGCTGGTCGAATGCGAGTCTCTAACAACTCCTTGATCATCGCAACTGTCTCAGAATCATCCTTGACAGAAACAAGAATAACAATCATCAGTGTAAGAACCATTAACTTTCGACCCTCTCACAGTCGAGGGAAAATTCCTATATACTCCACAAGTAAGACAAAGACAAATCTAAGAATACGTGTGTGCAAACTCATGCTTCCTAAATTAACGTGATTAACTATTATTGCGGAACCTACGCCAGAATCAAAGATTGAAACAAAGCCTCAATTTCGAATAACATGGAGACGCGTGGTTACCATACTTGGTGAATAGCGGTATCCATGGCGGCGGCGGCTTGAGAGTCTAGAAAGAGTGGCTGACCAGAAGAGTAGAAGTCCATAATAGCGGCAAATATTTCAGGCTTCAGAAACTCCCACGCGGCGTCTTCGGATTTCGTAACGGTGACGAAATCGGATCCAAAGAAAACACGAGTAACGCCTGCATTAGAAAAAAAACAGAGAAGAGAAATCAGAAACCCTAAACAGGAAAACACGATGAAACGACTGAGGAAAAGAAAGAGACCGTCGATGGCGAAGAGGGCTTTGGCGAGGGGAGAATTCATGGCGGAACGAGGATTGGGGAAGTCGGCGCTTCCAACTTCCATGACAGGCTTGCCAGCATAAAACATGAGAGACGAGGGATTGGGAGTTGCCTGCGTTTGGATGAACATGCTCCTACGTTGTCCTGTGTAATTCCAGATCAGAAACTGTTCGATTCGAATCACGAGGGAATGGAAGAGGAACGTTACGAACCGGTGGAGAATCGAAATGGAAATGGGAGAGCGGAGGAAGAGAAAGCATGGTGATTGTGAGGGTAAAACGACGGCGTTGCGGCGAGGCGGCGAGTGATGAAAGTGTTACTCTGCGTCGGTGGGTGAGATGAAAGACGCGCACGTCTTGCCAATCGCCAAACACCACCTCTCATCCTTCGGAATTCGATGACTCGTTTACCTCGCTCCTTCTTCGACTTTCATGGATTCTTATAGCGTCCCCCAAAACCCCATCACTTCCTTCTCCAATAACTATTACATGACACGTGGTCAATAAAAAAGGGGCTTCGTATACAAATTTTGTAAGACATTTTATTTGTTTGAAGATAAAATGTTTTATTATAATTAAAATAAATACTAAATAACAATGTTGATGGATTTGTTTGTTTCTAAGTTAAATATAATTAAAAAGTATGTCTAAATTTATCTTAAGGATAATTTTAAAAAAGACATAAATATTAGTAAATGGTATATTCTTAAAAAGGAAAAACTACTTACCGTCTATTAATTTGATACAAACTCGTTAATTAAAAGGTAGCAAGAATGCAGGAGTTTGTGCATCGAGTTATATGGACTCTGGTCTCTGGACAAAACAAAGTGCAAATTGTTACTCTTCCGGGATGGCAAGGGTCGCTGTCGATTCATTGTCGCGTGTCATTAGGAATTATTCAAACTAACATAACACTGTTATTTTCGTTGATTATATTCCATTAAAAATTGTTAATTTTAAATGAACAACAGACAAACTAGAATGGAATTAAATAAACCTATAAATGTCCCGTTCAAGCATAATTAAGATTCTTGCCTAGTTCGTAGATCCACCACTCCAATTAAATACAAATGGACGGTCGTTGTCACATTCATACGCCAAAACACGTAAGTTGACAAAAATAAATAAACGTTTTGGTTTTATTTCATCCATACAATACGTAATTTTTCTTCATTTAATAATATACTTGTTTTTTTATACCACTTTAATTTAATACGTTTAATTTACCTTAATGTCTGTGCATCATTGAATAGCGTCACTGGAGTAAATTATTTAACACGACAAGAGCATGTTATGGCGGCCATCATTGAATTCTTGAATGGACTTTGTCCCAACTAAAATTATTTGGTGAGAGCAACCACCTTCCTTCATTTAAGAACTACTTCCTTCCTCTACAACCTGGCTACACTTGATGCATTCTTTTACAATCACTGCTTTCATTTCAGCCATTTCAATGGGCTTAACGCTAAAGCTAGTCAAGTAAGGAAAAAGACCATTAAAGGATTAATATTATTATAATTATAATCTAATCTAATTCTGTAGGTGAAAAACCTGCAAAATATAAATTCCATGACCATCCTCCTCTCTCCCTCTCCAATCTCGAGCAGGAGACTTGTATATATAGATTAGGGGAAAATCAAAACCTTTTCCTCTTCACTCGTGAAATATCATCAAAACTGTCATCACTCCAAACTTGTCCACCATGCCTGAAATTCTCTTCCTGCTCATCCATATTTCTGGTTCTTCTAGGAGGCACATTTCCTGGCCTACCCTTAATTCGTCTGTCGAAGTCCCTATCCCTCAAGTTGTTCCCTCTTTCATGAAAATCTGAATCATCAGAACAGAATCTATAATGTCTGGGTCCATCTTCAGTATTAAGGTGAAAGTTCTCACCAACATTTGCATTATAAGGAGGCCTGAATGAGCGCACAGGGCCTCGTCTCTCACCAAACCTCCTCCTCTCCTCACCATTTCCTTCACCATTAAGCTCAAGCAACCTACCAGAATGCATGGGACCCCCAAAGTAGTCATCATCATTTTCTGCACGATCGCGGGGATCTACAACATCAAACCTCCTGTTTCTGATTAAAATTCGACCGGACCTTGGATGACCATGGTCCCTTGCAGCAGAATCAATGTCCCTTATGTCATTAGAAGGTCGTGACATAAATGAAGGGGAGCCATGCCTCCTCACCACTCTCTCCGTGGGGAAAACAGGGCGATCAGGGGACCTCATTCTGTCCACCCTGTATAATGGTGATCTTCTATGGGTTATTTCTGGATGTCCACCAAAACCTTCAGGTGATCTTCTTCTGGGAGACCTCCTCCTCGGAGATGACCAAGGACCGGGTGAGCGACTGCGAGATCTGATCGGTGACTTGGAACGAATTCGGGGAAGACCCCTTCTCTGCATGGAAGAAAAATTCCTACTTCCTCTTGTAAACCGACCATCCAGTCCCTCAAATGATTGGGGACGGGTGAACATAGAATCTAGGTTGTCCTCAGGAAAACCTCTCATAAATTTCTCACTATGCCTCACACCAACTAAGTCTGAACCATCTCCCATACATCTATTTGGACTAATGTTTCTTGGATTTCTATGACCCATTTGGATGCCATCTCTTCCTCCTGGTGACCTCCTCCTTGGTGGAATGTAAGAGCCATCATTCAAGGGCTTTCTGCCCAATCTACCATTACCAACGTATGAGCCATCAACATTATTGTACTCCAGCTCCGTGTCAGCAATAGTGGAAGCATATTTAGGCCTTGGCCCGCGAAACTGACTTGGACCATTATAAAATTCTCCAGAAAATTCACGGTCAGATTCCCATTCACTTCGAAGTGAGTCTAATCTACTACTAAGTCTTCCTCTACCTCGCACAAAGTTCAATCTAGAGTTCCTAGGGGACATATCTTGATGTCTTTCTCTTGAAAATTTGTGAGGGCCATCAATGTAAACTTCATCTCTGAAAATCAAAACAGGAAGAGAGAAAAAAAAAAAATACTTGATGAAAAGAATTCGACTCAGTGGACAAGAGAGAAATAATAAAGGGCTTTAATGTATACCTTCCTCTGTGTAATTTATCACCGTCAAGTGTCTCAGAAAGTACATCTCTTCCAGCTCGTGAAGACAGTGACCTGCCTGAAATAGGCCTAGTTTTACTAGGGGATGAAGAACTAGCAGCTCGAGACAGATCTATGATTCTCCCTTGATTACCACTACCAACATCTTTGTTTGCATCATCAGCATTTGCAGACACTTCCATCTTTGGCAAAACTAAGTCCGTTTGTTTAACTATGTCAGTTGTTTTGACAACCTCATCAACACATTTAACATCTACCCCATGGCTTCCATTAGTGGCCTGGTTGGAAGGGGATTCAGTGTCCACAGCTTCGGACACATGTTTTCTCTCTGAAAGATCTAGGGCCTTCTTTTGCAAAACATTAACAGGCTTCTTCCCATCAGCAGGAATGGTGGACTTTTCATCGTCCATTGACTCTTGCACACACACACTTTTATCAATGACCTTACTGGCCTTCTCATGCATTTCAATGTCCAGACCATCTTCGCTACTTGCTTCACTCTGGACTGTAGTCTTATTTTCATTTTCCACATGAGATGAAGTGGGACAATCACCAGTCACCTCCCCTTTTTCCATCAGTTTATTTTCATAAGTACTAGGGTCAGGATGTTCTACTTCTCTTACCTCACATATAGTGTCCTCCACTGTGGAAGGATCCAACGGTTCCCGAACCTCACCATCTTCATAATCATCATCTTCAATATACCGCTCAGTATCCACAGCAATAGTTACAGCACGATTCTCATCTGAATCGTAATCAGAATCATAAGAATCATCCTCCAACATATCAGGTGATAGGGTTATCTTTTCTTCATCACTTACACAGACTTCAGCACTGTCTGGTTGATCAGATGGGTGCTCATTCATCTGTTTCATTCTGCAAACATCTTGATCAGCAGCGCTTTCTTCCTTGGTAATAACAGAAGAATTTCCTAGGCCAGGATCATTCAACTCTGTACCACCATCAACCTGTACAGAAACTGTTTCTAGAGGTACCTGCTCAGCATTTAAACAAGCTCCATGACAAACTTTATCAATATTGACCCCATCCGTCGGAGTACAATTTTCAACCTGACTTACTATATTTTTAGTTGTACGCAACTCTGATGTACACATAGGTTCAATTGGAGGACAAGCTGCCTCAGCAGAAATTGGTGAGGTCTCCATCGTAACTGGCACTGTGCTGGAAGAAGAACAATTATCTGACCCTCGTGGCAATCCTTTATCCAACAGATCCATTTTACTTGCTGCTGCATTAGATCTTTCTTGATTAGCCTCATGACCTGGTTCTGATTTAATCAATGTAGGATGATCATCTTTGTTTAGATTGCTAAAATTTGGCAACTTTGAAGGCTTGACATTGGAATTCGAATGCTGAACAAGTTCTTGTTTAACAGACACACTATCAATCGAACCAACAGGACGGATATTAGCTTCCTTCAAATCCTTTTTCGAGTTCTCATCAAATGGTTCTGGTTTTACCGACCTAAAACTAGAAGTATTCACATCACCAGCAGTAGATACCACACTTGACAAGCTTGCACTGGGAATAGCACTCCCAGAATTCAATTTGACAGGTAATCTAAAAGATCTTAATGACAGATTTCGTGGGTCTATAACTTTATACTGCTGTACACACAGTCCAGATGGAACAATGAAAGCTTTGTTCTGACTCTCTTCACACACTTGTTTTACAGACACAACACTTGGTGGCATCATCCCTGTTGAGCACATTAACTGTTCTTCTTCAAGTGAACTGCCAGCAATTTTCAGCCCATCAATAGAATTTTTACTTGAGCCAGCTTCAGCTTCAGATTCTTCCCATGCATCCATTGTAGTATTCAGATCCCAATTTGCCCTGTTAGCGTGAACATGAGTTGTATCACTATCAATTTTAGTATCAGTATTCAAACTAGTACTGCAATCTTCCTTGCTTAAAGATAATTCCAATGAGACAGACTCTGCTTTCTCAAATTTTGGGTGACTCTCATCAATCTCCATACTTGAAACAGTTGGAAAAAGGTGCTCCTTTAAGCTTAAAGATAAACTAGTACTTTCTGGAACTGCAAGATTCTCTTGTTTACAAATATTTTGGACATTTTGTTTGCTCGCATCTGCCCCAATGCTAAGTCCAAGTCCTTCCTTTGCAGCCAACAAGAGTTCAGGATTCCCCTTGAGTGTTTGGGATTCCAATCTTTTACTGTTATCTTCACTAACTATCACCTTCTCTTTGCTACCCATGACATCCAAAGTTCGTGTTTGAGTTCCAAGGTTTGGTTCCTCAACTTTGGGTATAAGTAAGCAAGACTTGCTTTGCACCATGTTAGCATTGGTAACGTCAGTATTTGCTTTCTTTTCATCAAGTGTAGGGTTTCCATAAACATCAGATAAACCAGAAGAACTGGTAGAAAGAGTTGAACCCTGAGATGTGCTTGAATGTTCCTTTCGCAAGGCATCGCTTTCTTCTGGACGTGAAGTCTCTTCCAAAGAAGATGAAGAAACCTGAAGAAATGGGAACCTTCTTTTCTTGATTGGTGCACCTGCAATACTAACATTTGATAAAGTTGATCCTTGAGAAGTGCTTGAGTTTTCTTTACGTGGTAACTCAGTTTCTTCAGTGAGTGAACAAGGTTCCTCAGACACTGGTGAAGAAGGCTGAAACGAAGGGAACCTCCTTTTCTTGATTGGCACACCTGCAACTAAACCACTAAATTGCCCAGCAAAGGACTTTACCCCGGTCTGTCAATAGAAGATCAAGTAATCAATATCCAAAAAAGATACAAATTGGCATGGTTCTCTAATCGTAGTTAGCTGTAAATCAGAAAGGAAATAAACACCTCTTCATGTCCTGAAACAGGCATGATTCCAAAGTCTGCTAAAAAGCTCAAAAGTCAAACCCTTCTTCTAAAACTTCAGTTATTACGATTCAATAGCAATTCCTCAACAAAATTATTGAAGTAGGCTAAAAAAACTCTTCACTGAACTAATCATTGGTAGACAAGTCCATCTACAACGCTTCTCCTTTCCTAGTAAAAACAACCGTAGCCTTACTCTCACATCCAAGATAAAGACAAGAAAGAAGTGGCGGGAACCTGCAAAACACAACATAAACATACAATATCACAAACTCACTACAACAGACAATTGATGGACAATCAAAGTCAAACAGACATGCCGTGCAACAACATAATTACAAAACCGCCTTTTAAAGTTAGGTTAGATCCAAAACTAACTGACCACATAATCACAACAAACTCCTGGATCAGTCTCACAAATGCTTTCAAATAACATCAAACGTACAGAGCAAGCAAAACACAGCCCCAAAGCAAACCACTAAATTAATTACCAAAGGCAAATCCACCATAAAAAGATCAACAAAGCCAGAATTCACCAAAACAGAGTTAACCAAAAGACGAAAAACGATCTTCTCCGTAAATCATCAACGTTCATCAAATCAAGCGGAAACCCCGCCCACAGACTCTTTCAGCTGCAGAATCAACATTAAAGGGGGAAAATGCCCGTACCGAGAAAAGCCCCAAAAAAGAATGGACTCAGAATCGAGTGGCGTAAACGAAGAAAAACCGCCAAGGAAGAATCAGATCTAGACCTATAAACAAAAGGGGGAAATAAAAGGCGAAAAGTAAAGTGTGGGGTAACGCATCATCAAAATAAATACCAAGAATCGCAGGCCGCGGAAAAACCAAGCAAAGTCATTAAAAACTCGGAAAAAATCAGATCTTGACAAAGAAAATTAAGGTGACAGAGACGAAGAGTTGGAAATACCTTATAGGTTGTGGGAAAAGGAAAGGGGAAAAGAAAAGGGGTTTGGGGTCAAGCTCTGCAACTTCCACGAAACGAAAGTAGGAAACAACGAAGGAGCGAGAAAGAGATAAAAAGGAATCTCTCTCTCTCTCTCTCTACGATTCTAGAGAGATAAAACTAGGGTTTGTGTTTATACGCTGATTTTATTGACTTTAGGGAAACGGAAGCTTATCTTCGTAACTATATATTCTATTCTCACCGACGTGACGCATCAACCAACACACCGCCATGTGTCCTCTTCTTCCACGTGGCGTGTTTTTCTCCATCGATTTCTTATCTTTTAATTTGATCCGTTGGATGTAAAGCAAGGGCTTTTATTCTTGGTCTTCACCCCGTTCACACTGGGCCTTCGTGTCGCCTTCCACATACGTAATTTTCTCGCAACTTCTGAATAAACATTTGTTTCCATTTTCATTCATTCAGTGGACTAAAAATAAAATAATCTGATTAATTGCAAGAACAATATTTAATATCATGACAAGTTATGCTTTCATTTGTGAAATTTAATAAACTTCTTATTTTTTTAATTTTTATTTGTATAATAACATGGTATAAATGTAGAGTGAAGAAGGTTTAGAAGAATGCTGATTATGGCTTCATTAAATGTAATTTGCCTTTAATAACATAATCATCAAATTATTTTTTATTAAATAAGAGCTAGTTGTATATAATTTTATTAAAAATTTGCTATATTCTCTCACATATATTTTGAATGATATTTCTAATACTTTATACAGTAAACATTAAATAAGAATATCATGGCTTATTGTCTTTAAAAGTTATTTCACAGTTAGAAAAAAAAAAACATTAATGTCATTTTTTTTTGCCAAATAAATGCATATTGTATCTAGTCAACCCTTATTTGTAACACCAAAATAATTCTTATTTATGAAATTGACTCTTCATTTTAAATTCTATTGTTTTCAGAAATTATTTTATTTTCATTAAGTTTTGTATTTTCTCTTTAAATAATAAAAAAAATCTTTATTTAAGCATATTTTTTTAATTTTAAACTTTGATGCCTCATAGGATAAAAAAATGTATTTTGATTTAAATAATTTATTTTTATAATTATTTTTCTAATTTTAAGATTCTTTGTCTCTTTGATAATAAAAATAATAAATATCTTTTATTTAAGATAAATTAAAATAAACTTTATTGTAATCTTTAAGAGCCTTAATTTGAATACATTTTTAAAATTAATATAGTACGTCAATAAAGTTAGTGTATCTCAATTTTAATTTTTTCTAATTTTTCAGAGTTTTGTGTATTTAATAATAAGAATATCTTTTATTACTTTAAATTCATTACTAATAATTTCATTTAGATTAAAAAACAAAGTCGTGTGATTTTATTTTTGCAACGTAACATTAAAACCGTACGAAGGGAACGTTGGTTTTCGAGAAAAATGCTTTTCAAAATTTTAAAAAATTGTTGTTTTTGAAAAAAAAAAAAAAATATACATTAAACATCAATTTATTATAAATAAACGAAAACCAAGTTACTTAAGAAATAACTTCTGTTAATATTTTGTTCACTTAATAAATATTTATAAAGATTAAATTGTATTAAATAGTATAATATTAACAAGTTGAACATACATCTGAATTTTAAATAAAATAGAATATTGTAAACATATAATTTTTTATTTATTATTTTTATTTAAAAATTGTACATTAAAATAAAGTTCGATAAAATATTCATTATTTTTTAATTTTTTTTTATAAAACTTTATCAATTTATTATTTTTATTCGGTGATTAAATTAACAATTTTATTTTTTAAGAAAAGTAACATTATATATAATTTACGTGGATTAAGATAAAAAAAACATTTATTGATTGTTATTATTTGATCAACTTTTTTATTCTAAACCATTTTTCAGATTAATTTATTTTTTAATCTGATCAACTATCAATCAAAAGTCATCAGAATAAAATTATTATATATAAAAAATAAAATACACAAGCATGTATAAAGTTTTATAAAATCGTTAATGTTTGTTCAGTTCATTTAAAAATATAACTTTTATGATTTGTTAATAAAAGATCAAAATAAGAATTTAATTGGATTCCATTATTAAAGTGGGCACGTAAAGGTTGTTGAGTCCGCACAAAAGATGCGAACAGCTTTCACGCAAAGTGGCCACAAATTTAAAGCATAACAATCACTCAATTATGCTAAAAAGCAAGTTTTTATTATTCTCAGTATTTGCTGAATTTAAACATTTAATAACAACATTTTTCATTATAAAATATAATGTTTATTCCACGTTCACTTTGTTGATGTCAAATTTATGAGTTATTTTCGTAATTTCGTACATGTTTAGGTTTTTAATTTTTTTATAAAATGGTTAAAAACGAGTGATTAACTATTCTAAATAAATTTAATCAACGTTAATTTATTAATAAAAAATGAAATAAAAATAATTCGAGTTCAGTGATACAGAATCCTTCCCGTTGCAAGGAGCAACCGGAGTTCAGAAAACGACGTCGCTTTGACACCTGAGTTGGGCAATGCAATTTCGAGCTCGCACTGCGAGTCTCTGGTGGTCTCTGCGCACCGTTTTGCATACTCACAATCACATTCACCTCAACTTCTATTCTTTGGCTTTGCCCCAACCTCAGGTTTCTGCCAATTCGCTCCATAATTGTGATGGATTTTTGCCTTGGTTGGAGCGGAAAGCCGATTCAACGATTTCTTCATCGCTTTCCATTGGGAAATCTTCGTGTGGAAGGTTTTTCTTCTTTTTTTCAAGTGTTATTTTCTTTGCAGATGTAAAGACAGGCTTTAATTTAATGCAAGTGTAAAATGAAAGAGTTTGGTGTTTATCGAAGAAATATTAACAGTTATTTTGGAATTGGGATCAGTTGTTTGAGGATAGGGTTTTTCATAACACAAAATGCTGGTGACCTCTTAACACGTGGCTTGCTGCATCTAGGTCTCTGTTTGCTTCTAAGATAATACAAACTGGAGATTGCATTTTGAAGGTTCCTTACAGTGTGGTATGCTTCCCATTTTAATTCCTACTTGAACTTTACTTTATCTCACTACTTTTACACGTCACCATCACAGCTTGCTCTTCATTGTATTCATAACTGGTTTTACAGCAAATAACTGCAGATAATCTCCTTCCTGAAATCAGACCTTTTATTGGTGAGGAAGTTGGAAATATTGCCAAACTTGCTATTGTCATTCTAATTGAGAAGAAATTGGGTCAGGTAGCCTTCTTATTATGTTCCTATGACAATTTTCATCTGAAGTTAGGAGCTAATGAGCTCCGATGAATTTTATAAAAGAATTATCATTGTGCATAGCTATATGTAGCATAGAGCTTTTCTTTTTTCTTTTTGGAAATGAAATAAGAAATTCATAAATTCAAAGAAAAAAAAAAACTACAATGAGAGGGCTGGATGAGGCATTGTCCTTGACCAAAGTATGAAACTGAAACAATGAAGACAAATCTATGGCATGAAGCTACCCAATCAACATACTTTGTATTGAGAGTCTAGGCCCATATTTAGCTAACAGCTTTTCACTTGATAGAAACTTGAAGATGCTTACATGCATACATCTGTAATATCTTTGTCTGGATGATAGGACTCCGAGTGGTATCCTTATATCAGCTGTCTTCCACAGCAAGGGGAGCTTCATAATACGGCAAGTTTTACATTCCTTTTCTTATGCTGTAATTTTTTTTCCTGGTAAAAATGCTCATTTGATGTATGGTATTGCTATAAGCTATTTCTCTTTTCTTATTCTGTGTAATATCTGTGGATTGCACACATTTCTCAGAGAATGATAATCATCAAGACCTTAACTGTGGCTTAATTTTTGAACTTTTTTAGATATTTTGGAATGAAAGTGAGTTGGACATGATTCGTCCAAGTTCAGTTTATCTGGAAACTATTGACCAAAAGTCTCAAATTGAAAAGGACTTTTTGGCAATCAAGCCTGTGAGTACTTTGCATACTTACCTACTTTTGAATGTATAAGTTGTTTTGCAATCAATTTATATTTGGATTTTTATTCTATTGTAGTGAAAGCAACACAATGTTTCCTCCATCTGTAGTGATTAAGACATTTTTTGTCTATGCTAGTTTGTATTTGCTTCTGTAATTGTAAGTATGCAGTTGACTCCAATGTCTTAGTTTCTATCTTGGGATAAAGCAAGCCATTTTCTGCTTTAGGGGGAAAATAATAGGATGAGAAACCTGGGTACGAAATGAAGGGGAATTAGAATCACAAAAACTCTAGAAGAATGTTAGTTTCTCTTGGAGTATTAGAAGTCCTGGTGGAATGATTACTTATATATATATATATATATAAAGCCTGAAGATTTTATATAATCAAATGAAGAAATTAAATGTTTTTTTTTTTTTTCACAATGCAATAGGTAACTGGGTCCGAGTATTAGTCTCATTTAAACAATTGAATAAATTATTTGGCTATTTTGGAGACTGGTTATAACCAAATTTGTCCTTCTAATTCAGGTTTTTGAATGTTTCCTTCAAAGTTCTGGAGATTTTACTTACAAGGACTTCATGCATGCATGCACACTAGGTAAGGAAAGCACTTGAAAATTTTGTACTTCTATACGTATGAAAAGATGAAGGAAATGCAAGTAATAAGCTTGACATTGGTAATTTTTAGGGGTGTTAATTCTACTTTGTTGTTGAGAATCTTATCTATAATAAGCTTGCATGGCTAGATTGCTATGTTTTGACAATCATATGCATGCATAAGATTATATTTTAAGGTATCTTTATATGATTGCTTTTTGTTGCTTTTGTTAAGTTACAATTTTGTTCAGTTAAAGGCTCTCATATGCTGATGTCTTTGGAACGAAGAATGTAGCTAACTGTATCCTGAATTATCTTTGAACACCTTTTTGGCCTCCTTAGTTCCTTGTGTCTCTTGAATTTTCCCTCATTCCTAATTTATCTGATTTTCCAATCAGTAAAATGGGTAATTTATCCAATTGTTCCTAATTTCTGGCTTAATTTATCTTTCTATCAAACATTTGGAAGCCAAAATTCGGATGTCTTCTGGATTCTGAATCTTCCTTTAATGGATGCAGATTGTGGATTCTGAATCTTCGTAGTTGATGGTCTGATCTTTTATGATCTGCCTGATTTTTTTATAGAGGATATGTGACCTTCCTGATCTTGCTATTTCCGGATGTTTTCTGGTGTATCTTTACTCAGACTGAATTTTGAAAGGCACTGAGAAGCCTCATTTATAATTATATTGCATTGAATATGAAGATTCATTCTTAGTTCTATTTGATCACTTCAATGTTGAATTACCAGTTGGTTCTCGAGCATGGGGAAGCACAAAGGGTTTATCTCTGGTATTGCTACAGTATGGAGACTTTTCTTATTTTATTTATTTATTTTGGTCCATAATTAGTTTTCTAAAATAATTTATAGATTCCATTTGCAGATTTCTTAAACCATGATGGGGTTTCAGAAGCAATTGTAATGAGTGATGATGACAAACAATATTCAGAAGTTCGATCTCTCTCTCAGACACATACTTCTTCCTTAATGGTTATTGGAGCCTAATAAAAATGGTTATTAAACAGTTTATCCCCTAATACATGAAAGTCAAATTTTATTTTTATGGTCCTGGTCCCTGGACATTAATTATTTCACTTTATCATATTCAATCTTTGTTGTGCTCAATTACTAAAGGAGAAAAAGAGTAAAGGGATACATAAATAGTATGATATGTGAAATGTAAACAAAATAAAAGCAAAGCACGTTCTAATAATTAGGTCAAGTACTAGTATAATTCTACTAGCACAAGCCCGCCACAATTTGACTCTCTAGTCCAATCAAATAAGCAGACTACTCCTAATAGTGACATACACACTTAAACTTCAATTTAAATTTATGCAATTATGTGCAGGTTATTGCTGATCGGGACTATGCCCCTGGTGAACAGGTTATTTAGTATTTTTATTGAAAACTATGTATTGCTTGTCACCTTTGTACTCATAATTTATGTGATAAACTTGTGCTTAATTTTCTATGTTCTGCGAGCTTGAATTTTTGTGGAAAATTAGCTTCAAGGTTTAAATGACTTAGTTTTTTCTTTCCCTTCTTTTTCTCAATGGAATTAACTAGTGACATCATTCCTGAAAAACTCACCGTTGATTCCTCCTGTTCCTTGATTGATTAAACAACTAGCAATACGTTGAATTTGGAGTTTTGCTCAATATCATTTCTAATATTTTTCATAGATAGAAGATTTAAAGTAAAATATTCTTGAATACAAAGTTATGTAAAGTAGGAACTCAACTGAATTACCAAAATAGCTAAACAAGATCCTCGGAGTGAATGCTGTTTTCATTTTAAAATGGAAACTTAAAAGAAAGCTAAATTTCATATGTGGCTCTGGCCTTTGGGGTTTTTGGGCCCTGCAGGCTTCATAGTTAATATCAAAAGAATATCATATAATACATCAGAGTAGGGGGAAGAAGGGAAAAGTTAGTTTTTACTTCAAGTTAAATATTATATTCCTGGATTTGAGGAGCTTCAGAATCATGCATTTTCTACATAAAGGCCTATAAAGGATAGTAGCAATGCTAGTAGAAGAATACAGTATGTAACAATATTTTTTAATCTAATTGTGCATCCTTTTATTATTTTGATTAACTATCTGATGGTTCATTTACTTGTCATAGTTTTTGGCTCCCAATTTGTAAAATTTGTCACCTGGGGTTTATTGGTTTTCTGCACTTTCGGTTTTAGGTACTAATAAGATATGGAAAGTTTTCAAATGCTACATTGATTCTGGACTTTGGTTTTACAATTCCACACAACATTTATGATCAGGTATTCCTTACAATTGAATTTCAAGTAGCATACAATGTGGGCTGATGTTCTTTTTTCCCTCTGGCTTGTTGCTTTATTGTTGCTATAATTGCATGTCTATCTTGATTGGTAATGCAAACCATTCTCAGGTTCAGATCCAGTTTGACATACCTCAGCATGATCCTCTGCATGACACGAAGTTGGAACTCTTACAGCAATACTTTGTTCCTCCAACCAAAGATATGAAGGGCTTGAAGTATTCTGTGAATTCCTTCACAATCAAGTTTGCACTGATTCCTAATCTGTCTTGCAGAATTATTTAAATAATACTGAAGTTTGTATACTAATTCTTTGTGATGGGGTCTTTTGACCTACGTCTTGAATTCTTTGCAATGGGGTGTTTAGACCAATGTAGTAAAATTATTCTGCTTAGTGAGTCCAAGTTGCCCTTAATGCTCATAAATGCCGTGCTTTTAGCAAAGTAATGAATATCTTTCGCTTCTCCCTTTCTTTTTCAACCCATATTGGGCACATTCAATGATCCCCCACCTATTCCATGTTTCCCTTTTGACAATGTTCACTTGGACATATTTTGGGCGTGTGATATATTTTTACTAAATATATTTTGTGGTGTTTTATGTTTCTTATTGCATGGAATGTGCATGTTAAATAATTGTAACACTTTCCATATTTATTTTTTATTTGATAATATAGGATTTTTTTATTTGGTGTTACTCTAAAATGTTGCTTATATACTTAGTGTATGCAATATTTGGTATCTGATGGAGGCTGTGATAACATAGGGAAGTGAGGTCTGCTAGAGGAAAAGGGAAGGGTCTTCCACAATCACTTCGTGCACTTGCTCGTGTTCTTTCTTGTACCACTTCTCAGGGTGCGAGTAAAATCTTGGTTATTTAGTTTTTTTTTTTTTAATGCAATAATGGTTACAATTCTTCCCACAGGAAAAAAAAAATGGTTCACTTGTTAAATAAGCTATATACCTAACCTAACCTAACCTAACAGTGTTCACTTTTGGAATCTTATTGATAAAAAATCAGAACTTGACAATTTGGTCGTGGAAGCTGCACAAACTGATGGTAGGCTGGCTAGGCGCCCTTTACAAGATGTCAGCAAAGAGATACAAGCACACATGATGCTGTCATCATTATTCATCCAGTTAATTGAGGAGCGCAGTGCAACTATAATGGTAAAATTTAAGGTCTTTGCTCTTTAGCTAATATGTAGCTGTATGGTTGGATAAACCTCCTAAGGTGGCAACCGAATCAGTAGCAAATTGAGACAAAAGGGTGTTTAGGTTGACGATTGTATCACAGTGATTTTTTCAGACTGCTAATCTAATCAAAATATAAGTGTGTTAAAATGCATGTTTCATATGTTATTTCAATTTCTTCAAAGACTTTGTTGTTCTTTCGTTGACATAAAATATACATTTCCACTATTGTTTGCAGTCATTGGATTCTTCCTATTCTCACTCCTTGTGTGAAAGACTTCCTATTAGAAGACTAATGGCTCGAGATCTCCTACTTGGTGAGCTTCGGGTTCTCAAATCTGCATCTGCCTGGCTGGAGAACTATTGTTTTTCCTTGACTTGATGGTCAGTAAAAATGGCTGCAGCAGTGCAGCGGACTACGAGAAAGGTTATGCTTCCAGAACAAGTAGGCTGGCATTAACACCAATGTAAGATTAGACTAACTAGAGAGGGGTGCGACATATATAGTTTGAAGTGCATAGGCTTAGAAATCCTAGTTGGTAAAATGCACTAGGGCTTATTGGAAAGAGTTAATGGATAATTTACGAAATTACTTTATGACTTCTATAAGCTCTTTTTAGTTTATTTTAATAGTTTTTTTTATACAATTTATTAAAATATGCTTTTTTTAGCTCACCTTAATAAGATTTATGGTTTAAGTCATCAATTTAAATAAAATATATTAAATAAGCATCTAATTTTCTTTATATTTAAAATATAATTCTTTTTATTTTTAAACAAAATTATTTAATAAAAAAATTATAAAGAAACTCGTACAATACATGAACATATTTAATAAGATACATAACATATTTAATTTATTTTTAAAATCTATCATGACCAATAATTTGATTAGACCATCAACAACATAGAATATGTTTTAAAAATTAATAAATTATATACTGTTTGATTAAAATTAATTTATTTTCAAAACAATAAAAAAGTATATTATGATTAGAGGCCATAATTCTTGAAGTTTTAATAAACGGATTACGTAATTAAAAGAAAATGTATAACTAAAAAGAAAAATATAGGAGCTAAATAAAAGGGATTACTTAATTAAAATGAAATAATTAAAAAAGAAAAAAAATATTATTAATGGTGAAAATTTTTAAAATTAAGAAAAAAAGTCGTGAAAATTTTAATATCTAATTAAATTAAGAATGATTAAAATAATGAAATATTAAATTTTAGTTTATATAAAAATAAATATATCCTTAATTTGATTTAATGTATCAATATTTAAAATTTAAATCAAATTAAACTTAGAATAAAAATAAAGAAATAATAATTAAAAGGAATAAATATTAAAAAAAAGTTAAATACTCGATAAGAAAAAGGTTATGTAGTGTAACAGAGATAATAATAACTCATAAAAGTATTGTTCAAGCATGAGAATTCAGATTTGATATATAAAAATATATTACATAAACTATTCGATAGAATGGTAGTTATGAGAGTATCACAAAAAAACATCAATAGAAGAAACTTGCCAATTAACAAAATGGCTTCTCCTCGTGGTTCTTTCTGTAGTGTGTTTCAAATGCTCAACCTTTGCTGATTCTGTTAGCACTTCTCAGACTCCACCCATTATTGAATCTACCCCATTCAACGTGGCAATGAATCCAAAGTCAATGTACTCTTCATTTCCGTTGTGAATGACTTGTCTGCTGGTTCAGCACCATTATATTTCATTAGCAGCTTCCAAAAATACCAATATCTACTGAAACCAAAAAGTACCCTTCACTAAATTAAGCAACGTTGATGTGCAAGAGTGTGTAATGTATTGGAAGCCAATGTTTACTGGTTTTGATCTCTATAACCCAAGCACTGAAGGAGCCAATCAACGCATCTATTCACAGTTGGGATAAAAGGGCTAGAGAAATGCTTTCATTGATGTAAACATCATGTGTGTGTCTGTGTGTGGGTTTCACCAATTGTTATGAATTTTCTATAATCTGTCACCTAACACTTCGGTACACACATATATAATTAATTGTGAACTAATTCATATACATGATAAGTATGATTATTTTTTTAAATTGATAACATCAATAAAAGTGATACGTCCTAATTCAAATAATTTATTTTTTTTTATAATTTTTAACTCTAAAATTATTTTTATATTCAGTCATATGTAATATAACAAAATATTTATTATTGATAATAAAATTAATACTTTTAAATTTATATTTTATTTAAAATTAAAAATACTCGTATAATTCAGAGTACTTACATCACACCACAAGAAGTAACATTCCCAGTATTTCTATATATTTTACACTTTGACCTCTTTATTTAGTGGTTTTAAGAACATTTATTAGCAATTTTTGTATTTTTAAGTACCTTTATTAAAAACAGCCAAATAATTGGTATTAAAAGGACTGATAAAATTAAAATAAAATAAAAAAATCATACTCATTAATTTTATGAACAATCGGTGTGTTATTTTTGATAATTTTATCAAATAAGAATATTTACAAGAGTTAGTTTTCTTTTTCATAGTTCAATAATATATCTTCATTAAATATTTAATTTAAAATTTGAGATCATCTTTTTATTGTACGAGTATTTTAAAATTTAAACAGTATAAAATATAAATAATCCGTGTAAATTCTTAAAAACATTATATTAGAAGTAGAGAGACTTAATACCAATTGTATATCTCAATCTCTATTATGCATTCTCTCTTTATACCATGTTTCAATTAATTTAATTTTTGATAATTAAGAGTATGATACAATTTTTCATGAATTTTCACGTATAAAATCTCACAAATAATTTTTTTTTTCAAATTATATACTCATCATCTTTTTGTTTTTGAACGAATATACTCATATAATCTTAAATAATGTCATATTAATAATTTTTAAAATTTTCACTACCAATTAAAATAAGCGAATTATATTTTATTTCATAAAACTAATTCAAACTTTAAATTTAAAACATATTTAAGCATTCATTTTGATTCTAATCCTCTCCTCTTCCCGACCCAACCTCTAAAATTTATTGCCTAGAAACGAAACGCGTTTCTCTCTAGTCCACTTAAATGATAGGTAATAAATGTCAATTTATGTGAATATTAAGATAGGTATTTTATTTTACTTAATTAATATACATATTCTGATTATTGAGAACTTTTTTTTAGGTTTTGAATTTGGAGTTTTGTTAATTTAAAAAAAAACTGAATTTAAATATTAAAAATAAAAAATTATAAATATTTATTATTTTTAAATTTATTATTATGATATTATTTGATTAAGTAGAATAAAATAAGATCTTACATTTGATAAGTCACAGGTTTGTATTTTTATGTCTCTTTAAAATAAAATAAATGTATTTGAGACATTTGTTAGAATAAAATAAAAATAATTTAAAAGTCTCATTAGCTAACGTCTTTGAGACATTTATTAGCAAAATAAAAAGTTTTCAAAAGTGAAAATTACAAAGGAACTTGTCATAAATAAGCTGCTAAATATTAAAGTGGATTTAATGAAACCTCATATATATATATACACTCAATTGTTAAGTGACAGATTATAGAGAGAAAGTGATATGAAACAGAAACATGGTGTTGACATCAATCCAAGTATCAATCTGGGTTCTTCTTACGACATGTTTGATGAATGGCTCAACCTTTGCAGAGTCTGCGATTCCATATATAAAATTTGAAGCAGCACCTCACTCTAACGACACAAACGCGTACCCACTGGCCTTCGAATTGCGGAATGATATGACACCTCGTTCATTACCAGTGTTCTTCTATTTCAACAATCGAACAACTCGGTATTTTATACGACCAGGACAACCTATGTATTTAGAGGCCGATTTTTACGAACCCCATGTCTGTTTCATGCATTGGGACGTGCTTTGTGCCTATTTCAATCTGTATGATAGATCAGATATACCCCATTTTATGGTTTATTGGTCTGTTAGAGACGATGGTATATACCATAGTTGGGACAACAAGATATGGGATAAAAGGAAAAGCTGGCAATCTCATTATTGTTGGCAATGACGTTATTATTGTCGATCCATTTTTTTACCAGAACTATGAATAATATATAAATCTTCTATTAACATATTCCTTGCGCATGCATGTTCCAAACAACCTTTGAGTCGTGCTGTTTTACTGTGATAGTTATTCTGCAACATCTTAAAAACACTACTTGGCTTGTTTTTTCCCTTTGCCAGTGGAGAGTGAGTTGTGCAAATGAAGTAGATGAGAGTGACTTGCCCTGTGTTTCCTCAGGCAATAAATTTTAGAGGTTTGTCTGTAGCAAATTAAAATGAATGTTAAAGGTTATTGCAAAGACGGGCTTCTGAGTCACACTCCAATATGTTTATGACAAATATTATTAACTAGTATTTTTAAGATGTTGCTTGATAATATTTTAATATTTTATTTCTATTATTTTACCTTTTGTGTTTGGAAGAGGTATTTAATTTTTTTAGAAAATTTAAAATTTAAAATTTTAAAAAAATTAAATTAAATTATTCAAATTTTTATTATTTTAAAATATTTTATTTGGATATAAATATTAAATTTCCTTCATTTCAAATATTTTTTAATAGAGTAATTAAATTATTTAATTTTAAACAAAATAAATTTATCACTACATTTAATAAAATTAAGTAAAAATATGAAATTTAAATTATTAAGTTAAATATAATTGAATAAAATAAGATATGAATGAAACACACAATAAATAAATTAAGTAATTTTAAATTCTTACTCTTTTGTTAGGATTTAGAAATTTTTTTATTTTAATTTATTAAAAAAATTTACTAAAATTCTTAGAATTTTAAATTTTTAAATTCGATATCTAAATAACAATTTTTGACCTATAAAATTATAAATTCTTAAAAAAAATTACTCACTTAAAATATATCATCCAAATACATTCTTATTTTATTCTTAAAATTTATCCTTTTAAAATTTAAACTCGTTTTTTTTTACGAAAGAAAAAAATTAACTCCCTTCATGTATATGTCACATGTAAAAAATTAATAAAATAATAAAAGTAACATAAAATAAATAAGAACTTATCTTTTTAGTTACTTGAAATAATTTTTTTATAATTATTATAAAATAGTTTTTATATGATATTTTTTAATAAAATGTCCAGTAAAATTATTGCATTTAATTTATTACTATATCATAAAAAAAAAAGTTAAACTCAAGAATAGTGCTTTATATTTGTTCATAATCATAAAAGATAAATCAAATTTGTAATTGACAAATTCACAAGTTTTTATTGCTTCCTATTTTATTATTATTCTGCATTTATTTTTATTGAACTACAAATATCTTCTATAATAATCTCACTTGAGCCAGCTAAGATGATCATGAGTTGTCATCTTAAGATTGTAAATGTAGAATTTGAAACATTAGATTGTATTTTATTACTGAAATCAGATAGTTATAGTTTCAACATACCATTGAATGCTATATTTATAAAATATGATAATAATAAACTTAAATGTATAGATTTCAATATTTTTAAAATTTAATGCCATAAAAATATTAAAATGCAATGAAACCCCTATATTTTCCTTTATATACTTGGACACACACACACACTAGAGTGTCTGTGAGAGATAATAGAAATATCATACAAATTGGTGAAAGA